TTCTCCAAGTAAATTCAACTGGACACTTTTGGCTCGTGGGAACGGAAAGCATGATGTACGATGTTGAAGTCAAGTTTAATGCTGGAGATTGTTCTCTTGCGCTGGTCGTCTTCGTCTCACAAAACTGTAAATACGTGGATGAGAAAGTTGGCTCGTAATGACCGAAACCAAAACGAATCAGCCTTTGTTCAGCAAACCTCGTACATGAAATGAGCATAAAAGTTGGTTATTTTGCTTCGGTTGAAAAGCCACAAAAGTCAGGCTAGACAAATGAGGAGTGATCTGTACCATAAGACTACTGACATTTGACAACAGGTGGATAAAATGTCCACAATAATGGTTCTCGAACATATCCCTAGAAGAACTACTCTAGAAGTTGGTGCACTGTTGACTGTGGTAATAAACGTTATTATTAATGTGGAAAGTCCTTTTAAAAGCTGGGACTTTTGGTCAGCAAATAAAAACGGTAGCAGTGGGAACGATGACTTGACAGAGTAAATGATAGCAGTCTCACAACCATCGCAGCTTTGTTTTCATTTGTAACAAGTACCCTATTAAAATTCAGAAGGAAATGATGCGACAATAATAACCTCCCGTCATTTTATCTTTACCCTTCAAGTTAGAAATATGTATGTAAAAGATGATCCGACCAAATTTGCTTGCTATTCGCTCCTGTTTGATGTCCACTCCTTTAAATACTCATCCGACCCTCAAAACGTTAAACTGATCATTTGTCAAGTTTTATGTATATTAGGGCAACGGAAATGAGTGAGATAATCGAACGAGATGAGCATAAGAAAGAAGCCACACCCATTCTTACCATTCGCTCTGGAAGTGTGGTCATTCTAGCAGCAAGTCCTTTGGCTTGGATATAAAACTTAATGTTTTTTTTTACCTCGTCAACAAATCAAATTCAGGACCGGAAGTTGCCTCCAAACTTAAAACTCTAGTATTCATTCACAGATAGTTGTGAAGTTTGGAGATAGATTCTCCAACCCTACATAATACATATATCCAGTTATCTATCTACACAGATGGATAACTGTGGTTCTATGTAGGTATACTGAGGGAGGGAATCCCAGGTGGTAAATTAAAGCAAAACTAGACAGAAAACTAATAAAAAACTGGAAGTAAGCCAAGTGCATTCGAGCAAGTGCATTCAATTAACAAAAAGAGCTGGGAGATAAAAAATAAAACAAAACAAAGGAGTTGAGTCGGTGCAGGGTAAAAAAGTGCGTGGAGCTGCGTTTCTTGAACGGAAATGGATGTTATCGCCCGAGGAGAAGGACATAGAACATCAATTGTATTAGTATTCATTTGCCCACATTTTGAATATACTGCGCTGGATATTATGCAAATTTACCCATCTGTCGATAAAACTGAAATGATGAAATTGAAGTGCAATCCAACTACAATTTGATGATAAATAAATGGGTTAAAATATATAGATGAATTTAGATTGACACTGTCGTACGAATTTAGGTATCGGATAAACATATCACGAATGCATTGTGCTAGAACCTACGTCAGTTTCATGGTCAAAATGCATGGTGTCAGTGTGCTATATTTTTAATTCCTTCCAACCATAAAGAACTACTATTACATAGTTTGCTAGTTTTTTAATTACATATTACATGCATTGAAACAAGTTTCGGAAAATCCAACAAGTTCACACAAATTTTTTTCGTCTTACCTCTCTCTCACCTATCTCGTCTGGAACATTGAACTTGTTAAGTCGATGATCGGTTTTGCCCATTTATCTACAATTCCCCTTCTGCCTAAGCATTCCAATCAATCGATTATCCTCCATGCGCTCATTAGGTAAACATTTACACATTAATAAATTGTTTCTCCTTCTTCATTAAAACTATAATGAGTCACGAATTCACGACCTGGTCAACTTTTGCAGTTTTCTATCTAGACAATTTTATGGATGTGGAAAAGGAATAATTCTCCTTTGTTGTTGCCCCGTTATAAAGAGCTTCACTAATTATGCTAAAATATTCACTTGTTCTCAAACACAGTTAAGTAGCACTTTTAGGGAAATTATAAATTCGGGCAGAATGGGTTCACTTTCCAGCAGCAGGAGTTTATTTGCTCGTCTCTCGTCTCCAAATGAGACGGATGGGAATGATTCACAGGATAAAAGACATTCGACAGTGCAGAGGCCTTTTTACGACCGGCTTCTTGTTCGTGTGGAAGGAAGTTCTACTTTTTAGGTGAATCCTACTCCTCTTGGAATTGCTGCGGGTGGATTGGGTAATAATAATGTTGTTGGTTTTCTTATCACCTTTCTTAATCCCCTTTTATCCAGGTGCAATACTCTCTTGACCCAGTCCGACTGCCAATCTCAGAAAAAGCACAATCCGTGCAATTGCGAAATGGGAATTGTAGCCCTCCTTTCTCGGTATTATACTAGCTCAATGTCTCTCTGGACGAATGACAGCAACATTAAATATATATAACCACTACTAACCGTGATGTATGTGACACCAATAATGCAATGACGATGAGCAAATCTGATCTGCTGAAGAACGAGACTCAATTCCCAATCCTTATTACGTGTCCTGCTGATGGTGATTAAACCAATCGTGGTGGAAGAGTTGGCTTGGTTGGTGTTGTTGCCAAAAGTCAGATCTTGACGCTGTTAAACATTAACGAGATGATTACACTTGCACACTCATTCACTGTTTACAGACAAGTAACAAAATTGGCTTGGATGTGGAATAATAAAGCATATTAAGTAAGTTGGGAAGACCAAAAAAAGACACGACTGATGACTGGCACGAGGATACTAAACGCAATAAGAAGAAATCATTTCATGAATATAGGCAACTAAACAGCTCTCCTCTTATACTTTACTTGCATACGTTTGAGTGATGACGAATTCGACTGAAAATGAATGAACACTTCACAAATAAACCACTTTTTGCACTTCTGGTTTGACACACACTCGACGCAGACGCTGGCTCCAGTGCAAATAAAATAGTGGAAGAGAGGTTACAAAAAAGTCTCAAATTCCCGAATCTCAATATCCTCACATGCCAAACAAGGTATCTGTTTAGTTTAGATTTCAAAAGAGGAATTTTCTGTCTCAACTTCCCAATAGTGATAAATGATCCAATGCTGGTCAGATATTCGGCGTTATTCTCTTAGTTATTAGCCACCTTTCAAGTGAATATATTGCGTCTCCTGAACCGAACACTTTTTGATAACGACCAACAGAGTTGAGTCACTCGACCTTTTAAAACCAATCCAACTTTATATGCAAATAAAAGATAGCGACTCTACCACTGATATAACAGTATAAATGTTATTTGGTAGAAGATGTCCTCTGTTTCTGAGTGCATGCACATATATTACGTACGTGCGTAGTTATACTTGGGCTAGTTAGCAAGGATGAGTAAGAGAGTTAAACAAATATATTTATTTATAATGAGCGATGGGCTGAAGAGATCCCTGAACCTGAAAAGTCGTAATGGAAAATGGACAAGGTTTGGAAGATTTAATTTGAAGGTGAAACCACACACACAGACGGACACGAGAAGAAGGTGAATCGTAATGCTTGTTCTTTATGTAACCAGCCACCCATGTTATTAGAACATTTATTATACTTCGTGATGTGACATGGATTAGGAAACATGCAATGAATCTACGACTTCTTTAATGCACCCACAGAATGTACCTGAGTGATATAACTGCTTATTCATTCATCATCCGCTATTAGACATACGTATATGTGTAACCGCTATATTATGTTGTTTGATATGCTATCCATCCATCCTGCACATACAAAGTATTAGTCACCCTATTTCACGCGACGATTATAAATAATGCAGAAAAAGAAACGTACAACCAGGAGAGCAGAAATGGGCGATGGAGCCACCCTCATAAAACAAAGTCACAAGTTTTGGGTACCTTTTTTCCTTTCCCTATGCAAAAGTCCACGCAATTCTCTCTCCTCGAAAAGCTCTATCCCTACACAGCTTTTGTGATGTGATAAGTAGTGATTGTGGTTGGAAAAGGTAAGGAGAGAAGAAAAGTAAATGTAAGTACGCACGTCTACATAGTCGACGGGGAAGGATGAGTCATCCCCTCGCATATCCCCCAAATAAATCCAAATCTAATAATGAAAGCAATGAATGCTCAGCAAAATTGGTCGGAGTTTCATTCTCATAATTCCATTATTTCGAAGAAAAGAAACACTTATGTTTGCTTCTAAAGCACTTGGTTAGCACTGGATGGGGGAGCGTTTTGCTCAAAATGATTCAGTCAAGAGGGTAACTTATGTATTTACGTACGTAGTCGTGACCGAGGACGGAGGAGGATGAGACGAAGGAGAAGAAAGACTACCTAAATAAATAAATTTGCTTCCAGAGAACCACACGATTTACCAACTGTTGGGTTTTCAGAAGGGAACTTGATTTCTTGTTGGACAATAGCGATATGCGTTCCACCTTCTTGTATGAATATGTAGTATAGCGTGCTTCATGATATGCATTAAATTAATACCTTTATATCCGGATGCTCGGTTGGGGCTGATTTTCCGTGTTCTGGAGGAGGGCATAGAGCAGCCCCCAAGGTGAGACAGGCACAATTATCAGAGGATACAGTGAGTCCCAAGGTGGTTGAAACTTTTGGGAAGAAACAAGGAATATTGCAGAGGTTTTTGGTAGGCTGGGGATGTTTGGGGATCGGGGAGAAAGATGCGACTGGAGTGGAGATGAGAAATTCTTCTGAAAACCCGAGAGTTGTTCTTCCACCAGCCATGCAATCCCAATCCAACCCAACTGTATCTAAAGTATGCGTGCCTTTCTCTCCCGGCTCCAGACCAGTGCAATTTCAGTGCACGAGAAATTCGGCAAACTCGAGCTTATGTATTTAGGATGATGCCATCCACCACTATTACCCGACACTGAGTATGCGTTAAACAACCTACTCACCTAAGCGTAGTAATTTCAGCAATCTGTCGCAAATAAGTAAATCGCACCCAATATTTAAATAGACAACAATTCATCAATTTATTGATTAACTAAAGATATTATAAAACTATTTCAGCCGCGAGCTTCATTTATTTCTAGAATCAATCGTTTAAAACAAAACAACCAAATTTAATCAACTCTGAACAAGAAAATCGTGATATTTATTTGTATTATTTGGACAACATTATAAAGTGTAAGGTAAATTGTTAATTGATTAATAACGTAAATGTCCTCTGTATTAATAGGACAGGAATGAAGCCGTACTAACCTATCATTATGATTATATAGATATAAGTATATATGTTTGTTTGAATTGTTAGACCAATAGACAGCAATGAAGTGGACTTAACTTTTTTGAATGAAAGATCATTTATAGGTAAAGACTACTCACTATTACATTTAACAGTATAGTTTGTATTCATAATTATGAACCTAGTTAGTGAACTTAGAGTAGAGTTAACCAACTCGACGTTTATAAAATAAAAGAAATGCCAACATTTCATTTGTCAGTAATAGAAATAAATCTACTTACTCTAACGACAAAACAAACCTTATTTTTTCTAGTCATCATTGCTAGCTCGGTCGGCCTCAGCATCTGGAGAGCGGTCTCCGTTCTTTTCGAGGGACTTTGAACGACTTCTAGACCTCGACTCTGCACGGTCTTTACTGGGACTCCTTGATCGGCTCTTATCCCTGAGAAAAATACATAACAATATTATTATAATACGAAATCAAGTTATTGTGTTCATTGTTTGTACCTTGATTTAGACCGACTGTGGGACCGAGATTTGGATCTTGAAGACTCCTTCTTCTTCGTGACTGGGGACTTGGATTTATCTCGAGAGTCACGAGACCTGCAACATGGAAGTAAATATGTTACAAATAGTCGATTTGCAAACTTACTGCATGACAACTATTGACTAAAATCTAAAGATATATGCTCAGTACACGTTGGGTATGTGGTCATCAATTACTTCAGACCCGAAAGATGAATCATCATTTGAATGCATTAACTATGAACCTAGTTAAAAATCGAACGAAGACATAAATCAATGATCAAGACCAACTTACTTAGAACGGGACTTTGAGCGGCTCTTGCTTCTGGACTTCGACTTGCTCTTTGACCTGTTGATAAAAGAAATACGTATTATTCAGTATTTTCGCTCGCTAGTAAAGTAATAATAAGGTAATTATCACTTTTATTAATTATGTACCTAGATCGAGACTCGCGACGACGTGAGCGTGACCGGGAACGAGAGCGCGAATGGCTGGAGCTGCGACTTCTCTTTGATCTTCCACCGCCGCGTCCTCGGTCTTCAACCAGGCGAATACGCCGTCCATTCAAATCCGTGTCATCAAGCTTGTCCATAGCAGCTTTCATGTCCGAACCACTAGCAAATTCCACAACTCTGCAATGACAAACATACAATAAGTTATACTGTTATCCGTTGACACTTTATGTCCTAACAAAGGAATGCACGAATAAGGTGTTACTCTTACCCTTCATTTCGTCGCTGTTTGTGGGCATCAGCATAGGTGACCTCGCCAGCTTGGCGCATGTAGTCTTTCAAATCCTTGAGTAAAAAAACAGAATGTAAAAACTGGACCTGCAAAAGGAAACCCCAGCTGCCCCACCCTCCCCAACATCATCTGGCTCATCGTCATTAGACCCCAACGCTCCATCTGGCCCACCAAAAGCCTTCTTTTCTCCCCACTAGTAGTGTGCCCCAGGGTGGGACGACAGGCGACTTTTTCATTCAGCCAGGGGAAATTGACGAGCATCATCATCATCATCATTGACACTTTGACACAGAATGGTGAGAAAAGTTTCGCACCAGGTCACGGCTCGTTCAAATGTGACTGATTTGGATTTTCGACGAATGGGATGAAGGATGAACTAATGGAAATGGGACCCTTGGATGGAGGCTCTCCCCCTATCTCACATTTGGATGGACATGGACTGGTCAGGATGGAATGAACGAGACCCAGTTCGTTCGTAGGTCTTACGCCAATAGTGCAACCCGATAAAGAAGGCTTGGCCCATCTTTCCAATACTCGTCATCGACATGGCATGGCTCATGGGTCTTTAGGCATAAAAACAGATATCCCATTATTTTAACAATCAAAAATCATCTCACCACTTTGAACTCTCTCTCTCTCTCTCTCTCTCTTTCTTTCTATTCTTTGTCTCGTTGGGTTGTTTGTTTGTCGTCTATTACCACCTCATTCTCACTTGAAAAACTAATTTTGACACATTATTGTTATTATCATCGTTATCTGCAAGTGTGTTAAAAATAATGAATAGTAATATTTAACTGCCAACCGTTACTCAATTGGATGATATACTAAACGTGTGTAAATAAATTTACTAAATATAAAAGACAACATAACAAAAAACCTCGATCGACATTTTACATATCCTTTTATCTATTCTCTTTCTCTTTAGTGTTCTGCTGTTTAAAAATGGAATTATCTGTCATTGCATTGGTGCACTCACTGCTACATATTCCTACGAAGACAGAGTTAGATGGATGGATACATTATAAAAAGGGTGTTACATTAAAGTGTTTTGTTAGGGTCTCCAGAAAAAAGGTGTTATATGGGTACAAGAGTTAGTTAATCTTCTTTCATTGAGCGTTCTTCAACTTATTATTCTAGTGCCTGCCTAAGTGCCTATGATTATCTTAAACATCAGGAAATGTGTACATATGTTATATATTCATGAACTCGAGCTAGCTATTATGGCTGCGGTTTGATGATTTATAAATAGTTGTCTAAAAGGTGCCCCTCTTCCTTCAAATCATGCCTCCTCTCCTCGCTAGTTTCATATCGCTTGGACTCGAGGACCCTGATAAATTATATTGTTGCAGTGGCGAGAGTATAGGGAACCAACTTACCTGCCACGATACTCGACTCGACAAGTTCTCGACGATGAGGCGGTACTCGGTACGAGTGGGGGGACCATATCTGCTGGGATCATCAAAAAAAATCCTTGATAGAACACTTGCCGAGAGCACATGTTGCTTGATGATTTTTTTAACTATGTATTTGTCACCTTGTGTTGTTACCGTCATCGCGACTACACATTATGACAGAAATAAACCATTATCAAACTCGAATCAATGAATGAATTCACAAAACAATTGAACAGTCTCCTATTTGTTAGAGCGACAGTGTTCACGTCTACAACTTGGAAGATATTTATGAAACTTACTTATCCGATCCACGAGGAGGTCCTCCTCGACCACGATCACCACTGCTGCGACCTCCGCCGCTGCTTCTGCCGCCCCCACCTCCTCCACGTCCATCCCTGGGCACTCCTCGGGCACGCTCGACAATCACTCTACGATATTAAATGAGCAACCTTATAGTACCCATATTGTCACAAAGAACTATATTATGTGAAAATTAATATTTATTGAGTCTTACCTTTCTCCCAGCAAATCTTTTCCATTCAGCTCGTAGACCGCATCATCAGCATCCCTGTAGTCATCAAACTCCTGCAAATGTACAACAAATATCGATGATAAGCAAAGTTCAAATACCAAATTTTTTGAATATATTTTGCATTCAGTATTATATGCTCAGTACACGTTGGGAAAAGGAGTCATCAAAATCTCAGACCCGAAAGATAAGGATCATCATTTACACATAATACATACGAACTCAAGAAATTGAGAATCAATACTTTTGGTATTGCTACCAACAGTAAGTCAATTTTAGTCAATAAACAAGAAGAGAAATCGATACTTACCACAAATCCGTATCCATTTTTGATGAGGATGTCCCTAATTCTGCCGTAGCCCTTGAAGAACCTCTCCAGATCCTTCTCCCTTACCCCGTAGGGAAGCCCACCAATGTAAACCCGAGTTCCACCCATTCTCAATTAGAAAAAAAACCTTGTAAGTTTTCGAAATTCCGAAATTCTGCAAAAAAAATGCTCCAGCCAGAAGGATTGTAGGAGTACAACAGCGTATTTAGAGGACGTGAAGTGGAGTGAAGGAGGAAAGGGCAAACTTTATCGGCTTCTCCAGTCAAAGGAGAACGCATCGCCTGTGCCGCCTTGGTTTCCTCAGAGATGGCCGCCCCGTCCTGCTCACAAGTATCACAGGAAAAGGAACCGCATAGAATTTCAAGCCGCCGACGGCTAAAAAATGTTATTATTCCTTTCTTGCATTTTGCCTGGCGAATGAAAATTTGACTCAAAATTTTGAAATAGTTGGAAAATTCAAATTGTTCAGTTCGTCAGTAGCTTTGTGGTACGAGCAAGAAAGGGCGGTGGTCTGTTTATTGTAAGGTGAGCCAATTATGCAATATTCGTAATATTTCGTATACCATTATCAATCATATTTATACACGTGTGAATTTGTATTATAATTATAATTATGTTGTAATTTTGACTATTCAGACATCAAGGCCATTATTCAAACAAATTGAAACATACAAGAAGAATTAAAAGGAATTAATTTGCAAGGCATACAGAAAGGTAAGTAGTCTTGAACGTTTTCTAGCGTTTCACATTTTTAGAGAAAGTTTGAACTTAAGTGTTTAATGGAAATAATAATTATCAAACTTGTTAAATAGGACTCGGTTATTCTAGGACCTTCCAACATGTCGGTGGACGTGATTCCCAAAGATCTAAGAAACTTGCGAGCCTGTCTGGTCTGCTCTCTGGTGAAGACATTTGATCAATTCGACATTGATGGATGTGAAAATTGTGACGATTTCTTGCATATGAGGGGAAATCGAGAGAACGTCTACGCCTGCACAAGTACCAATTTCGACGGAATGGTTGCAGTAATGAGTCCTGAAGATAGCTGGGTGTGTAAGTGGCAAAGAATCAATAGGTTTACAAAAGGCATTTACGCCATCAGTGTTTCCGGAAAGCTCCCTGGTGGAATTGTTAGAGAGATGAAGAGTCGAGGAATTGCTTACAAGTCGAGGGACATGAGCAAAAATTAGTAATCGTCTTCGTGTCGTGTTCAAGATTTCGGATAGTTGTTGACTTTTTGACTGACTTTAAATTTATATTTTGTGTTAGGTTGTTATAATGAACAAAAGCTGCATAATCATGAAATTTGAAACGTTTTTGATTATTAACTGGTTAAACTATCTGTTGACGGTGATACTAGTATCACGACTTTTTGTATTATATATTATATTATGATTCATCACGATTAATAAATCCAGTTTGTTTGAAAATTCGAAGTAACACTACAATTCGACTGTAATCAATTCAACATAATCTTTTTAAAATGTAATTGTTGCTATACACATATATCGGTTTTACGCCACATTAGCTTCTTCATTTTGATTTGTAGAGGAGTGATTTTAGTTTCAGTCCTTTATAATTTTTGAACCAGCTAGTTGTAAATATACGTTTTTGTTTGCCCATAATCTCCTTAATGATCCCTGCGCAGGGGTCGCAGAGATCTATGGATTTTGCAGATGTCAGCCGCTTCTCCAAAGTCCCACGATGGTGCCAATCTAAGATAAAGATGGAATCTCCCTTTAGGGAACTTGACTCATGTTTGGGAAGAAACAATGCGATGAATTCAGTCGTGAAAATTGCTCCAATTTATTCTGCAGAATTAACTGGCATCTGCGAACCTCCATCGTTGCAAAAGGACACATTACAAGCTGTATGGAAAGCAAAGTCTCGAAGGCAAGAAGTTGATGATCGGTTGAAGGAAACTGTAGCGCATGCAGACTTTGTAATATTATAATCCCATTTTATGACACATTATGTATGTACTCATATTAGGGTTACGAAAGATGATTGTTGTAATTATTTCTGTGTACTGTATGTTTTAATAGCTGAAACAGCAACTGAAGCAAGTGAAGGAGGAGATTGAGAAAATATCCAGACAGCTTGAATCTCCAGACTTATTCTTAGAATTTGAAGTAGACGATCCAGCCGAGTTTTTGGCGAAAAATAACCTTGAACTACAACAACTACTTTTAAAGTGTGTTGGCGAAGAAGAGAATTTAGCAGTGGAGTTGGAAAATGCACAGTTAGTACTCGATACCCATTTTCCCGTAAATTTGCCTAATTTTTAAGATACTTGAATGTTTAAAATTATAATAGTCGACAAGTTTGGGAGGCAAGAGTTGCAGATAATTTGCTGGCAGTGGACGTTGAACGCACGTTAACTCCTGCCATTCAGGCATACGATAAAAGGAAAGAATTTATGGTACAAAAGAGGGCGTTTCGAGAAAAGCTCGCAACACAAAATGCTTCACGGTTGCAATCAAAATTTTTTCATACTGCAATGAAAGCCGTGGTAGAGTCAGATGCAGCCAAGATGAAAAGGAAAGCTCAAATAACACAGAAATTACAGGGAGCGAAAGAAGGACGGAAGCGAATTGAGCATCATCTCAAGAGGACTATGCAAACTCTAAAAGACCAAAAGTTGCTTCAAGTTTGTGATCTGCAATTGAAACAGGATCGGCAACACATGTTACTTTCTAATCTCAAAAAAGAAATTGATGAACAACGAGATGCACTGGAAGTAAAAAATCAGGCACGGAAAAAACGACTACAAAACATTGCAGAAGAGAAAGATAGGATTCGACAAGAATTTTTTAAACACGGAAAAAATCCATACTTTGTAGAACATCTGCTCGTCATTGTAGACCGTCGTGCAGAACTCCACCGGAAAATATTGCAGAAAGAAACCGAAAGACTTGTTCAACTACAGAAAGTTTATGAAATTACAGAAAAAGCTAAAAAAGCAGAAGAATTGAATAGACAGAAATGGGACAAATTCTGGGCTAAACAGCTTTCTGAAAAGAAACGCAAAAATGGGCTGAAAGAAGCTGCGTTACTTCACAATGAGGATGACAAAAATAAATCTGAAGTCAATTACAAAGTCAAGAATGTCAATTCTGATGGTAATCTCACTACCAGCGAGGTCCCTTCAACCACACCAATTATTGTGCCCCCTCATGTAGATGCCGCACCGCATGAAAAGCACATCAAACAACATGATGCAAAAGTCAGTACCTCTCGCAAAGAATCCGGTTTACAAAGAACGGATTCCGCTACATCAATCGACCATGAAAAAAATTCTTCTCATTTTCGTAAACCAAGGGGGAGTGTGGGTGCAATAAAAACAATTGACGGGATTCATCAACTTTTAAAATCTGAGACACAATAATAAAAATAGTTGTCAACAATAATTGTTGTTTTATTCAAAACTCTCCGTTCAGATTTCAAGTTATAAACGAGGATCCATACACATAATTAGAGAAATAACTAACAGCGTTAATCTTTAAATGTTTATAACCTTCTTATAATCACTTGTTCTGAAGATTACATTTAGAGTAGTAGTAATAATAATAATATGTTAGTTTGTAGTAACTCATTTGGTTTCATATTAGTGGTACTAGTAGTAGTAGTATAGTCAGGATCGAGAAAGCTGTGTGTCACATATATTTAGTTGGTAGTAGTAAATAGTAGTACATACATAGTATTACTAATTAATGATATAAGTTTAACAGCAACAACAAACATTGAATGTGATGTGATTTTCGTTTGTCTGCTCGTTTTGGGCTCTTTATTAATCATGATCCGTCGCCTTCTTTTTTAGTGCCAACTCAGAAGTATAATTTAGTAATGAAGTAAGTAATCATGAACATTAAAAACTTGTCAAGTTTAATTAAGACCTATTGAAATTCGTATTATTTTTCTATCACACAAGTAGTTCCAGTAATGTGATGATTTAACTTGTCTGTTTCGACCCCTTGCCAAAGGAGTTGTTTGGATTAGTACTACGCCACGTATGTAAAACCATCTAAAACTAAAGTGGGGGTTTTACGGAAGTTACATAAATGCGTACGGAAAGTGTAAAAATTCAGACTATTTTGCTCATATTGTGATCAATACCCTACAAAATTCTGTTAATTGCGATAATTGCATATCATCCGCGTCAGGGTTATCTGTATTTATGTAGAGCATTCAATTATGCATGCTATTTATGTATAATAGGCTACAGTTGGTTGAATTGAGACTGTCAAAGTTCAGGTTTATGTACGTAATAGTAAGAATAAATTAATCAGTGTTAATCCCATCTGTCAAAATTAGGGCCATAATAATATGCATATGAATACGTACGTAGGTAATATCTAATCTATAATTTCTTGACGTTCCACTGCTATAATCACCAATACGTAACATGACCAACTCAGCATAATACGTAATTAGACGTTTGTCGGTAATGTCCCCTGTAATCCTACCAACTACCAAATCATATCCAACATGGAGCAAGAATATGAAAAAATAAAAAAGAAGAGAAAATTCTACTACGTCTAAATTTGTATGTATGTATAAGAGCTGGCAAGATGATTTCTTGATTATTGTATACTTTTAGTAAAGAAATGTTTGTGGCATACATAATTAATCATTAGGACCAGAAAAAGCATATTTTTCTGGATGAAAGGCTTCCTATATTCCAGGCTAGTCTTAGTACGTTTGAAGTTTATTTTTATTATGCAATTCAGCAGCACTCCGTCATCTTTGATCGTCTATTGCGACGACGACGACGACGAATCACTCGTGATTTAATCGTTTTGGTTTGCATAACACAACTTATTTGATTTGGTAGTAAATTTTGACTACCTAATCAAACGAATGAAAACTGTGGGTTTTGTTCTGGCTGAAGAAGATAATAATGGATCTGTTGTGGGTAACGGTGACATCGTAGTTTAGGCAATGACTTTATATTATTCGTTGATTGCGTGACCTTTAAGGAAAGTGGAAGATTGCGTAAGACAATATGTGTATGTATATATTTCTGTTGCACACGGACTTGCGACCTACATACATTGACAGAGATACGACATCGTAACAATACATGATTGACCAAGAAGAAGGAGTGGAACTAAAATACGTTGAATAATGTGCCAGCTAGCTAAATCTAACTCTGCAGTTGTACGACACTAGTCAGGTCGCGCGACTCTAGTGCTTCTACATGCGCTGCTGTTTTTGGTGGGGAAAGGCGAGTGAAGAAGAGCAAGAAGGAGGAGGAGGCGACGAGGGAAGACCTCACGGCTAAAAATGCCACAACTATCCTAGTGATAAAGAATTGAGAAAGTGCTTGATGAGAAGGATATTCACAACTGTGATTGATTTGATTTCGTTATTGAAGGATCTGGTATTACTATTTACTATGTATGTATGCGGCGAATAATGCCCATCGGATCTGGTCTTTGGTCCCATGTCCATTCGGACCCCTACCCACCCACGCCTCAAATCGTCTCAAACAATTCGTGACTTGGGCACAGACGCAAACTTGAAAGGCGTACTAGGCGACGTTGGTGAGCATGCGAGAAACATGGGTCGTCGCGGGCTAGCGACTGGTGGCGCGGTCGTACCAGTGGTGGTGGTGGTGACGGTGCCAGTGATAAAGGTCCAAATTCATGTAGCTACAGGTTGGTTGGTAGAAGAGTCCGTTGGTTGGTGAATAAATGTGGTTGGTGGTGACCAGCACTATTTGTTAGCTTAATTATTATCGTTATGTTGGTAGTAGAAGTACTACTTGACAATCATGTTTCAAGAGGAGATTAGTTAAAAAAAGTAAAGGTTTAGCATGGTAATATTATCTTAATATTCAATCAATGAATCCTTATGTCTTGCTAGAAAAACTCGAGTTTGGTAACGATTACAGACACAGCAGACTTACGACTAGTGAATTATATTTAAGTACTTGCTAGGTTGATTAATATGATTTTGTCTGATGATATTATATGTATTTCACGGGAGCAGGACCATTTAGTCATCCATTGTGCCCAAAAAGTGCATATTATCATTGTATCAAAAGAAGAAAATGTTCATCACGTAAATCACAGATAAACTCACGATTTATCCTTCTCCTTCCCATTTATGGGGTTCGGCTTCGGCACTCCTGCGGGCACAAATAACACAAAATCATTAGCTCAGCCGCACCCCTCCGCCTCCTCACAGTACATCAACAGCTTGTAGCAAACAACTATTTACTATCGTGGCCAACTTTCACCGCGCAGAAACCACCTTCTCCATCATGTCCAACCAATTGTGCAATCGCATATGCACATAAGTACAGTACATATGCATATGCAAGCCTCTGTCTGTGGAGGGGATTGGTGAAAGTTGGAGAAAGCCTCATTTTTTGTGCGGTGAAAGTGTTCCACATTTCCATTGAACATTGACACTAATTATTGAGACCAAACAGACATCCAGAGCAAACACACGTTCAGTAGAAGTAGTGGAAGACATGGCACAATGATGATGGTAAATATGAAAAAAAAATATCCACTGACCACTACTAACAATTAATAATACTAAAAACAGGAAATGGACATTGGGCAGGGAAGCGCATGTTGACTGTCGCCGATTTTGACCTAAATGTATGCCACGCCACGCACCCCACCCACGAGGAATCCAACCACATTTTATTATTGGACTGAGACATGATTGGTTTCGTGGTGGTGGCAGCTAAATAATTCGGGCATCAAATGGCTAATACATAAAGTGAGACCGAGACATAAAATCTTTACTGTTGTGAAAACAAGGGTGAAAATGAAGGACGTGTGCAATAAAACCAAATTAAAATAAGCTCGTAAATGTGAACGCAAGCGTGTGCGTGTGTGTGTGAAGAAAAACTTGTTCAAGTGTGATACTTATTAGTTAATTAGTATTTTTTTACTCGTTTTTTGGAGTCTAACAAGTCCTACGACGACTGGAAAATAATATAGAATATGTAATGCGACAAGTGTACTACGCGTATAAGGCATACATACATGATTTTTGTTAAATCAGGGAGAAAGTGTTTTGCAAGGCGTATACAGTTATTATAGTTCTGCTACATTTAAGACGTACTTCTTACTAGGCTTGTATGATACCAGGGACATGAAAATACATGCCCCCTGTTTTGGACATTTATTCTAAAATTAGCGGGAGGGGGGGGGGGGGGTTAATTTCATCGGTAAGTTCCCTAAACTTGGGTATCTCTAAGGATAAGTACTTCATACAATAACTACAATAATTACCTTATTGGTTGTTCTTATTGATGGTTGATACTTGATAGACATATGTATGCATTTATGCACATGTAATGCTATTAAAGGTGCAGATGAGTCATTCGGAAATTAAATGACAATCACAGAAGCATTGCAAAAATATTTAGCAGATACATATTTTATTTATGTCTACGGACGGATAGCAACTATCAGCAAGTTGCACTCACAGTTGAGCAAAGGGGAGAAGCTATTTATCATTGTACGGCAATACGAAGCATAATTAATTATGCATGCGAGATACATATTTAGCAACTACGGGTATTACCGAAACGATGGTATTAGAAGCATCAAGAGCAATGTGACTGAGGCTACGGAAACTACAACAGGTTTGCGGAACAAGAAGACGAGAGAGAAATAAGTAAGACGATAAAAGACGAACGAGACGACGAGGATAAAAGAAAAGGATACCTTCGTCGGCAAAGAAAACTAAGAAAGAATGAGAATTTATTGCTGTTTGGGCGCTGCAGCGCTGTTTTGTCCTCCCTGACGGTCTTGTTGAGCTCGATTCCACGCCTTTTTCATCGCTATTCATTCCCAATCCCATAATATCAGTATATCAGATAACACATCATGTTATGGTTGTCATACATTGTTCTTATCAAAAAGGGTGATGATGCCAATAAATAATGGTGCCTGGTGTGGGTGTGTGGGTAAAAAAGGAAACTAATGACAGTACAAATAATAATAATAACCCAACTGCATGGTTTTCCATCCAAGGACTAAACGCATTCACTCAAGTTCACATTCACACACAACTCGCATAGAAATTGAGAAATTAGTGAATAAGAAATAGCAGTCACACCCATTTGTAAAGATGTTGCATGAGGATTGTGGGAGTCGAGAGGAATTCAGCTCATACCCATTTTCGGTGTTGATAGAATATCTTTACTACTTGGATTATTCTGCTTCATGGCGTTCACCCGCCGCGCCCCCGGAACCCCGCCCACCGGCCCCGTCGGAGGACCCGTGGGAACACCTGGATGGTGCGGAGGGCGTAAAGTCTCCACCTTCACGACAACAAACACAACCATTATATTCCATACCGTAACGTTTCAATAACGATTATCTCATTATCACAAGCAATAATTATTAGGCTGTCAAGACTTACAGGAATCACACGTCTTCGTTTCTTTGGAAGCTTTGCTCGCGCCTGTTCAATTAGAAAGTAGAGTTTCACTTTACAACATACGTACGTACGAGGCTAGAGGGAAACACAAGGTTAAACGTTGCTGACCTGCGTGTGGGAGTAGTACATGGCAAAGTTGGAGACAATGACAGGAACAGGAAGAGCTATATTTAAAAAGGTCACCATTAAGGCGATGATCTGCATTTCCATATGTTTACAAAGTTATGCAAATGTCACTGACCAATAGTGAGCACACCGGCCAAAGCACAAAGAGCTCCGACCAACATTCCGACGTAGGTTTTTGGCGTCTGCGACATTAAAATACAAGGTATTTAAAAAAGCCTGTTTAGATGTGATGGAATTTTGCGTGTCATTGCGTACCATGTCCCCGTAACCCACAGTGGTCATCGTGACCAACGCCCACCAAAGACCTGGTACAATGTAAGTAGGGATTTTTATTTAAATGCAGATTTACAATTACTAAATTAGGATTACTGACCTAAAGGAATGCTGTTGAAATCGTTCTGCGGATTAGCTTGCAAACGCTCCGCATAATAAACTAAACCTGTTGAGACAAATGCAATAAAAAAAATTAGTAAAATGTACTTGGCTTATTAGTTTTATGCCATAGCCTTCGTGTGTTAACTACTCACTTGCAAATATAACGATGCCCAGCACCAAGAAGAAAAACAGAAGGGTCAATTCCTTCGTCGAAGCTCTGAATGTCTGTAAAAATAGTTTTATGGTTAATTAAGTCGTCAATGTTCGGAAGATACGACAGTTTCACGCGTGTGCTCATACCTGCATGAGTATCTTGAGACCGGATGAATGTCTGGTGAGCTTAAAGAGCCGCATGATTCTTGAAATTTAAAATTTAAAATTGATAGTTTTCAACGTTTTTAATCAGACTGATAAACTGTAATAATTAATAATTCAATTTATTTACCTGATGATGGAGAAAAATTCGAGAATGTCGGCCTGTACAAGAAATAATTATAACATGAGTTAATTTGAGAATTGAATCGAATCATCAAATCGTGGTCCCGTGTCGGTCAATGTTTCAGCGAATGAGGCTCAGAACAAGGACAAAGAATAAAACTTACATTCTCGAGATGGGAAGCGAACTTCTGGAGAATGAGATCTGGAGGGAGGTAAAGATCGAGTAAGTGTTCCGACATGTCATAAACTTTATTAACGCCGTGTACGACATACCGATGTAGAAGGAGAGGGTGGCAATGTAGTCGATGACGTTTACAGATGCCCTGATAAACTGCCACTTGTTGGGAGAACTGATAAATCGAACCAGGATCTCAAAGGTGAACCAGGCGTTACAGACACACTCGATCTGGAAAAAATCGTCGTTATCAGATATTTATAATTTTGAAAAGTCACTAGCAAATCAGTTTTGGAATAAATAAAAATCACATTTCACTTACCCAAAAAAATGCGGCGTGTGCATTTGTCCCTTTTTTATCTAATGTCCACGCAGTCCTGTTCCTATTTGTTTTATTAATTCAAAATGTGATTATAACTCAAAAACATCAAGTGGATTACTTCATCATTGTTTTGCTTATTCATGTAAAAACGCGAATAAAAATACGTATGAAAACTTGGCGTACCCTGCGGTGTGCACGGTAATATTCCTTATATACGGTACCCTCATGTCTGGATGCGTTTTCAGGCAAAATGATAGAATGGATATACAGATGAAGAACACTGAAACAATCCCTATTATCTGCAATTACACAATAATTACTCATTTACACATCGTCATCATCAGCCCTCATTTCATTAGCAGGGATACGAGATGTATTTATGTGTCGTGGGATAGATCTCTAGTGCATGTGCAGCGACAGAATATCCGGTTTGGCCAAAATGTAATGATATAACCGTGTTTTAACTCTTCCCTGCTTGCAATTATACGGTCCATCATTATTACACAACTATTAGCTTTGGGCCAACATGTAAGGACATATCTGATCACATAAATCCTCTCTCCTTCGCTTTCTCTCTCTCTCAACGAGTTCGTGACGACGCATCATTCCACAAAAGTTTGCATTTTACATTTGTTTGCCAAAACTGGGAGGGAGCAGGGTGCCAAATGACCAATTTATTACAGACTTGTCATTTAGTCGATATTGATAAACGGGGGTGAAAGCAGGCAAAAAACCGGGTGGTAGATATTTATGCAAGGAAGCTGCGAGGAACTCACTTTGGCAGAATTAGAAGAGTAAGGCTCGTCAAACAGTGACCTGTAATACACATGAAAATATGTTTAGCAAATATACTTCAGGATGACTTACAAAAATTGTCGTGTCCCATAACATACCACAATTTGGGCTTGCAACGTTGCCACCAGCTCAAGTTTCCCGACATGTAATCATCCTCAAAGCCAAATTTTCTAGCTAATTCTTCGTCTGAAGGCTTATCTGTGTCTAAATCTAGGCGGTCCAGCACTGCCAGCGTCTCCTGAGTGTCTCGATGCTGTCAGGGAGGAAAACACGTACATAAGTATGATTACCCGACTTGACACGATATGCTAAACAGGGTCAGCAAGCATACCTGTGTGTACGTCATCCAACAACAAGGTCTAAAATTGAAGTAAAATAAAATATATATAAGGTGGTCAGAAATACAGCATTAATTTATTTAAAAGAGTTCTGCATGAACGATGTACGTACTCCACTTGGTTCGAGTCCAGTCCCCAGAACTCCAACTCTTCTTCGAACAGGGGGCCACACACGTCCTGAGCAGATCATGTTTGTTTTTCAATTATAACTTTGGCATTTCAAACAGAAGTTCGGTGCTGGAGGAGTCATTATGCACAAATCTATGGACAATAAATTGCACCAACTCACCGTTGGATAATGCAGCTTCCCCGTACGATAATAATTCAGCACCTAAAAAACATTATTATCATATCGTTAAAGATGCATTTCCAATTATATATTTCACATTGTACAAGTTATTATTTGTACGTTGCTCAAAATTTTCAGTGTGCATGCGTAAAACAATTTCTAAAGTGGGATAAGACTTGCTTCACAGGCTGCATATTTATGTACCAAATTGTGCACCCGATTTGCGAGAAGCTGTGCACTCACGTCATTTATTAGGTGTATGCACCAGAGGAAGTATGAATGTACGCTTTATGAAAGAAACGACCAAAGAAAATAAATAAGATCTTCTTTCCAAGAAGGAGACGCGACGAAATGTTTTCGTAATCTGTGAACTCGAGTAAAACTGCACGTGCAAGCCTGTTAAAGTGCCGTTCCGTCAAAACTGTCAAAAGTTAGTCAACTGGAGGAGAAGAATGCATGGAAATTTCAACAGGATTTTTTACCCCATTTGTCATTGCTAATGTACGAAGAGCAAAATATTCAGGTGCGGGATAAAACCGACACTACAATTAATAAGCCCACGTACCCAATTTTTATCCTCATCCTCCTAAACGACGTACTCATGCTAATCTCTCAAAGTTGGAAGAAAAATGCAATGAATGAATCCAAACATGAAACAAATTTACTTTTTTGCGGAGGAGGCTTAAAGTCCTTGGGATACGTGGGGGCAACCTACCGCTGCAGTTACTACTGCTTTGGGTCGAGTGGCACTATGTGCTCACCCGTAAAGCATCTCACCCTTCTAAAAGAAGAGCTGCTTTCTCGGATGAATTGGGCCGGAAGCGTTCTACGTACATATTTCTGAGCTTAGTTTTGGACGAGGGCGGTGATGTGATGCGGAATCTGCTCTGCTTCAATTTCATCAAGCGAGAAGGAAAGCAAAGCAAAAGGAAATAACTCGCTGCTTTCCATCGTCACAGCCGACGAAGAGTTTGCAACTTCTTTAACTTGACCCAGATTTGGGAAAAACTGGGCAATAAATTCGGTCTACAGTTTGCTTTGATGTATTCCCCACTTTGATGGGGGCGGAATGTGCATCTTTTAAATTTTATATGGTTTCTTCTCACACAACCATGTGCAGTGTAGTTCATATCGCTATTGAGCTTTTTTAGTGTGTTTTTTTGGCATTCGAACGGTTTATTTAAAATGTGCTTTTGATTCTCCGTCGGCCTCTTTATTTACTGAAGTTTTTCTCGTAATTTGACAAGTGTTGGAATAACTCACTTGTGCACATCTAATCTATATCTTATCATCATAATAATCATGAACATGCATGCTGACAAGAGAACGTTGGGTGCAGCCCAGCTTGTTAATTAAAGTCACCTGTCCAAAGACCCCCGGATGACGGTCGAAGAAGTACTCGTTGAGGATTGGGTCATAGTTGGCGAGAGCTTCTGTTAATCTGGAAAGCCTCGTAGCAGGAATTTTCTTTAACGAGAATGGAAAAGCATGTGTTAAGCATTTATTTATGGAACTTTATGTTGAACTATGCGATGCAGTTTTTACCTTTAACGTGGCTTTGTACGTTTCGTGGCGTATGCTGCAAATATAGACGAAGCCAAGTTAGCATAATTTTCATATCTGTCGTTGCATGTCGCATTACACATTATCGACTAATTCTGAAGGTCTAGCAACAAATGTCACCGCTTATTCTTACCCCCCCACGTTGAGCACCACCCGATTTTCCGCGTCCATATTCACATTCATCCTCCTCGTTCACCTCCTGCGGAGGATGGCGAACTAACCTGCAATTAAAGCATATTTATAGATTTTTCCAATGCAAACTCCACTTTATGAGTGGCCATCATTTTTATAATGATCATAAAAGCAGCCATACGCGCAGAGAAAGTGTCCTGCCAGATGAGTTTGTAAAACATGTATACCCGTTGGACATACACATAATGACATATCATTTCTCTTCTCCTCCCCCCAAGAAAAATAGAAAAAGGCTGAAACATTATTTAGGTCACTTATTCTGCCCTCTTAAAAAATGTGTGTTATGTAATCTTCTCACGTTCCCAGTTGTTTGTCAGTATCAGTGTTTTAAAACATACAATCAAACCGAGTAAAGTATGTACTTGTGGAATGCATACGTGCAATAATAATCTGCTCTGAAATCGGCCATTCGCCACCCATCGTTTCTTGCCAAAGTTCTAAAAATGTGTTTTATTACTTGCCACTTTAGTTTATGTCAAAAAACACATGTCACACCTTTTCAGCTTGGCACCACTACACGCGTACATACTTTCGTACCATTAGGCATCATGTTTAAACCATGCAAGCATCATTTTTTTACACTTGTTTGTATAAATATGCATGGATAGTCCGTATTCCTTTCTGCCTTCCGTCTTTCCTAAAAGTTTTATCCACTTCGCCTTCAATTTTTTAGCTTCATGTGGGGTTCGAGAATATTGAAAAATGATGTTTTTGTGTCGTGAGGTGACAATCTTGACTTGAAGCAAAGTCATGAGACACACGTCTTCTTGAGGTTAGTTGAGCCTGACCCAAAAATATGAGAGCTCGACCTGTCTGTCACAATTACGCTAAATTTCTTTCCTCCCGCAAATCCATTGGATTTCCTCGGATTCGGAATTGGGATCGGTCGCTCCTTATTAGCATCACTAGCCGTCTACTTTACGTAATGGAATGCCGTATGCGAAAAGTTATCGCGGCGGCGGTGTGTGTCGTGGCACAGAGAAGAATGACGGCTCCTTCTACAGACACACACACATTGGTATCGACTCGAGGAAATTGAGACCAGTTATCAAATTCGTAAAATAAACAAGGAGGAATTTTGCTGGCGTGGGAGGTGTGACCAAAATAATTGCTAAAATAAACTTTATGAACTGCTAAACTAAACCTGCAAAATATTTATTTTTTGAGATAGTTCAACGCTTTCATGTTAGATCGAGCAGTTTGAGTGTGTGGCATTTTGGGAAAAATATTGCATAACTGTTCCTCTGACCATGTTATTAAAAAAATTGCCGTGAAGGGAAGAATTGTATTAAAAATTGATGTTCCTATATCCGTTTTGTACACGCACGTAGAACAACTCGCACCTCAAAAACGAAGGGCGAAATAAGGATGGAGTGGATGCCAGGCTTGCCACCGCACCTTCGCCATTCTCGCTCCCCTCCTTCCTTCCTTCCGTCCTTCTTGCTTTCCTCGTCGTCACGTCAATTCATTGAAATTGCAGAGCCACACACCACCACACAATATGTGAGCCAAAACGTGAACAAAGTGGCAGAACCGGGTCAACCAAGCAGTCGTCGACTACTTTCACACACACACAGGTATCGGAGAGAGAAAGCAGTTTTTCCTAGGCTGCGCTCCTCCACCGTCATTTCCTTCGTGGCGTGTGATGTGTGGGACCCACTTCCACTTTGTATTTCGTCCAATTGTTATTCTTTCCTTTTCTGCTCGGGACACACGATGGTGTGGGATTGAAAGCAGCAGTTTCACTCGACCCAACACTGCCAAGACTCTGCCAAACCACCCACCCACCATCAATTCCTACACTTGGGCTTCAAACGGAAACTGGATGACTAACAACATGACCGGTTTATACTCTATCCGACCGAGGAGATAGTACATAGAACAAGAGCCAGCCATATCCGCGTATATGAGGGCAAACACGGGGAGCGTTTCGAAATTACAGGATACAATCGTTGATGGCCTTGTTCAATAAGACCTCAAGTTGAGCAGTGGGGAGTATCAAAAGCGGAAGACAAAGGGCCTTTGTTCTCATCCATAAATTGTCTGTTTATCCAATCACAAGTAGTCGAAGGAATTGTTCCTTTTCGCTACGAAATCCACTTGTACGTACATAAATACCTATCTGTACGAGGTTCCCTGGCTCTGCCGGTGGTGGTTGCGTGGTTGGTCGGCTTATGTTAACGCCGATGGTTTACGTACCAAAGTAATTACAATGGGCCAAACAAACGTCAAGACCAGTGGAATAAATGACAAGCAGCGTCAATCTAAAATACACAACATTGAATCCTCGCCCTATGAATAATGCCACCACGAAACCCGGGAGCTTACTATTTATGTCCATATGTACTGGTGGATGAAGGGATTGGTCGGGCTCGGGCGGAATCTGCATGTTATTGAGCATATTAAATGTAATAAAGTACGTAAGTAAACGATTAGTGTGCATGTATTTCATGCTCAATAACTTCACGTGGCATTTGAGTGGCTACACATTTGGTACGTACGAGTGGAGGAGAAATGCAATAAAATAAATATTGTGGTAATTTCAACAACGACCAAATTCCGGGTATTTCAATGTAAATAAATTGCATACAAATTGTGGACTGGAGCCATGTATAATGCAGCTGAGCGCTTCCTTCTCGCCACAGCACGGCCACAAGCACCTTTCTTTCCCCCTGTGCTCCACACACTTGTCCATGGCTTACAAGATTGCGAAAGAAAGCAAGTGCTCCCCGCTCACCCCGTCAGCCAAGGAACGAAGCAAGTGAACCAACTATTGCCTCCAATTCAATTGGGTGCATGTCACAATTTGAATGCGATAGGATTTGGATTGGCTTTCAGTCGGATTTGTTTTTGCGCCTCGTTTTCTTAAGCTTTCTACAAATTCAAACTTTCTCTCGCTCCTTCAGAGCCGTCTGAAAGCCTCTCAATGTATGAACTTGCTCCTTCTCAGAGTCAATTAAAGAGGAATATTATATGGGATCCAGAGCAGATTTGGCACATTTTGGGCGCTATATGTACACATATAATACGAATGTTGGCGAGGTGGTGGAGAAAGTCCGCCACTCACACAGTTTAATTTATAAAATTGTGGGCAAAACATAGGATTGGATTCTCTCCGTGTGCCACCTTTGGTCCTTGGGTAATAATATGTTCTTGTGGCATTGGAATTATTTCTGGTGCTCGTCAGAGTTGCTACATACGAGTAGATGAGGAGGAGGAGGAGGAGGAGGGAGAAATGGGATGGGAAAGAAAGTGGTAATTATCCTGGCGTCAAAAGAGCAAGGAACATGATGGATTGCTCTTTGCCAATTCCGTCCAATTCCTCCTCTCTCTCTCCCACTTTTGATTTCCTCCTTCCATCTCAGCTTCAACTCCACTTTGCTTAACCAGCTTCGGAATCTACGACGCGATCGGAAAGCAGCCACTGTTGAACTTCGACCAGTGCTACCACATTCGTACGTAGGTCCACATGCAGAGCTGAGAGCACCGGTTGGCTCTTTCCCTTTGGATCGTTGGCTGGTTGGCATTTGGCATCTTATTGATCTCCCTCCAGCCAAGATGGCAAAGGGCATATGCACAACTGGACCAAATATCTACGTGCTAGATGAATGGCTAAATTGTCCAGGTACAAAGTGCTCCATAAATAAACGACCCATAATGCATAATCATTTCGTAGACGTCTGAAAGTGCATGAGTGGGACGACGACGTCAAGTGTGTGTTTAGGAGAAGGAGCTGAAATGGATATGTGCTCACCAGAGTTAATTTCGCCAATCCCGACGCCGATGAGGATGGAGAGAAAGTTAGCACCCACTTGTGAATGAAGATGATGTGGAGACGAGTAATTGTCACCTTTCACTTGCACCACCACCACCACAACTACCACCAAACGACCAATAAACACCTCACAAACTGTCCACTCGATTAGGTTCCTCGCTCACCCACTAATTTAGGGTTAGGAGGCTTTTTGTCTGAATTTCATCCTAACTGTCATTTTATCGCCCGTCATCGCACCAAGTCACGAAATCAACCACTTCCATCAATTCAACACCACCTCGTCGTCGACTTCCAATAACGGCTTAATGTCCTCCACTTAAGCCATAATTCGTCCGTCAAAGAGAAAGTAAGAGTAATGATGGTGCTCCTACTCGTGGTCCTTCCCAAACTCGGCTGCTGACATTTCTTGTCGTCTCCCTCAAAACATGACATCAATAATTAGTTGCCGTCCTCTCCTGCTTCTTCTTCGACAGCCTTTTAATTGAGCCACCAAATTCCTCCCGAGAAATGACGTGCGTTGACTCTGGTTGAGTGAGACGACCGTGACGACAGCAGCTGCAACAACAACAAGAAAACATAATTACTCGAGAGAAAGCATGACTCGCTGGGCAAACGTTCACGAGCCTTGAATATACAGGATAGACAACTGTTGGACAAAATAGCCAACCAGGTGCCAGGTGGTGAAAGTCTGGCACGGGGAAAGTTGTGTCTCCATTTATTTAACGACTCTCTGACCAACCTCCTCCATGCATCCAGCAGTGTATGGCACTAATACCACCACAATTAAGCAACAAGCACGATCGTGATGAATTAGCCTAATGGTTAAACAATGACGCTGCCTCCGAATAAGAGTATACCAGCCAATGTTAACCAGCATAATGTTAATACTACACTTCTGCCATGTGAGGACGCCATATCTGCTCAAACTTGGGAGAGAATAAATGAAAATGTCAATTTAGATAAGCCTCGAAGAAGGTGTGTTGGACATGGTCAATTTTGCAGGGAGCTCATTTCCTCAGAATACAACTTTGCTCCTGTCTGGTCGAGTGAGATACAAGAATGACTTTGGTGAGTGAGACGGACATACGGACAAAGCGAAAGTTGGTTGCAGTAGTTAAGTCACCGGACAATCCCTTTCTGATGAATTAAGAAAGTAGGAAGGCGGGAGAGGGCATGTCATTCTTGGAAGTGGATTTAGGGGGATTTCCGTCCCTGTGCTGATTATGATCCAGCGAGAAGAGGAATATTGCGATAGTTTATCCCATTACTGCTCAGCCCATTATACTCGTTCGTGTGTTGTTATATCTCCCTCTCCACCAATCCAATACTTATCACGGTTCACTGATCCTTCAGTAAAAGTCACACTCGCTCCTACTCTTTCAGCTTATACAGATCTGTATGTGCGTCCAACCGTTAATCTCCTTATGGCCAAACTCACCCAGCAGCAGCTCATGCCGTCGTTGGCTGAGTTGTGAACACGGGTTGTGAAGAGTGGAGAAGTCGTCTTCTTGGTCTTCTTCATCTCTGTTTACTCTCATAAGTCCAGACTCATTTCCGACTGACGTTGTTGGATTAATCGAAAAAATAAGATGAGCTACAACACTTGGCCACTCGACGTTCGCCAATTTCATCCATCCCTATTTCTTCAAAATGATTGGGTTTCACACTCCGTGCATGCAAACATTCGTGGAAAAGGAGAGAAAATGGAGGAAATAAGTTTTCACTTTCTTTCAAGTGTTTGAGAGAAAAGAAAGTGTTCCTCGTCGCCCTATTTACTCCGAGTCGTTCGGGGAGGAAGGAGTGAAGGGACTACTCGAGGCAGAATGGAACTTCGTCCTCCTGGAAATATGACATGGGCGTTATTATTTCCGCCAAGTAATCCGTTAATCTGATCAAATAAGACAAACTGCCAATGTCACCTCCAGTCCACTTCCCAATGATCCACTCCAACAATACTTAGGAGTCCTACCCCATGCACCAACTAATCAACTCTGGTGGGCTCATGAACTTTGTCCCACTTTCACAAATAGATCACTACAAAACAACAACGGTCTGCTGCATGTCGGTAGTATTTTCTATCAAGTGAAATATTAATTGCAATTTGCCGTCATGATTGACCACTTTGTTCCAGTTTTTTTAAGCCGGCACGCATGTATTGGGCGGAGAAAGCTAGTGGAAACTGGGGAAAGCAGTGTGAAGAAAGTAGTCCATCGTCGTAGGCGGCAGGAGGATAATGCATAAAGTGGCAGCGATTGCGATCATGGAGTGATTGATGTGGACATCGGTCACAAAGTTGATAGTGGATGGATGGAGAGGAGCTGGTCGTCATCACTCAGTCAGCACAGCAGCAGTGTGGCCACTTTCTCCAACCGTCCATGTCCATCCGTTTCACCCACTTAGCCTGCTCCCCTCCTGCCTCTCACGTAATGCTGTTCAGCCTCAGTGTGTGTGTGTGTGTGCTTGCTTGCTTACTCAACTTTGGTTACAAAGTAAACGAAGCCAAGTAAGTACAATTGACAAAAGAGCAAATAAATCTAGCTCTTTAGTTAACACATTGATTTTATGAGGAGAGAGAGACAGTCTCCATTATTAATATGGATTATGGACACGCGGACACTTTCGCCACCCTTTGTTCCCTCTCATATCTCTCTGCTAAATATATTTCACTCGTCCATTGTTCTCCTCCTCCTCCTCTTATCTTAACCACTCTTAAGGCACCCTTGTTGTACATTCTTACGTACACACTGCCACTCACTACTTGTGTGTTGTACAATTCCATGCTTTAGAGAAACGAGAGAGGCAATAGAATTAAAAATTAAGCAGTTTTTCTTCAAACCTCTTCCACCGCAAGTAACAGGTCAGGTTTGGAAGTGGATTTTTGGCATGAAAAGATTGGTAGTGCTTCTTTAGCAATGCAATGTAACCCAGCCCTGGGCAAATATTTGAACATTCGCTTTATTACTCACGAGAAGCAAGAAATTCATTGTAACTCGAGACGGTTGGACACGGACTGGTGACACAAGTTAACCACACCACACACAGCCGAGTGTCCATGTGGACAAATGTGTCGATAAATGGCTACTGGATTATTTGCCACCAATCATCAACTTATTTATGTGCACACCACACCTTCTTTTGCCTTGCATTGATTCCTCCTCTATTTGTGTACTTTTGGGGCTAATGCTATTGTTGGGGAAAGTAATCAACCTTCACCACCACGACCAGCATGATTCACTATGTAAAAAAGGCTGACAAACATTAAATGTCAATATTGTCACTCTACCTGTAACATTTAGTATTCCGACGACGACGACGAATGAATCAGGAACAACTTGGTCGTGTAGTTTCCACTGCTTTCACCCACTTTCACTTTTCAGCAATGAGATATTTTTGACATTTTCCTACTATTTGGTATCACCACTTGGGAGACACGGGTATTTCCTCGCTCGGGGCAGTCAGCGCGTGACCTGGACGTGTTGTTGTCGTTGGAAGTCGTGGTAGGTGGCGAATTGAGAAATGATAAGGAGTTGAGTGAGAATGGCGAGTGGTGGTGGGAGGAGGAGGAGGAGGAGGGTGACACACGACCACTGCTGATCTTCTTCTTCCTCTGCTGACATCAGAAATCACATCACAACCAAGTAGGTGACCACAAGGCAGGTAAAGAGAGAGAGAGAGAAAGAGAGAGAGAGACTGGAGAGAGAAAAGGCTCACTCACATCTTCGAAATTCCTCTCACGCCCCTTGGAATTCGAAATGTGATTAGATTCAAATGTTGATGATGATGGTGAGATGGTGGTGAGGGAGGAAAAACGGCCTGCAGCACTGAACAATCTGCTCCATCATATCGCAGTGATAGCTTTTAACCTGTAGATTTTGTTGGCATTAGCTCTGGGAGGCGCTCACTGCCACCACCGGGGATGAATTGGAGAGTGGTGTTGGGCGAGCATTTGGTTGTTTGATTGGTTTGGTGGAGAAAGTGAGAGAGAGAGAGTGAGAGAAGGAAAGTGCGGAAAGAGGGACAATTAGTGGCCACCCTCTGGTCGAAGGAATTAGTGGAGACTGGGAGGAGGAGGACTGAGACGAGGAATAGCAGAGGAGGAGGACGTCGTAGAGAGTGAGTAAAAGTATGTCTTTTTAGTGAACAGTTACAAAGAGAGTCTGCTGGTAAATTTGTGGATGGCAGATTCCGATCACCCATCAACTAATGGTGAGAGAGAGTGAGAGAGATCTTGTGCTCGGCCTATGCCCAGCTCTTCTTCTGCCATTCCTCTCGTACCGTCGTGGAGTAATGTGCATGAAAAGAGAAGTGCCAGCTCGGCAGTCGGTGTCGGCGATGTTGGCGATGGTGGTGGAGTGGGGAATCGATTCATACTCACTCACTGCAGGTGAAATGGAACCACATTCAACACTCAGCCGACGACATGAGGAGTGAGGAGAAGGGGGCACTTGCGCCGCTCCTTCCCCACAAGCACGCGCTTGCCTCCTTTCTCTCCCACTTTCTTACAAGACATCAACACGAGGATTCAGGCCAAACACCAACTCTGTCCAGCCCAGAGGGGTCGAGCACACCAAACCAACTTTCTCAAACTTTCTCCATCCAGCCACCGGAAGTGCATCTCTCGTCCCAACCATTTTCAACTTCCACATCCTCCAAAACATGTACACACACGCTCCGTCAGGTTTCACTTTCCCCAACAATGCGATACATAACTGTTCGTTGGAACAATTACGTATTAAGAAATGTCTCAAATTCTCACCATGCCCATAGGACGTGCATTGCATTGTCCCCCTCCCACTAGCCGATTCTAAAATGGAAATTAGGTTTATAAGCACTGTGTTGACTGCCTCGTCCTCATAAATCAATAACAAAAGATGATAAGGCACGGTTGATAAACATTTATTGTGAACGGGCTCATCAGAATACATATAAAACAAATAATGTGATACCCCCAACATTGCATGTATTTGTATGTAGCTTAATATTTCCATATTACTAAATAGGAAACATTGTAAAAAACAGGTTGTTTTTTCTTTACAAATAACATTTTATGTAAGTTTATTTGATTTCATAGTCATTATAGTTTTTTTCGGATCTAATCCTCCAAGGATTTTTTAACACTTATCAAAAAAAGTTTACACTTTCACTTGTCAACTATGCTGAATTTATTTTCAGCACCCATCCAAGTAAACATAGATAATTAATTAAATTAAAAAATATAGATGGACTTTGTTGTGCAATGCTTACACCACTATAAACATTGTTTTAACCGTTATTCAGTAGACAGGTAATAATTAATCTGTCTCTGAAGGGCTATAAATAAAATAAAACCAATTAATCGTAAGTAACATGTAATAACCTATCTATATTATTTAACTTATTTAGTTCACAGGCCTGGCATAACGTATGCGATATGGTCAAGCAATCTATTCAGTCTTTCTTGGGGGATACAGTTGAGTTCTGGAACTTGCTGAGTTAGACAGACCAAAGGTGTAATTGCACATAACAAGGAATCCATTAACACAGAGAGGCTAAAAAAATAAAAGTATGTCAGACTTAAAATGAGCTATTTATCATTTTGCTTTTGTTTATAAAGCTTTTGATGAACTTGCCTTCCGCTAACTGGCTGTGTACTCTGCAAGTTATTCACAATCGGGGTTAGATTAGTCTCCATCATTAACCGAATTACAATTAAAAATGACTTATAATTTTACCTCGACATCCATCAGCCTCGCACCAATGGTAGTTAAGGATGCACCTAGCAATGCCAAATGTGCTGCCACGTCTAAGGGTGCTGTCCCTGTCACTTTGTAGGGGGATAATGCACCGTCATCTTTTCGAGGAGAGAGCCTGCACAATGGAAATTTAAATAAAGTTCATTGATAATGCAAAAATAATTGCACATATCGAATAATTTTAAGGGAAAGTTTGCTTAACTTACGATTGCCTAACTGGTGAAAAAGAGAAGGGTGGTGTTTCTACGGGTGAGGTTATATAAAGGTGGTTTGGTCGATGGGACGACGCTTTGGGGGAAACTTGTGAAATGTGACCAACTCCATTGTTTGTGACTGATTTTTTTGGAATGGGTTTTTTCCTTGCTATCGAAGACGTCCCTTTCTTTGGTGCTGAGGTGCTGGCGGAAACAGATAAAGTCGCCACTTTTTTGGTAGCACTGCTGGACTTGAAATTTCCTACTCTGCGAATGATTTTAGTTGGAGGTGCAACAATAGCAGAAGAACCATTTACACCGTAGGAGTCAGAGGAGTCAGCAGGAAGGGGATGAATTCTTGGGCGACCTCGTCGTTTTCCTTTTCCTGGAGGTGGAAGTATTGGCGCAGAATTTTTTATATTTAAATTTTTCCTCATAATCTTTTCCGCCTTATTCTTCCACATTTTCCTTTGGTTTGGAGGTTTGGTTTGCCAAATTTCGCTCAGTTTCTTTGAGAGCGATAAGGAATCCATGTGAGGATATTTTTTACCAAAAATTTCTCGTTGGTCCTTTACCCAAAGAGTATATGCCGTCACTCGCGGAGGCTACAAAGGATGCAATTATTAGGATATTTATAATGAGCATTTTGCATTTAAACTTTTATAATTGTTCTTACTCCCTTCTCTTTTTTGGTATCTTTGGACATCTTGCCAGGATGAGTACCACCACCAGTAGCGCTACTTGAAGCGGTACCACCCCCACTCCCAACTGATTTTTTACTGCTCTTAATATTTGCGTGGGCGAAAGACTTTTCCATCATGTAGGTTGAATGAGCTTGAGACTTTAGCTTGACCTTAGCTTTTGCTTTAGCGTATCCATTTGTTCGGTCATCCACATCCGATGAACTATAACCCGCATACTCATCCGCTGCTAGATTGGGCATTTCACCATACTCTGCAGGCAAATCCATTTCTAAATCACCATCAGCGAAGGAATCTATCATCAACTTGGGTGGCATCGCTGGTGTCATTTTCATTCGTTTATTGTTGGCCGGTAAGGAGGATTTCCTTCCTGGCTTGTTACTAGAATTTGAGGCTGATCGATCCCTTGTACTCCCACCAACCGATAACGTCACCTGAAAACATATACAGATTATATAATAATCAAGATTGATCCAAACCGTGGAGAGCCAAATATCGCAACATTAATTTTACATCTAATAAACAATGTGTAATGCTTCTTTACTAAAATACTACTAACCGACAATTAAAACAATTACCTTGGGAGTTGATAGTATATCCTTTTTAACTCGTTCCCCTTTCTTTTTCGGCTTATCAATTTCGTCCAACGACTCATAAGCTGCTAAGAAAGAGTTTTTCTTCCGCACTCGACCAGATCGCGAAACATTCTCCACTCCAGAGCTTGCCGCCGACCCTGTGAATACACGAAAATACGAGTCAGCATAAAAATTGTGTAAATTAACAATAATTTCTGTTGCATGCAAACAAGAGGAAGTTTTGCATTTCATGCATTTGTTTAGGAACTACAGTTTTTGATTGTGTGACTGAGGGAAAGGAATCGATTCCACGTTTCCGGATGCTGGATTAAGTTGGAGAGGCTTTTTTTGGGGGAGGAGGAAGTAGGGTCTTTGAGGGGAAAAACTTACCCGAAACCTCGCCGTCCTCTAGAACACTGTTCATTTTGGCCAAGGCGACGCTTGGGGGAAGGATCTCATGCGAATTTCTGAGACGCTTAGTTATCCTCGTAGTAAACGAGATACGGAATAAATATAAATCCGCTGGCAGCAGTATTCTCAGATTGGAATTCTCCCGGTCTCCTCGCTCCTTCTCCCACACCGGGGCACACGCTCACTCAAACGGTATGCATTTAATGCTGTCTCACAATAAAATTTAAAAGTCGTCGACAGTCGTCGTCGTGAAAGTAGCATTTTAGCAGAACAGGAAGGAGTAGACGAGGAGAGGAAGAATTCGCCACGGGTTGTTCGCCCGTTGACCTGCTCGTTGACCTGCAGGGTGGATTGTGCACTTGTTACACCTTTTGCCAACCATCGATGTATTTTTGTCACGAACAAGGGCGCATGAAAATGTGCTGGTTATATGATTTGAGTCCCTGAAGGACTGTGGACATTGTAGGCTAACTGACATCCGGAAATCCTGACCCGGCCAAGTTCCAGATGGCAGGAATACGAAGCACTGTGGAAGAAAGCAAAGTGTGACAAGTTTTGGTGTTCTGAAAGTACTTGATAATTGCGAGTCTCAATAATAGAAAATGGAATATTATCTAGCGACACTTACGGGTTCGTTTTCTTGTACAAGACATGGAACTTTGGGAGAATATACCGTACCCTGGAAGAAATTGGTAAGAATTCAGTAAGTGAAAGGAGGGTGAGTGGTTGAGCGAGGTGAAAGTATGGAGAAGACGATACCTCTGAGTTTCCTGGGTGAAAGGCTACCCCATAAACATACGTGGGGGCACATTCGCACACTTTGGAGACATTGTTGCAGTGGAGAAATCTGGTGAAAGTGCACACTTTCCGGTGCCATTCGTCTGTCATGTAAAATTCGTGGTAATTTTTTGACATCCACGCCTCGTGTGTGGCTGGGTCACAAGTTTCGCCGAGATTAAGAAGCCAGTGGTGGATGGAGTCAGTGAAGGTGTGGGCAAAGAGGCCGAGATGCCGAATCGTGGTGTTTCTCCGCTTGAGGTCAGCGGGCGAGAGGGGAAGGGAGTCGGGCACTTGGAGGGAAAAGTTGATTTTGTGATGGTCGTTCCGGTCAGAAACGAATTCGAATAATTCGTGATGATGTTTGCAGATCTTCACTCGAGATGAATGGTCATGATGAGCGAGGAGGATTGATGTTAGCAGAAGTAAGATCACCAAGATTGGTGTTAAAATTGAATGCATTCTAAGCTTGTAAACAGTCGATAATATTGCATAAACAGAATATTGACACCATTTGTATTTTGTCATACTTCAAAAATTTATTGCGTTATTCGGATATTTGGTGTTGTCCAGCAACTTTGTGTGTGATGACTGACTAATTACAAGATTATTTGACACTTTATCAGCTATAAGGTTACGACAAATGGCCGAGTTACAAAATAAATTTACATTTTTATTAGCCCGAGGCAGGGCTTATGGAAACGTCATGTCCGTCCGTCCGTCTGTTTTTCGATAACTCTCTAACGAGCTGACCGATTGACTTGAAATTTTTACCATGTGTGTACATATTGGACAAGTTAGGAAACGAGTTCGAAGATGGGCGAAATCGGTCAAGTGGTTGACTGGTGGGGGTCATGTGAGTAGATGGGATAAAATTTCGAAATTCAAAATTGTCGTAGAAAGCTGAAATTGAGTACAGAGGTAGCTAATGACTTCTAATAGAAAAAATGAATTTAAGTTGGAAAATTTTTTATCTTGAGGGACGCTTGGTGGAATTTTATTTCGAGGGACCCTATGGGGTGAACCCCGATTAGAAATTGCTTGAAAAACATTAAATCCGGCACGATAACTCTCTTTAAACACAAGCTAGCGACCTGAAATTTTGCGAAGTTCATCTTGGGGTTGAGTAAAAAGAAAGTATGGCATGAGAGTTGGTACACCCCAATATTTGGCACTGAACCATGATTACGTTTTTAAAATTGAAAAATGAGTATTTAAAAACTAAACAAATTTTTTAAAAGCAAAAATAGCATAAAAGATGTTTTTTATGATGGCTGAAACGAGATTTCCGTCAATTATTGGAATTGGTTTTTTCGCCCATCGGAGAAAAACCAATTTTCAAAATAATAATTTTTTTACAACTCGACCATTTGTCGCAACCGTTAAGGGAGAAGCGTTACCTAGGTACTTAATGTCAAGCAATCGTGGACTAATTAGTATTCTAATGGCAACCGGAAAATTGCATAGGTTCTGCTGCGAAATTGTAATTATTACAATTTCTTATATATTTCTTATTATAAATACCTATGTGCTACTTTTTCACCTGAAGAACAATGACAAACAGAGTAATGAGAGTGATCCCAATCTGCATTTAAATAAATGTATGTATATAAATCAGTAATGACCTAATAGAATTTAAGAACTTTTTTGAAAGACGTACAGTTCCCAAGAATTTATGATCAATGGTGAACATTCCATTTCCACTGATTCCAATGGGCGTCGTTGAAACATCGGCGAGAAGAGTGGTCATTTCTTCGGGAGAAAGAAGCGTTCGAGTTTCTCTCCGAACCAACCACTTCCAAAACTCGTGCATCTGCAATATTTTTAGTCCACGTTAGTTTTACCTTTGACCAATTGATGCATAGAGCTTACTACTCGTATTTAGTAGTCAGACCTCTTGGCATACTCGAGCGGCCATGAAGAATAAGTAGGCATCATTTATTAAAAAATACAGAATTTCAAATTTGTCAAGGAATTTCATCGTGGCTGCAATGTCATCAAATTTTACGGTCATGTACGAAATGGATACGATCGAGTAGAAGAAGGTCGTGGGAGCCACGAATCGATTTATGGGTTCTGAAAACTTTTTCAAATCATAAAACTGATCAAGAATCCCTGGCACTTGGGTCGCAGTAGAGAACGAGAAATTTGCCTCTTGTAAGTTGCTTGTGAAACATTGAGCAGCTTCTAATAATGTAATTGCTGAAATGATGATGCTCAAACTGGCGAAACAATCCATTGCATCTTTGGAATGAGTGGAAATGATGTGCAAGATATATAGCAAAATTGAGTCCCATGATGGGTTGTCAACTGTCATTGATAGTTCACTTCCCGTTTCATTTCTGTTGCTGCTGTTCCTCTCGTAGTCAGCATCTTTAAGAAATAGTGAATACTTTGCCTGCAGGGACTGGTTCATGACCGTGGCGATTGGGTCTCCAACAATGTCACCGACTGCGGATCGTGTTGATATTACGGGCAGAATGATGGCACACGCACAAAGAAAAGCGACTTTATTCAAACGATTGTAGAATCGGTGCCACCAGGCCTGCTGTGAAGGCTCCTGCGTATGTACACATACATGCATAATAATTGTGGATAAGTGTCAACATTTGCATGAACAGAATCATTTTAGTGGGGATTAGAGTTGAGAGAAACTACATAAAATCTTATACCGATGGATTCTTGCCAAAATATCCAGAATTGTAAGTGGATTGCTTAACGACGTCCTTGACGGCGTCTGACCTTGACCACAATGTCACAGAGTATGTCAACAAGTAGGGCAGCATGACGATGCACCTGAACACGTCAAAGTAGTAGAGCACAAGGACATCCCGAGACTGAGCTATCTTTTGCCGAACGGATGTCACAATTGGAATAAACATGATGAGGTGACGAAAGCCACATAAAATCTGCAGAGTCAACCTTTAACAAGGGTAGAGGCAGTATTGACATTTTATTATTTACCTGTTGTAGCCGATTCGTGTGTATAATGAAATCTTGCTCTGTCGAGTCCCATGTGAACCGGAAAGGGGTTATCAAAGTGTAGTAACCAAAATCAAAGTAAATTTTAATGTTTGAATTATTATATTCTTGACAAGCTTCTCGGCCTGAATGGGAACTGATATCTGATATTTGGTTGTCATTGTAGTGACGAATAGCAGCAGGGGTTATGTAAACTGGTTTCTGAGAAAACGTAAATTTTCGGGTATTCGAAATCATGGCAAAATTCTGAAAGAGTTTGGCTTCGTTATCATATTTCATGACGTGTGTGATGCCAATAATTTTTAGTGTAGTTAGTTTCAGTTTAAACTTTTACATGTATTTATACTGGTTTAGTAACACAAGTCTTTGTGCTTTCACCAAACTATTCTTTCTTTTTGAGCAGAATAAAAGGAAAGTATCCGTCTTTTGTACATTCGAGAAAAGTAGGACTTGGCCCAATCATTACTCAGAAAGTAAAAGCCACATTACTTTAACTAGCCATTTTTTCATGACATTTTTAAAGCATACAATTTGAATAGGTAGTAAATAATTGAATTCACCGTCTGCATATTTATGTATGTATTATGGAGCAGGTGACACGATTCTCACAGTGCATGTCAATCCTTAAAGTGAGTGACGTTGTAATGAAATACTTTATTGGACTCCGAATTGATTAAGTCCAAGCTGTAAAGATGTCTCACGTAAAACATTTTCTATCTTGATCAGTTGTCCTTTCGTTTAATTTGCACGGGCAGAAAATTAGCAAAGAGCAGACATTTTTGGTAAACTCGTCAAATGCTGACTAATTGAAAACGATCGGACGACTGTTTACATATTAATTACTCGCATGGAATGGATGAGTCATCAATGTTCATCTTTACGTCAACATTATGTGTTGACCAAGTACGAGTCAGCATGAAGTAAAAAATAACCAGTTCATCTGGTAATTCATCTGGTGAGCAGAACGGCGAGAATTGTGCAGTCCATGAATATACTGGAAGTACTGGAACAAGTAATGTGATACGTAGACACAATATTTTTTATATAGTAATCGACACCAAAAAGTAGTGGTCATATTACGAGTTAAATATGTATTTATGGCGTTAGTTTTATATTTGATGACGAGGGTGCACTTGGACTTGATGAAAAACATGATCAAGCCAAATAAAACTCGAGATGCTAAAATGCAAATTTTTATGAAGTTCGTCTGTCTATGTCGTTGCATCAAAAGAGAAATTCTTTTTATAAATCACGACCGGTGCTAAAATTAAATAACTTGCCACGCTCAAATCTTCTTTTTTCCACTAGCTCCCTTGTCGAAAGAATGGATATGATTGATTTTAAATAAATTAAAAGATGCAAGATCTGGGACACATGTGGACATGCAAGATGGTCTACTTATGCATGCATGTATGTGCTTCATAGCATTGGCCAATTTCTTGAAATTCTATGTATAAAAGACCATCATACGAGCAGAATTTATGTATAAATACACAGTGAAATAAGAGAAATGCGAATATATGTAAGTACACAAATGACGAAGGAATCTTGAGATTACAGAAGATGTCTAATTTTCTCATTTTCATGAAAGGGTGAAGAATTTCAAGATATTCCCAAAAACTTGAACCTGAAGGAGAGTATAAGATTAGGAGAGAGAGAGGGACGCATCAGCGACAGAGCATAAAATGACAAATTGCAATTGCAGAGATGAAACCCAAAGTTGCATTGAAATTCTTTCGTCTGCAAAAGGTGCAGAACTGTGCAAACTTTTATCAAGTTTGGTTTTCTTGGTCTTCTTAAACTTTGTTCAACTCATTAATTGGTCGGTTGGGTGCTTTACCTCAAACTAATTAAATTAAATCTCTTTCTAATCGTAATCTTAATGACTTACTCTAGTTAGTTAAAAAATGAGAAGATTTGCTAATTGTCTGATATGTGCAGCACATCAGCTACCGAGATAAAAATGGAGGGGAGACCTTGACCTCGCACTTTCAAATTCTTTTCACACAAGTACATCGTACTTATTTATGTATATCGGATGTGAATTTATATATATATAAATAGAGTTAAATCTTAAGTTGTCCAAACTATACGTGCCTCTGTAAATCTCAAATGTTACACTTTGTGCCTTTGCAATTCCATCTTGCAATATCGAGTTTATGAAGTTCTCACCACAATCAGTAAAACCATGCATTATTGGAGTTAACGAGGAAAAGTTGAAATATTCGTTGAAAGTCTAATTGTTCATATATAACTGTCAATAGTAAAAATGTGTATGTTTATATAACCTCTGTGCCATTGATGGTACTTTTTCCAAAGTATTCATCCTGCAGTGGTCAATTCATTCAACCCTCGTGTTTGCGTATACAGATATTTTATTAACAACTGAATAATTGCAGCTACATACTTTGATGCAGTCAATTCATTGAGAGATTCAAAAACCCTGCAATCAAAATCTCACGTGTGATTCTTCGAGGCGAAAGTCTATTTCAAGTCTCAAGAATTATGAGTCCACTTTTGCCATGTTTCCTTTTATAACTTTTTGAAACACTGCTTAAAATAGCTAAGGTATCAATTATTCGAGTACATGTGTATAAGTGGGTTATACACGCAAGTTCGTTGTTGGTAGTTTATACGTATTGTTGATTTAAGTGTAAATAATTTACATATCAACTTAGCACATACATATCGAGGTACATGTTATGCATAGTCATAAAATCTTAATGCTGTGCTCTGCTCTGCTGGACTCGCCATATTTACAATTATTAATTCGCATCCCAATCTGAAATTTACGTTAGTGATGTTGATGTCACCATATTTGGACAGCATTTTCGGCATGAAATATTCCCATATCGAGAAGTATCTCTCCTCCAAACTCCAAACCGACCGTCATTAAAATGTGTTTGTCACTTGTAAGGACGCATGTCAACCAATAATGCTTACCAAGAAAATGCTCATTCAATCCACCAATCAATACAATCCATTTTGTAACAGGAAGGAAATTCGTGAATGGAATTATGGATATCCAACCGCAAAAACAGATTTTATTGGCGCTGGCTTAAATTGGCAAGCACAATTTCGTACTGAATAACAATAATGGTAATACATAATGCTGCCGATATCCATTCCTAGATCGTCCTTCATAGGACATACATAGCCCAGTTGCTACAACGGACGAAACAATGCAAAAGGACAGAATACATAAATGTATTACGTATTATGGAATCGAATCACCATTACATTACTTATTATCTGATCCTCATATTAATTCTGAGATATGGCTTTTATTGCAGCTCAGTCGGCTCCACCGGCATTTACTAAATGCTTAATTATTTTGCACACATCTGTACTTATAACGTAGAGAGAGTGTAATCTTACTCCTCTTGACGTGGAAAATATGCATATGGTGACTTGCGACGACGACGACACACAACAAGAACCATGGATTGTTCAGATATTGCATTGTTGTAAATATGACTATGTATGTCTGTATTTCGTGGCATTGCATTGTGACTGTTCTAGTGGTGCAACCTTTGTTTGGCTTGTGGCTTTGGCTGGTGTGAAATATTTAGCGACAAATTTAGCGATCATCGATACAGAAATTCCTTTTCAGGCGTTGCTTCGATTTTTTATTACTAAAAGAATGTAACCACCACTCTGTAGTGTAGTTGGTGAATGCATGAGATGTATAAAAAAACAATTTTTGTTTTTCTAAATCCTAAAAGTAGTCAAAAGTGTCAAATTTCAGCTTCTTTCAAACATTTCAATTTGAACACTTTCTTTAAGCCCAGGCTTGTGGTCTCTAAATTTGACAGAGGGCTAAAGAAACTGAGGAGCGCAATAACAGTAATCAATTGCCCGTCAGTTTACAGGCAATGGATTCGGAGTGATGGAAAAATGTGAAATATAAATATGATTACGATTTCATATAATGATTAATGAAATGCATATGAATATGAATAACGCGATTTCAAGTAGTAAATTCTGTCAAATTGTGTATTGTGGCTGTGGTCATGCTGCACATTGCCGGTCAGGGCTATCAATCATTATTTAGTGGGGATCAAAAGGGAATGGAGGAACGATAGGAAAATGTCTCTCTTTGCCTTATAGACTGCTGCTGATGCTGATGCCTAATCGTGGATGCTATTATTATGCTTTGCTGTTGACCAAAAATGGACATGTGTGGATGAAACATTGCCCTTTTGGGAAGTCCATTGATTCTACTGCAGAGTGTTATTATGAGACTGTGATCAGGCCATGACAATTAATAAGACAACCTTTTCATTTCATCCATTGTGCAAGCATCCTTCTTTTCCTTCCTGCAATATTCGTCAGCAAAATCTGCACAATATTCCATTGCCTTATATAACAAATAAAGTGTAAAGTTCTGTTCTCCGTCAGTCATGAAAGAAGCGAACTTGAGTTTGACTTTTGAAGTGTGCTTATTGTTTTCCATGAATTGAGACAAATATTCTCCTAAATGAGGATGAACCAAGAATTTGGCCCCCTGCAGAGGATATGATGTGGTCATTTGTGTAATGTTATCATGGTGTGTTGAATCGGAAGTGGCTTATCTCAACAAACAGAGGGCAACCTCACTCGTTGCCAGCCACAGACAACAGGACACTCGACCCAGGAGATAAAACACCAGTGGAGATAACCATGCTTGTCTAACGACCACATGTAACACATGCTATACATGTAATCCATTTAAATGACTCCACTGTTGATATCATATTTATTTACTTGCACTTCATATTTTATAATTTGAGCAAATATGGTATTCCACTTCCATCAAAGTGTGACACATATTTGTCAATACATTACATAATGAGTTTGGAGAATTGATAGGGAAGGAAGTCGACACCTCCGGTCTGGCCGAACCTCAACCTCACTCAACCACCAAAGCAAGTACGAGCTAAAGACTTGTACAATGCATCATCACATCATCACCAAAAACTCGATGAGATGATACTCCACATACCAAACCAACTTTTTAGCATTTGACCGTTTGTAAGTTTCCTGCAAGATTCTGCTGCTGACTACATACAATAGTGCATCGTAATATGAATGCTCTATGTTGGCAGGTGGTTGCCTCCGTAAGACGGGCGACGGGTCACTGCAACGATCTCGTCTCCCCCGGTCGTCACCCTTCTCCCAGAAATTGACGATTTTGTGGGGAGTGAGCTATCAATTGGTGACGACGAGCTGGTGGCGTCGATGGCTGGGTGTTCCTCATGACCTTATAAGGCTTCATCTCTCCTGATTGGTCGAAACGAGTTGACTCATTTCCATTGCGTCGTCATAGACGAGGACTGACCTGGTGGAGGGGTGCTGGGGATGCCGTTGCTGCTCAGCACTGCGAGATAGCGAGGCCAACGTTGCGAGATGCGGGGAGACAACGACCATCCAACTGGACTCGGTGATCCATGGGCTGAGAAAGGAGCAGGATTTATAAAACCAACTCCCAACTACCAAACCAGCCTCACTCACTCGTTCTCCTCGTCGATCCTTCACAGCCACGGATTTTCTCCTACGTAATAATTCTAATTCGCCCCCTCTTCTACATTCCAGGTAAGATAACCTTCTTCTTATCATCACCAGTTACTGCTTTAGATCCTGCAGCTCTTACCTTCGTGGTGGGAGGAGTGCCAGGGAATCAAAGGCGAAAAGCCGGGTTGGTTAGGTTGACAGCAAGTGTGTGAAGTGGTTTATGTATCGCATTCGCATCCCCGGTCGGTTTATTAACGGACAGATTAGACTCGGATTATGTGTCGGTTTATCATCTTCAAGTGGTTACAGTATATCTCTGGTTTGTGGGTCAAAATTTGCTTAACTACTGTTAACTAGTCGGGTCAATTAGTGAAGAAAGAGCGAGTGGGTCAATTTTGGTCATTCATCAGTGAAAAAAAAAACAGATTTATGAATTGCCTCAGTGTTAGTTAGCTTGTTATTATTCAATCAGGAACTGAACCGAGGGAGGAGGAACAATGGGTTGCTGGTGGTATAGGAATTAAACTGCATATTTATTTGTTTGTCAAGTTTACGAGGAAGGCAAACTATGAACTAGGACGGGACGAATTGAATCTCAAAGAAGGGAGAAATACTTTCCCAAATAAATACAAAATATTTGGCACATCATTATCATACATAGTACTAATATTTGTTTTGTGAGATATCAACCGGCTGGTTGTTTCTAGTGGGTGCATCATCTTCTCATTTTCTTTAAACCACCAGACAAGTTGAGATTTGGCATTGCGAACTACTGTTCATAATTTCATGAGAATAAGCTTATGATGAATTTGCAAAGTGAGATGTTACTTTTAGAGAGGAAGAATGTATGCAGACTATTTCAGACAGTTATCCTAATAGTAAATTGCAAGCAGACTTGATAGACCGGTATTCAATTCATATTCTTCAGTCAATGCAGATTTTTTAAATGGTCTCTCTGGTCAGTCATTAGTCACTCTACTCGAGTTTTACTACTACTTACTAATGAATGAAATAGAAATGAACGCGAGTTGGTTTTTGTAAACTGGGTCTGAGTTTTTTGGTGTTTTATTGTATTGGCCACTCGTTATCATTCACGATTTGTGGTCCAAGTTGAGAGGCTTACTTTGGCAGTAATTGTGAGGTCTATTTATTTCCACTGATAGTTCTTCTTGACTCAAAGTGGATTCAGCAATTAATTAATTGCATGTGATGTATAGCCAAGTTCCAACTGTAAAAGGTAGTAATAATACATACATAGTTGCACTGCTAATAATGGTGAAACTTTGACTTAATAACGATTCTCAGTGAGATGGGATCGCATAATAAAAGAGCAATAATGATAAATTCATTCACTTTCATATCTGATGAGAATAAAAAAGGAGAAGAGGAAACATTTTCTTTCTTTCGTTCTTCTGTATATGGCAGCATAGGATACATACATAGTACCATAGCTAGCACCATGGTTCATTCACAACTTGTTAAGATAGGTTGATGCTGATTCTCTCGGCGAAACTAAATAGGGTGAGATGAGGAGTATGTGTTGGAGGAGTAGTTGATAGTCCTGACGGACACGTTTGTTGAACCAAAGATCGACCGAGGAGGAGAAGGTGCTACGGCTGGTGTTACCAGTTACTGATTTGGCAATCACAAGTTGAATGAACCAAGATTAAAACGGATAAATGTATTAGTATACGTGTGTGTGTGTAGAGTGGATGAGGGAAGGCCAAGAAAACTTTAACTAATAGTAATTTACTTTTTGTGTTACAGAATAAACGAAAATGTGTGACGACGAAGTTGCTGCATTGGTTGTTGACAATGGCTCCGGTATGTGCAAAGCCGGGTTCGCTGGTGATGATGCGCCGCGAGCAGTTTTCCCCTCCATCGTTGGACGCCCCAGACATCAGGTTGGTTGATCTCCATTGTTGATCAAGCTATCCTAGCCAGATGGCCAAACTAAGAAAGAGAGATGAGCCTTCTTCTCTTACCATCTTTGGAAATGAAGACAGTGATGATGCATGCCAATAATACCTACTTAATCCTTGGTTTTTTAGGGAGTCATGGTGGGAATGGGTCAAAAGGATTCATATGTTGGAGATGAGGCTCAATCAAAGAGAGGTATCCTCACTTTGAAATATCCCATCGAACACGGAATTGTCACCAACTGGGTATGTGCTCTTAGTTTTGTGTTGATTACAACCATGACACAACGTATGCCAATTTCATTTACCTTGTCAAAATCTAGGACGATATGGAGAAAATCTGGCATCATACCTTCTACAACGAGCTCCGAGTCGCTCCAGAGGAACACCCAGTGGTAATTTCATAATTATTAAGTACTGCACTACTTACATGACTTGTAGAAAATACTTAAAACTCGTATTTGTTTTACCAATATAGCTCCTTACCGAAGCCCCATTGAACCCAAAGGCTAACAGAGAGAAGATGACGCAGATTATGTTCGAAACGTTCAATTGGTGAGAGTTCATGAATATCCCCAATTTTTAGCAACATTGTAAACCCTTTTTAACATCCAATAGCCCTGCAATGTACGTTGGAATCCAAGCCGTTCTTTCCCTCTACGCTTCTGGTCGTACCACTGGTATTGTGCTCGATTCTGGCGATGGTGTTTCTCACACTGTTCCCATCTACGAAGGTTATGCCCTTCCTCATGCCATCCTCCGTCTGGACTTGGCCGGTAAATAATAATATGAATATGAATTATTCATAATATCTCTATTTCATCCCCATCTCATGCTCATCATTTGTCATTATTTCAACAGGCCGAGACTTGACCGATTACTTGATGAAAATCTTGACTGAACGAGGTTATTCCTTCACCACCACCGCCGAACGTGAAATCGTTCGTGACATCAAGGAGAAGCTGTGCTATGTCGCACTCGACTTTGAGCAAGAAATGGCCACTGCTGCTAGCTCCAGCTCATTGGAAAAATCCTACGAACTCCCTGACGGTCAAGTTATTACCATTGGAAATGAGCGATTCCGTTGCCCAGAAGCCCTGTTCCAACCTTCTTTCTTGGGAATGGAATCTTGCGGAATCCACGAGACCACCTACAACTCCATCATGAAGTGCGATGTTGACATCCGAAAGGTACCTAAATCATTTTATCTGCCAAACATAAATTTACGTATAAGCACTTGTGTAAGTATGTATTTATACAATTTTTTTTAATTAAATAGGATTTGTATGCCAACACGGTCTTGTCCGGAGGTACCACCATGTACCCAGGAATTGCTGACCGCATGCAGAAGGAAATCACTGCCTTGGTATGAATTTGCAAAACTTTAACTTGAAAAAAATCACATGATGTGACATAACTATAAGCATGGTTAAACAACAAAATTATAAATTAACAGGCACCATCCACGATGAAGATTAAGATCATTGCTCCACCAGAACGTAAATACTCTGTCTGGATCGGAGGATCTATTTTGGCTTCATTGTCCACCTTCCAGCAAATGTGGATTTCAAAGCAAGAGTACGACGAGTCCGGCCCATCCATTGTCCACCGAAAATGCTTCTAAAGTATTCAAGATTTGTCTTCCGCCTTAACATTATTTTACAATCTGCAATTAGCCTTAACCCAAGCGGAACCCAACCAATCTCACTACTATATATCATAATAGTATCATCATCATTATAGAGAATGCAGTTGTGTTATTTTCTATTTCTGACTATACATTCACACATCTAAAACAACCAAACATTCCTAAATTGAAATATTCCAATTATCATTGTATTCCAATCTAAAAGAAAAAAGTTCGTTTGCGACGCTTTTACACCATCTTAAATGAGAGCTATACATCCCTACCTTTATTATTATAAATATTATTTTAGTACTTGGAAGCCGATTATTTATTGAAAAGGTAACTTAACTTATAAAGTACCAATAAAAATGGTAAAAAATTATCCCGTCCTTGTATTTCTCGCCTCACTTTATTTTCATCATTTGTACCATACTTATATACCCCATATTAATTTAATTACTAATAATATTTAGTTTTAAATGGTATTGCCACATTCAGCACATCTTGCCTCTGGTCGTTCAAGTAATTTGTTTGCAAAAAGTCCATGCACTTCAAACTTGTAGATTGATGTGTAGTTCTGGTTGCCATAATTCTCCTCAAACTTCACAAGCACGCTCTTGTGTAGTTCTGTACCGACGCAGGTGGACTGCGACGGTCGAGTTTAAATTCCCATTAAATTAATACGAAATTCTAAAAGTACCCAGCAGCCGTGTAGCACTTTGACTACGAAAGTACACAGGAAGTCACATAAAATATCTACCTGAACAGGAAATGTTTGCGCCCGGGGTCCACTGTCTCTGTATGTGTATCGACCAAATTCCAGTGCCTCTTCATTCGCTAGATTACCTCCTCCAGCCATACGCCCCTGCGAATAATATGTACGTACATATGTGCATAACAAACAACTAAATTCTCAACCATCATCACCCATTCAATAACTATTTGCTTATTTGAAATTTATTTACATAAACGGTGAAAGTTTTTGGAGCGGATGAAAAGTATCCGTTGGGAATTTCACATTTGGACGGGTGGATAAGTGTGAAGCCAGAAATTAGCGCAGGTTCGGCTAACTCAATCAAAATGCTCCCCAGAGTTCCTTGAAATCGGTAGTTTTGTCCAACTATTAGCAGACCAGGCTGCGAGGATTTCAACAAAATTATTTTATCTCTATATGCATGCAATTTGATCTTGTACATAAATAGCTTTAAAAGTTTATCTGGGATTTCACTGAATAAAAGCAGTTGCTAATTTTTTTGTTGGATTAGATATTTTATTTCTTCACCTGGATTACGGTGTTCACCTTCGAAGACAAACACGCGCTGAGTCCATTCATGCGTGTGATTGTGGTGGGAGGAGGAACGGAGGCTCTGGCCCCGAGGTAGAACGACGCCAAGTTGGGGAGGCCAAACGCATTGGAGAAGAAGCAGCCTGCGTACGCCTTATTGGACGGAGGAGGTTTTGACATGGTCCGAAGCTGACAGTTCAACTCTGGTCGAATTGTGACGCCCTCACACCGTTTCGGTCTTTCCGCAGTGGGGGGTTGAACCGGCTGAGGTTTCGACGATGATAATGATGACCATAGGTCTGGACGGTCACAGGAATCCGAGTCCGAGTCCCACTTATAGGCGTCTGCCACGTCATTGGAAGATGTCGACGTTCCCGTGTAATGCCAGTCTGATTATGGAGCAGAGGCAACATTCATAAAAAAATATTCGTCTAATTACATATTTTTGTGCTCACAAAGTAAACAGGAACACAGGATTCCGCCAAGTAATAGTAAGAAAACGGTTCTTTTATCCATAATTTATTTACGCGAATTATTATTTTTTACAATTGTTTCTAACTTATTTTCGATACTTTCATTTTCATCCTTTTTCACGTCTTTCCACTTTCTACTTTCACCAAAACATTGGTAAAGACTCAAATTTTCATCCAATATTTAACATGACGACGTTATGAAATGAAAAATCACGACAAGAAAGTAAAAGTATAGATCTCTTTCCTCTATGAATTTGTATGTATGCATAGTCCCACATGGTTATTTTTCCAATTTTGATGGTACTGTTACGCAAGTTAAAAGTATGCATACGTACGTTATGAAATTTTATAATAATTGACAACAGTTTAAATTGGATTGACGAAATTGTTAATGAGATTGTTTGGTTTGGCATTTTCATCCTTCGTCCTCTGGAGAATAAGATGGATTCTGAAACTCGGATACAATTCCCTTGTAAATCGGATTTTGATTCTGCAAACAAAATTAAAACTTGTGTAATTTAAAAAAGGGCAACTTATTAAAAGTCCTATTTCATTTTTGTGCATCCTTACCGTGGGCCAAATAGCATTGGCCCTCTCATTTTCGAAGCGCGTGAACTCTTTCTTATCGTGGAGATGGGTGAGGACTTTCCACGTCAGCAGAGTCGCGATTCCAATGAGCAGCATCAGTCCCACGACGCTGAGGACAATGGGGACGATGGGGGCGTCGGGCAGACAGCTCGGACTTTGTTCAGCCCGGACATGAGTTTTATTCGTCTCCACGTTTCGTCCACTGACAACGTACTGCACTTCGCATTCCTTCTCGTCAATTACTTTTCCCTCGCATTCCATCAATCTGCGTTGATCTACAGATATAAGTACATACATGTTCCCGATAACGACGGATACAGATGGATAAGGAGAAAAGTGCTCCGTGAGTGATCGAGGACTTTCCCTCCGTTCAATAAGTGGTGTCGGAATTTAAACATTATTTATTCTTACGAACCGATTTTCTCGTGAAGCGTGGGTTTAATCATGCCCACACTTTCTGAGCCGCATTGTCCTTTGCATGAGCTTAGTCGCGTTGAGACTGGAAAAGTAGACGCATAATCGAAAGCCAGGCACTTGATGCAAGGTTCCACCATCCTTTGCAAAGAGAGTGTACACTCGCTGCTCTAAAGAATAATTTCAACAGTAGAAACAGCATATCATTTCATATTCACAAATTAATGAATCCAATTAAGTACGAGACTCACATAAGCGTTGTTATTATCCACCTTCAATTCACAGAAGTTACCGTGATATCCAGCGTTGCAAATACATTTTCCGCATTTACAGTGTCCAAAATTACTACACACTTTGGACGAGTATCTGCACATCTCCTGTGAAACGTTGGATTGCAAATGTCATGGTCAAATTGGATAATATGTACAGATCGTCGGCCTACATCTGCAACACATGTCTCTTGTCGGACTTATAATTAGGCCGACGATACCGCTAGACAAGGAGGAGGATGGGTAAATGTCACTCACATCGGACGTGGGACACTGGCAGCGTTCTCCAGTGAAACCTGGATTACATTTACACCTCCACGGGTTGCATTCACAGCTCCCTTGCATCGCATTGGCGTTACAATGCCCTTTGTCGTCCGGGGCTGGGGCTGGACAATCCTTTTCCAAACATTCACAATGAGTCCCAACATATCCCTGTGTGCACACATGGACATAAAAATGAGGAATACTATAATTTAGCTGAGGATATACTTCAAATCGTCAAATGTGAGAAATGTGGGTGTGTTATCACTACCTTTTTGCAATCGCACTTGCCACAAACACAGCTTCCGCTATAGATTTGATTTAACATTTTTTATTACAAGTTATATTTTATTGTATGAGTGCATGAGAATTTAAAAAAAAGTGCAAAAAAAAGTTGTGGTGAAAGCGAGTATAGATCAATCTGCAGTACCGATTTGAGCAGAGTTCGCCACCGTACAGACACATTTCTTGGTCCACTGACTTGACTCCAGCATCGGAGACCGTGCAGTTGCAGAATGGGCCACCAACACCTTCGTCGCACTTACAAATTCCGCACTGTTGAAACCCTTTGTTGTTGCACTGGGGAATGCGCTGTATGGACTGAATAAATCCAGAAAAGGTACACAAATGGCGTTGCAGCATCAAAGCAAATGTCTGCCTGCAGCAGACGGAGACGGTATTATTTATTATTGAGATGTTGATCACATACCGGCGGCAGTGAAGTCTGAGTGCTTTTTTCACAGCCACAGTCGCAAACCATGTCAATGGTAACGTTGAGGAAGTTGTCATTTCCGGAGCTGAACGTCGAAGGACGGATTGCTACCTCTGATCTCCAGAGCGTTGCATCTGGGGGACATCGCTTCAGACCCAGCTCAACTCGATACCTGTGCACAATGGACGCGTGGGTGGATGGCGAATTGTCGTGGTGTAAATACATATCGGGCAAATTAAGTTCCAAATGTCACAATTAAAAATGTATGATTCGCTACTCACTCCACCCGAGCCTTGGGAGTAAGATTGTTACACCCATTGCCCTTTCGGTATTCTGAGCTTCCAGGGCATTTGGCATACAGGGTGACATCCACGAATGGGTTGCGAATGACGGGTTGAAAATTTACCGTCCGAGCCACTTTCTGATCTCATTGGAATCATTCAATAAAAGTGGATGATTAAATAATTACTAAGATATTTACATCAAGCACCAGCAAATGCGATATGTGGACTGATTTATAAATAGCAACTGACTTTGTATTCCTCTTCAATCACTTTTGTAAGGCTGGATGAATCGTCCTCGGTAATCACACTTACAGATGACAAATCCAATCCAATTTTCTCCGCTAATCTTCTGTACAACCTTTTATGTTGGTTCGTTACTGCAAAAATGACATAAATGTTGTGCTCATGGATTTTGTCCCTAATCTGAGACACGGTTGGGTAGTCCAACACGGTGGCTTTGTCATATTCCCCTTTCGCGTTTAAATGGCAGCGTCCTTCATTGGGAAGAAGGATCCCTCCGAGCTGTCCAACAACGAAAGTCGCCGTTACAGGAAATTCTTTCACTTTCTCCTGGCTCTCACCACCGAGTGCAAATAATAAGAAGGAAATCCGTCGGATTTGAACCTTACCCGACCGTCTCCGGCGATGTGAAATGGACCGTCAGTCGAGAGGACAATCAAACGTCGAGTATTGTTCTCATATCGCCATCCTACGCAACAGAGAAAATTTAGAAAAAAGCCCTTGTCAAGCCCACACTAAAACGCAGCAGCGGAATTTAATTTCCTCAAACTTTGCAAGTGGAAAGTTTGGTAGGGATGATGTTTGCTTATGCAAAAGGGAAAGTGAGTACACACGCGTGTACAAGTGCAGCTATTCTTAGGCGGACGAACCAATCTCACTCACCCAGCTCATCTTTGCACACAAGGACCTGTCCACGTGTAAAAAGCACCAAAACGAAAATAAATAGTCAGAATCAACAGGATATATTTACGAACTTGCAAAATACATGTGTGGCAACTATTTAATAAACAATAAGTAATTATCTATGTATGCACAGACCTGCATCAAAGCATCCAAGCCGCCCTCAGGTACGTCATTGTTGAACAAGATCTCAGAGTCGTTAACAGATTTCTGATTAGATTGAAAACAGTTCACTTACTTTTGTGTGAGAAAGTGGGCAAAGTTTAAAAATTCTGATTCGTCAGTCTCACCGTGAAAGTGTCAATGTCAGAGGTTAGTGAAAGCTCATTTTTGAAAAGATGTGGCTTTTTGAAAGGAAACTCTTTCCCGTTGCAGGTGATCTTGGTCTCCTTTTCCTGTGCATAGGGCAGCACGGGCTTGTCGATGAATGAGCCAAATCCCATTCTCAATCCGCTGGTTAAAAGTCGCAGATTTTCGGCTAAATTTTTAGCCAATTTTGCTACTCTGTCCTACACATTGATAGGGGACCACCATGAATAAATATTGTTTTTGCATTAGGATTTGCGACAGATTAAGGGTTGACCTTGTGAGTGGACATGGTGCAGGACAAGTCCATGAGAATGTAAAGGTCCAACGGTCGGTTCTCTTCGTCCGTGTATGCCATCGTTACGTTAATCTTGTGACGTGACCCTGGGCGCAGTTTGACGTGAACGTGGAATGGCCGAACTGCAGATTCCTGGGCATCTTCGTTCATTCTGTAGAAAATGATGACCCCCTTATTTGCATATTATAGTGCAGTATGGTAATTTTTATTGTAATTTGTACAGTGGGATTTTACTCTAGGACAGAAGTTTGATTTTCAAATTCCTGACACGAGCTGCCACTTTCCGACTTTATTGGAACACATCGTTTCTTTATGTTGACATTCTGAGGGGATTAAATTAATTAAATTGGATGATTGAGTCTGAAAGAGCAAAAGTACTTTGTTTTCGTATTTTCTTACTGGGTCCTTGCACCACATGCACTCTGGGGTTTGAAGGCATTCTGCACAACTTTGCGTCTTGGACTCGCACAGTGACTCAAGGTCGGGCGGAGGTATCTCTTGAAAATTCCCAATTACGATAAAGCCAGAAATAAACATCAACAAGTTTGACATTTCCATTTTGCTGGAAATTGTTGTATTGTAAATAAATGAATTATCGATAGTTGTGACAATTTATTCGGTCTTAGGTACACTAGTAAATAAGTAATACGACAATGCTGTGCGGTTTAATGTCATCAGATTCACTAATTAAAATACAAGTAATTAAAAACATTTATTGACTTCACACATCCCATCATCGTTAGCTATCAAACATGCGGTTTCCATTTCCTGGTAGTCCGTACAACCACCAAACTCGGATTACTTGTAGAGAAGCTACTTGTACATAAGTAGAACATTCATGCAAATGTACGTTGGGTTCACTTTAGTAACGACAGTTATGCCTTCACGTTTAGGATTAGTTTTATTGTTTAATACATAACCGCATCATGTACATACTTTGCGTGATGCAGGTCATCACTATGCTCAGTGAATCATTTGTTTGCAGCGGAAATGACAAAAATAACTGAATGTCATGATGATAAAATAAATCCTCGTCCAATGTGTGCAATGTATTGTGCAGTCTGCTCAACGCGTGTCCATATAAGCAAGGATCTCGAACGGATCACACGCCATGTACCGCACAACAATAAGAAATATGATAATGACACTGTCCCAGATAATCGAATAACTTGGAATTCATGTTTTTTTTCTGTAGAGAATGTTACATGATTTTCAAACTGCACAACTTTACCCATTAACGTGTCTCACGTAACTCGAATCGATTTTTTGCTAGCCATTGTATATTTGAGTCGAATGAAATGCTGGAAGCCTAGATCCCATGATGGCTTATTTTATTGGATTTATTGGAGCTACAAACATACTTATTTGTTTCGGCAGGGTTAATCAGTTCCTTATCCCAAACGTTGCAACGGTTCGTCAAAATGTTGTCGTCACCTTTCATCCAGAAGTTTTTGCTCATATCCGCAATGGTGCTGCTGACCTTTCTAAGGTTGGGGGAGGGCCAGAAAATTGATGCATCTGGAAAACTGGCTTCTGAAAGTGCATCGTCGTTGTCGCCCCAATCGTTCTATGCGGAGAACCACTTTTGTTTTGCTAGCGTCAAGGTTCCGTTCTACCAAAGAGACACGTACGTCGTCGTCCTCACTGTCTTCTTATATTTTTTATGGAATCCTGCCGTAGCAATGATTTTGTGCTCATATTTGTTGTTATTTTTTAACTTTGTTCCACTAAGAACAGTGACGGAGCAGTTTGTTGTCGCGGAAAGGAGTTGCCAGTCATAACCTTGTCACCGGAAGTGACAGGAAAATGTGCAATCAGCACAAAAACCGGGGCAGATGGGCTCCTGGACTCGCAACCCTTGGTGATTAATAACACATTTCGTAGTCTCGCCACGTCTTGTAGTCTCCTCAAACTAACGAGATTAACAAATCATTGCAGTGGTGTTCGTACACATGCTCCTTGACGAAAATCGGAGCGGTAAGGAAATTTAATCCAATTTTGTATGCAGCATATTTGTATGTAGTGTAGGAGAGAGCAACCTGTTGAACTATTTTCCACGACTTAACTCGTCTCTTCCGTCCGTAAAATGCATGAACAGATGGATGCTCAAGGGAACATTGTCCCAGAAAAATATTTCAACCATTTAGCAAATGGTTTGACGGAAGCGTCCAAAACGAGGCTCAAGACAATAATGGACAAGTATTTGGGATGCTTTAAGGCCATGAAAAATCCAGATTCGCCATGTCTCACTCCGCTCAGTTTTCACAAATGCTATCAAGACGCTCTAGTTTTCCTCTGTTCTGTGGGGCTTCCGAAAAATAATGATTTTAGTACATTCCCAAAAATAAAGGTACATCATTCGTTCGGATTAAGCATCATCGTAGGGTGTACGTAAATCTGAGATGAAACCATTGGTCTCGTAGGCAGACTACAACAAAGTTCAGCCCTTCTGCTACTTCAATAACCGCAAGTTAATGCCAGGCTGCTGTCACGGGAAGCCGATGCCTTGGACAGTCCCAGAAATTCTCGAAGCGACACGAAATGAAACTGCGTACAACAAATGCATGGCAGAAATGGGAGACGATGTAAAAAAATATATATATTTCCTGAAATGTGGGTGTTGACCATTGCTATTAATTTGTGGTCTGTATTTTAATACAGTGTGATGCTACCTGTCTCCTGCGGTCGCTGGATGTGGTTAGTTTTCTAAGAGTAGCACTACATAAATTATAAATTTGAGCATACGCCTATTTGACTTATCCACATATCTATTCGGATACGAATTGTCTGCTGTTAGGTAAATGACGACTTGGACTTGGACGTAGAGAAATTTTCCCAGAAAATCTTCAAATATTTCCCCATGGTCAAGCCTTCTGCCTGGATGGATTTTACTGGACCAGGTGCATCTCATTGTTAATTCTTATTCCTGCTCTCTTAGGACAATCATTAACTCTTTGATTTGGCCTTTGTTTCTCAAGTGTTTCTCTTTTACGACGAAATTTTGGCAGACATGGGAGATGACGGTAAGTGAAATTTCATTTTTTGTGTGTGAAGCACTGGTTGCACGTGTCGCGTGTGCTGGGGTCTGTGGGTGGTCAAACCTTTGTTGGGTACACACGACCACAACAACAATAGGTGGTTAGTCAGTAGAGGTGAGCTTGGTGGACAAAATGACCAAAAGCACTACGTATTTGCATGGACATGAGCACAATTTAAAAATATATTGTTGTTCTATTGCAGAAAATAATCCGACTCAAAGGATTTGCCGGTTTCATGATCGAGTAATGGAGCTTCACGAAAGTAAAGTTGATCAGGTACACGAACCATGCAAATCTAGATATTTAGTAATCTCTCCAATTCCCATGATTGAAAAGCGTTTATAAAACGGAGAAATAGTTGTTGAAAATCGGATGACTAAAAAATGATGTTTGTTAATTAAACACTAGTATTGCGCCATGTCGACTGAGGAAGTTCGTGAACTTGTGAAAAGCAACAAGGAGAAGACTTCCAAATAATCCGATAAGCACCTCAAACTCAAAGAACCAGTGTTTGTTTCCCTTGATTACAAAAAATTGATGTACAATTACACTACCTACTAATACTAATAGTAAGTACAATAAATTATCCAGCAAAAACCTGTATGCATACATACAACTCTATTAAATAAATCTCCATGCAAAACAATATTTTACAAAAAGGCGTCCTTTTGGCAAGTTATGCAAGAAAGCAATAAAAAATTGAGTAAGCTGTACACCGTTCAATTCATAAAACTATTCAAATTAGCTTTGATGATGCAAACGAGGAGATGAATGTCGTCCTTGTTCAATTATTGTATGCTTATTATTGCACGATCAATAGTTTCACAACCCCGTTTTTAGAAAGCTGCTGTCTACTCCAATTTGCTCATATGCGACACAGTTATCACTCGTAGAGTTCAAATAACAATATGCAATTGAGTAGCAGAGAGATATGTTTCCATTGGGATTGGCATCATCAGCACTGACTGACTCAATTAGTGAGGGATCGATAAAAGGACCTGAACTGAAGCATCAGTCTGCACCAGAAGGTGGATTTTACGAGATACAAACATCCACACACATGGTCTGAGAGCTGACAACATGCACAAACACAATGTCCTTCCGATCTTCTTCTTTTTTGCGGTTTCATCTCCATCAGTCCAGGCAGGAAACCTGAAGGAAGCGATTCGTTATCGAGTTCGGAGTGGGTATGATGGGAATGTAAGACGATATTTGTAAATCATAATGAAGTTGCTCCACTTTGTGTATATTCTTACATTATAATTTTTAGTAACAAAAAGTACACACAAAACTACGTGTCTTTGTATGTGCACAGATGCTGACTTCTCAGTATCCAACTTACGCAACGGATCTGACTTTGAGCTTGGGAGATGTAACGACCGAAGAATGGCAGCAAGGACCGAATCAGCTTTGGGTGTTGCATAATCGACCAAATAATGGCTCCGCTATTAGTAACGGCACTGAGAATGGTTCGTACCAGATTATTAGATTGTGCACGTATTTATATGCATTTTCCGTATTTTGTTGTTGCAACAAGCGTCATCGGGAAGTTCATTAAAATGCAGCTCAAGAACCATGTTAAAATTACGTGTCATGTATATTTTGCTTGAGCAGAAGATCTGTACTGGATGAAGCCCGTGAGAGGCGTGCTCAACTCGCTCACCGGTATTCCTGGAGAGAAGGAAGTGATCCTAGAAATACGAGAAATCACAGAAAACTCGGGGACTTTCACCATTCGTAATGCGGCGAATAAGCTGTGCCTAGAGAATCAGGGGTAGGTTGAGATTGTGAGACGACCAACTTTCTCCTTTGTCTTTGATATGTTTAGGTTGCTTATTCTGTGTCTGGAAAACTTTCCGAAAATTAATTTGCAGACTTGGGCTGGAAACGGTTTACCGAGAGTGCAATGAGTTCAACACTGCGCAACAATGGGACTTCGAAGACCCTCGAAACCTCAAGTTTCACATTAGACTTTTGGACCAACTATTCGGAATTTTTCACTGAAAAGGTATTACCCAGAAGTATGCAGGTAGTTGGACAAAGAGGCTGCAATTTCCACAATTTTCAATTAAGACGTTTGCTTTTGTAAACTTTTTTTGTAACTTTTTTGTGAGTAATTTACTCAACTTTCCAGAAATTGAACTTTGGCAGACCAATTAATACAATAAAAGTCGAACAATAGATATCAGCTATTATGCAATAGTGGAAAACATAGTGGTTGGAAGGCTCAACTCCAGCCAGTCTGTCGATATGAATATTATGCACAAAGCACATTCCCATCTAATTATTTTTTAATAAAGTATTTTATCATTTCTTCCTTTGACTTATGAGAACCAAGAAAACGCGTGCGCCATCAAAGCGAAATAATTTATTTGAAATGTTCCAAAAAATATAAGGTATCGAATATCGTGAAAATGTTCGTGTTTCACAACCGCTTAGGATTGAATTTATAAGAGTGTGACTGAAATTGATGAGCATTATGCAGTTTCTCCATCTCATCACAACAAGCAGGCCTTCAAGGCCATCAAATTGTGTGAGGCAATCCCATACACAAATAGTGTATACTTTGCGAACGGAGTGTGTACTTTGGGACATTTCTGCTGGGCCTACTTTCCGCTCATTCATCATCAGGCTTCTCGAGACTGCAAACACTTTCACCAACAAAAAGGCGACGCGAATTGTCCAGATTTTCTCCACCACTTTATCAACTGTGTGGTCCAACGTAATATTGGACAGGAATTGGGAATTTCAGACTGGATGCTTTATTTACGCTTCAGACTCGTCCCCAGGATGAATTTTCACACTTTCTTTGTGGTCCCCGTCCCGTACAACTCAATTTTGCCACATTACTGCCACGTCCTTTGTCCCGTCACCATCCTCTGCGCCAGTACGATAATTGCATTTCAAAATGTTGCAAGTTTATGAGCCAAGATATTCATGAATTTTTTGTGCACATATAAAATGTGGCTAACAGTCGTTGTCAAAAAGTCGGGAAAAAATGGTGCCTGAGCACGTTTCAGTCATTTTAACGTCTCGTAACTCTTTTTAACGTTACCTACTAAATCACGTCTATGTTTTGGTCAGTTACGTATGCACGAACGGAATCAGATTTTTGACGATGCCAAATATTTATTGACCAAATTTACTTCAATTTGCCTGGAATTATCATTCTGCTTTTAAAATGAGAAAGTTGATCACTCCGCTTGGTTTGGTATCATTGTGAGTTGGTAAATTTGCCAGAAAGCCCACTACACAACCTGCCTGCATGTGATGGATTGGTAAATAGTTCAATTTGGTCATGGTCCTTCATCCCGATAGGGTACCGACTAATTGAAATATTGATCATGGTTTAAAATCTTATAAAGTTATACATGCAGCGCAACTATCTCAACACAAAACACATTGTGGACTCAATTAAATAGTACGTACAAACGACGACGTCACATTTCCAGCCTCCCCGCAACTACTTTCGCAACTTCCACAGACCATGGAGAAAGCAAAGATGAGTACTGTCAACACGTGATACAAGATCTAGACGAAAAAGAGATCCAGCACGAACTCGACAGAAATTGGTTGTTCATGTGCCACCGAAATGTGTTGTGGGCGAGGACAATGAAACACTTTCAGGAAGTTGGACTCAATCAATGTAAGTTTACAAAAGGGGACGAACGAGCGGTTTCAGTACTTATCAGGAACAAGACAACAACACCCTCATCACCGTCTCCGCACAAGAACGATGGCGAAACTGGATCCATTCAACTCGAGCAAAGCATACTTTGCACACTTTCACTCTTTGACGTTACACTTAATTGGATAACTTGGCGTTAACAATGGCAGATAAAATTAGCAAAATTCGTCTTGTAGAAAATCATCTGATACCGTTGTCAGTCGGTATGAAGGATCTACAGTTAGAATCTCACTTTCCTAGCATTCAATGGAAGCAGGAACAAGCATTCTCAGTTTCCAAACATGTCAAAATGTTTCAAGTGTATTTTTTCCTTCATTTGTTCAGCAGGATCGAGTTTCATATCGCAACCCACTCTCGATCGCTCAATTTCCCAGCACCCACGCATTCTGCGCTTTATTATGAATGAAATTGCCTGTCAAACTTTGTATAGAATGCAAAACGACAGTTAACTTTAATTACTTAGCGTGAATTACTCATGTTTAGAGAACTTAATTCTCCAAGTGGCCATGAATTATAGAAAATTTAAAGAATTGCTTGCACGGGAGGATAAAAAAATATTCTATTTTTAATTTCGCAACCATTTTGAGAGGAATTAAGTGGTAATATATTCTAAACGTACACAATTATCGGAACATTTCTGAGAAATTTCATTTCGTGGAAACGAGTCCTTGATCTGATCAACGCCGCTATGTTATCTCGCACTGAAAGGAAAGGAGGATTCTGCATTGTAGCCACCGCTGTACTCGCGCAGTTGCCATTTTCCCACCGTAAAGCAAAAACTTTCACTTTTGTTAATGGTCCTCCTGGAGCAACGCTACCGAATTCACGTGTGCTCTTTGTTAGAGATACGGACTACTTAACGAACAATAAATGACTGGATGAAGTTTGGCTTACCAGCAAACACAATAAATGAATCGACATCATCATCCCTGCCGAGAAAGACTTGCCTCTCACTAAATTTACCTACCAGCAGACAGACATCGTGCGGTGGGAAAATGGAGAATTCTATACGATTATCTTTTTCGTACATGCTGAGAAGAGTGCAAAAAATGACAAAAAACTTTCTCTTGTTTTGGTAATGTATATTTATGTGCGAGGAGAAAGCCGATTGCAGATTTTGAGACGGAATAAGCTTAAATTCATATTCGAATTTCCCCTGGAACCATGTGATCCACTCTTCAGTCGGTGTCCTTTTCCCACAATGCTCCATAATGCCAGTCGGAGAACGCTGTCTCCATTTCCAGAGGAAGGAGATTGAATGTCGGCCAGAGAGAGCGGCTTCCCTCCAGACGAATACATTTAATAAGGCTCCACCAACTACCGAGTGCGTTACGTATTAGGCCCGAGAAAAGCTTCGATAAAGGTTGTTCTTCTGAAGGGAGAACCTGGGGCCGCATTGGAATCAAGTGCATTAAGTACGTGGGCAGATGATAGATGTGTTTACGATGGGGGTGTTCTGCAAACTGGTCGGATTTCTCCTACCTGGTTCTAAGTAGCTGCACTATTATGCTCCCTTCCTGCCTCTTCCTACACTCCATAAATATTTAAAGTAGACACGCTTTTCTACTTTCTCTGTCAACTTGGACGACATGCTCCCCATTGTTAAAATCTTAAATGTCCTCAAGATAAAATAAAATTGTATACGTCAAATTACATTACACAATTGTTCATTGTATTATACAATACGTAATTGTACAACATACAATTTGTTTAAACAGCCTCCAGAAACGTTTCCTTCACTGATAATCCGTAATGACAATAGCGAAATGTGCTTAAAAAGGAACTTGCAGGGCAGAAATCTTGACTGCCCTGGGAAACAAACTGGTTTTGTCTGACCCGAGTTGGAATCAGGGCTTGATGACATTATAATTTCACATTTATTCATTTCCAGCTCCGGAGTGAGTCTGCATTTTCATCGTCTATTCAAGAAATAGTTTCCTCTGTGATAATAATTACGGAATAATCCTCGCTCATTAAGAGTGAGTCGCCTCTTGTCTGGTGTGTGTGCATCAAAGCAACCACCACTACTGCCGCCTCAAACAAGACCAACTTTGTGGTCAATTTTGTCTAGTCGTCCCCACATGGTGACTTCTTCCTAAACGTGGAAATAACAGTAACGTTTTCGACGTCTTTTTAATACCAAGGTTCTATTTTGGTCGTTCCAGCGTACTTAAAACTAGACACAGTGCCAATTAAGCCCAGCTTGTTTTAACCCTGAGCTGTCCTTTCCATTTCATAGAAGCATTGTCAGCGAGTAAAATGGATGCACGTGGAATGAGGGGGCAATTTACATACGGGGAAATTGGTTGACTACATCCAAGCTGACTGCTGAGACGTAGAAAATGGTGCATGGCTGCGTTACGATTGTGTGGGACGATGAAAATGACGACTGAAAATTTAAAGATGTCAATCGTATTACTGGCAAGCATACATTTTGCTTTCATGCTGTTGCTGTCATCATCGAGCAAGGAAAACCATAATATTCAATCAACTGTGAGCATAAATTTACTGGGCTGAAGACCAGGAATAAGTAGGTACTGGTTAGCATGCACCTTCACATTTCACCCCCCACCTTCGCAGCAAATTGATGTTGCTGTCGAGGACGGAAGGAGGAAGACAAGGAACACGGATCTGAGAGGAGGAATAAATGTTGACGAAAATTGAGAATTTAGCACTTTCACTCGTTACCGTCACGTTTGTGGAGAGGTGTAATACGACTGCACTTAAGTAAATAAGAGCCTCTTGTCACTTAACTTTGCTCTTCTTCTGAACGGAAGCAAACTTGGCATTTGGGTTAGAATGTCGTGCAAAGGGTTTCACTCATTTTCACTTCATTTAATTATGGACCCACTAAAAGCTGAATGACATCCTGCCCTCGGCAGGTTGAGAGGAGAGGAGTTAAAGACGATGTGGTGATACATTACGCAGAGTTCGACTTTACTAGATGCCCTCGCCAAGGTTTAATTAGGGAATTGACTATGAGCCGTTTAAATATTTTTCTCATATAATACACATAACAACGAAAATGCTGAAGGATGATTACATGCAACATGTCATGATCTCCTGAAGGAGAAATAAATCAAAACGATTTTGGTATTTCTGTGTTACGCAGGAGAAAAACGTTTTCAGAAGAACAGAAAATAATTTGGTGAATATTTATCTAGTTGAAACAAACAGTCTCAAGCAAATATTGGAAAAGTTGGAAAAGTTGACAATGTCGCAACCACTACAGAGACCGGTTGTACTTCCTAGGAAAACGGATCATCGTCCAGTGATAAGAACTCCTCACGGACTGGGACCGTTGCTGGATGAAATTTTTCAAGCAGTTCTCACATATCAGCCCGATGACAGCGATATTCACAAATTTTTGGCTCTCTATCTCGAAGCAAAACTTGAACAGAGGAAAGCACACACGGAGGAGGAAGAGGAACTCGTTCGTCACTTTGGATCCAACCACGATAAGAACTTGCAAGAGCTGTTACACAAGAAAAGGATTTCGTTCGAGGATGCAGGCAAGTTCGCTGTACGGATTCAAGCTGCCTTTCGTGGGCATCTCATTCGCAAGCGATTAACGTCGGAAGGGAAAGTGTTGCACAAGGAGCACTGGAAGTCGTGGGAGTGGCGGCGATGGAGCTGGGAAGGCAAATCTCTGCTTACGGAATCACAATTGCAAGCATTTTTGGAGGAGCACCACATTTCCCTCGAGGTGGCCAACAAGTACGCCAACAAGATCCAAGCCGTCTACCGCGGGTTCAAGGTTCGTCGCAGCTCTGAGGGAGAAGCGGTGAAGGAAGCGATCAGGAAGCAGCGTCGGTCCTCAGCTGCGGACAAAAAATTTCAGAGACTGAAAGGAAGCTTGATCGCGATTCATTACGACATCAAGATTTCTCCACGAATGGACACCTTTGATTTCAACGGGGTCGTATTTGTTCAAATGGCGCTGACGGATGAGGACTCCTCGAGCATCGTGATGAACTCATTCCAGCTCACAATCCTAAAGGCCGTGTGGAAAGACTCCTCCGACAATGAGTACGTTGCCAGTAGAGTAGACTGTGACGATGAGAAGGGAACTATCTGCATGCACTTTGACTCGCTTTTACCGATGGGACGAGGAATTCTGTACATTTCCTACTCGGGCATCATGAAGGAAGACAATCGGGGACTGTACTTGATTAAGTTGACCAAACTAAACCCAGAATCTCATAAAGTTGAAGAAAGCCACGTGGCGATCACCCAATTCGAAGCTACGGAAGCCAGAAAAGCGTTTCCCTGTTTGGATGAGCCTGACAAGAAGGCGACTTTCTCAATCTCTCTGGTGGTGGAGGCAGGAAAGACGTCAATCTCCAATATGCCCTTGAAAAATGTGCGCCCAACGGGGGAAGAAGGGTTTGAGATACGAGAATACCACCCAACGCCAAAAATGAGTCCTTACCTCCTGGCCTTTGCCGTGGGGGACTTTGAGTTTGTGGAGACGACGAGTGAGGACGGTGTACTTTTACGGGTCTACACCACGCCAGGAAAGAAGGAGCAGGGGATTTTTGCCCTCAACGTAGCCGCAAAAGCCCTCGAGTTTTACACAAAGTTTTTTGGGATTGCGTATCCTCTTCCGAAACTGGACATGGTGGCGGTGCCAGATTTGTCCGCCTCTGCGATGGAGGTTTGTACTTATAAACATATTCATACATACATCTATTTCTTTTCATGGTACACTCGGTTTCTATCAGCTTTTCATACATTTTAAAAATTAATTCCCCTCAAAGAACTGGGGCATGATTGTCTTCCATGAAACGGCAATACTGCTGGACGAGAAAGAAAGTTCACACGCTTCCAAACAGTGGATTTCTATCGTCGTGTGTCACGAGATATGTCACCAATGGTTTGGTATACTGACTTAAGTAATTATCCACAAGTGTCCAAAGGGGATGGTGTAATGGGTTGATAATGTAGGCAATCTCGTGACGATGGAGTGGTGGACAGACTTGTGGCTGAAGGAACGATTCGCCACGTACTTTGAGACCGTCGCAGCAGACCACCTGTTCCCCGAATTCAGTTTGTGGTAATGCTGCAACAACTGAGGAGTGGAGCTAAATATATGTATAGCAACTAATCATATTTATACCCATCTGTAGGAACCTGTTTGTGAAAGATGAGGTCCTTTCGTCTTTGGAGACTGACGCGTTCCAAAATAGCCACGCCGTGGAAGTGGAGATTGATCACCCCGAAGAGATAGATTCTATTTTTGATGAGATATCCTACTGCAAAGGCGGGAGCTTAATTCGTATGCTCCACCAGTACATGGGCGAGAAGGATTTTCGCTTGGGAATCAATACATACCTGGAATCTCATAAATATCGTAATGCCATTAGCGAGCATTTGTGGGATGCTTTTGAGAAGACGAGTGGAAAGCCGGTCGGAAAAATGATGAAAACCTGGACGAAGCAATTAGGCTTTCCACTCGTACGCGTGAGGTTTGAGAAAGTCGAAGGGAGCAGCTCCAGGATTTTGTACCTGACACAAGAGAAATTCCGGGCTAATCCACTAACCAGTAATCAATGGAGTGGAGGTGAAGAGGACAAAGGAAATGAAGACCCGCTCTGGCTCATCCCATTGACATTTTCCTCAGCCTCCAACCCCAACCGTGTAATTGCGGACTGTCTCATGGAAGGCAAAGGTGTGACGATCCTCATCCAAGACGTCGGAGATGATGAATGGGTCAAAGTAAGAAGCTCATCCTTGAAATTCACACCAAGTTTACCCCATTTCACCTGCAGCATGTCCTCTCCAGCAGGGAAGTTGACTTTTTGTTATGCATGGCTTTGAACTCGTCTCCCCATCGTCATCAGCATCGACATCGCTAACTATGACTTCTCCTCTGGAATACCAAATCGCAATTGCGTTCATGTGAAAGAAATCCAATTCTGATTCTATCATTCCAATTTCCTCTCGGATTTGTTTTCCTTTCCGTCTCCTCCTCTCTCACACCATTTCAAACGTAGTTAAAATCCAGTGGTACAACTGCAAGTGGAGAGATACGTAAATACGTACGTACGCAGAATGTGCACGCTGTGTGCGAGAATTGCAGCAGTTTATGCAATATGCGGTTCCTGCTGGCTCCTTCAAAATTAATTATTGGCTGCTGCTGACGAAATTATGCTTTCTCTCTCTTTCTCCCAATCTCTCGGAAAGTAGTGCATGATGTGCAGTTAGCTGGCTCAATATCCAACTATTGTGCTTGTCTCAAGGACTTTGTTGTTTTCTTCTTTGTTTTGTTGCTAGTAAACTTTCGACTCCTTTGTTGGAAATTTCTCCTCCCAACGTTTAATTAGATCTTGCATTGTATAATCATTGTATAATTCTTGTATTACTGTTAAAGTGCGAAACATGCATAAAGTTTATGATTTTCATTATTTGCAGATTAATCCAGGCATGACTGGTTTTTACCGAGTGCAATATGACGCAATAGACCTGGAGGGCTTCATGCCTTCCATTCAAGACCTTGGACTCCCTCTCATCGACCGTTTAGCACTTTTGGACGATCTATTTGAACTCGTCAGATGTGGGAAAAACTCCACCACGGACCTACTCCAGTTCCTCCAAGCATATCGAGGCGAACGGGATGGAACCCTGTGGCAACACATAAGCCATGTTCTCGAAGGACTGGATTTTCTGCTCCAAGAGACCCAGCATCATGACCACTTCAAAGCATATGCGAAACAGTTGACTCTGCTAATTGTCGAAACCATGGGATGGGACGCGAAGCAGGGCGAGAGCCATTCAGACTCCATCCTCCGACCATTGACCATACAATTCAGAACGGGCTCTTTTGGAGACCCTGACGCCACGGTGGAAGCTCGACGTCGCTTTGTGCAGCACTTGAGTGGGGAGAAAGTGATCGATCCGGACATCCGATGCGCAATATTCAGCGCCGTCCTGCACTCGCCACTGGAGGGCGAGGGAGAACAGCTCCTCGAAATCATGAAGGATTTGTACATGCAGACTGAATTGTGTGAGGAAAAGATGAGAATTGGTCAAGCGATGGGTGCATTGCCAGACGTGGCTCTTCAAAGGAAAGTGTTGGAATTCTGCATGTCTGACACGAAGGACGTGAGGCTTGGGGACGCGTCGTCGATTATAACGTCCGTCAGTGCTCATTCGATTCAAGGCCGGAGGTTGGTTTGGGAGTTCATCAAAGAGAAGTGGCATGTCTTGAAGGAACGCTACTCCGGAGGTGGCATCACCCATCTCATCAGACTCATTAAGCACACCACACAAAATTTCGTTTGTGAGGATGACGCGAAGGAGGTGGAGCAGTTTTTTGCGACGAATCCGTTACCTGGTGGCGAACGTTCGATAGCTCAATCTGTGGAAAATATTCGAGTGAATGCAGAATGGGTGGAGAGAGATCGGGTGAAAGCTGGGGAATATTTGGCTGGTCTCAACTTATCAAAATAACCCAGCCAATTGCAGCGACCTCGTTAATTAAGCCGCTACAGCTGCACCAGAAGTCAGTTATGATTAGTAATAAATAATATCTATATACAATACAAATACATACATTATAAGTGCATGTGGAATCCGAGTGTTTTGGTTAGAATAATCTATGTCTCGTCATAAAACTCTGTTAAATACTCATTCGTCAGACAAAGACAAGCTTTATTTATAATTCTACCGCATGAAATCATTCCCTCATTGGTTAGACTCGTAGACATTCATAACATGAGCAAGTTTCGCTATTTTATGTACGAACTTCTTTACGAAGCAGTTCAAGCACCAGAACAGATTGATTGACAATGATATAGATTTGATAAAATATTTCACGTTAAAAAATAATCGATTTCACTCGCTATATACTTGCCACACCACTGATATTCATACTATCGCTTCATTCGTATTGTATTGATGTTGACTCGGACTGTGCTATCCCATGTTCCCAATGACATTGACAATGAAATTTATTTCCTAAGTGTAGCTATCACTCGTTCTACACTAGATGAGAAGAAAATGAGAAAAATTATTTAGTTCATTTAGGGGCCCGCTGATCAATTAATAATTATCAATTCTGATTCCCAGTTTTATGAAAGTAGAGTCGGGTATGCATATTCATTGGCGTTATGGCCCTGGACGCAATTCAGTGCTCGCAACGGGTCCCAGGTGGGACCCGGACCCAGACCCGACCCAGACCCGGACCCGAATTTAGAAACGGGTGTTCGGACCCGGTTCACCCGGGTCCCATAACTACTGATCCGGACCCGACGGGTCCGGGTCCGGGTCTTGAAATTTCCAGACCCGGATCTGGACCCGGACCCGGACCCGAACCGGACCCGAGACCCGGGTCTTCCGTTCTCACATTACATTTAACGCTGGAGCTTCTAAGTTCCCTATTTTGATTCCTTTAAGATATGCAGCAGTAGATAGTGCACTTCTAAAGTGTGCATGGCCCCATTTGCGCCCACGACATGCCACATCCCCTTAAAGGCATTATATCCACTAGAACTGCCGCATTTAAACTTTTACCAAAAATTCAATTTTAGCTCCCTTTCAGTAATTTTCCTAATTTTCGTGATCTTGCATTTTTGTTTTATAACATCCAAAATTGAACTAATTAAAAAAAAATTATTTTCTAAAATTTCCTAACCAAGGATATGTTTTCCAAAAAATCAAAATTTCTAAAAGTTGAGTTTGATCTTGGAAATTAAAAAGTACCTATATACTTGCGATCAAGACAGTAAAAAAATCAAAGATTTAAATTCGATTTTTGGTGATGAAACGGTGATAATTTTTTCGCATTTTTTATGCCCTTGCGTTGCTGTGATGGGCGCAAATTGGGTGATGAAATAAAATCCTCCTTCGCTTTCCGTATACTCACTTAAAATTAGTACTACATATTGTAGTCTACAATATGTAGGTACATAAAGATTGATCATGTATGTCAAAGTTATGTTTAACAAAGATAACTATAAGCTTATGCATATCAATTAAAGTAATTTATGCATTAAAGTAATTTAGTAATTTATCTTTTTAAATTCTTCTATGATTAAACATATTGATTAAACATAGAATTCTGTCTCTCATCACCCCAGATTTGAAGTAGTCATAAGGACCCGGTTGTCGGGTCCGGGTTGGGTCCGGTTCCGGCTCCGGTTCCCACCGTCCGACCCGGACCCGGACCCGACCCAAGACCCGTTTGTATACCATATAAAATCGGTGACCCGGACCCGGCGGGTCCTGGTCCGGGTCTTTTAAATTTTTGATCCGGACCCGACCCGGACCCGGACCCGGCGAAAACGGGTCTTGGGACCCGGACCCGTTGCGAGCACTGCAATTTCAGACCTATTTCAGGCTTTCTGAAGATGTTATCTTGATACTGTAAGACAAGCGTCCTTTTTCCGCCTCTTGACGTCATCACGTGCATACATTATTTCAGTTTCTTCAGTCTGTGGTTTCAGTGACAGGGAATAAAATATGCAAAAGATGCTCGAGTTGTCGATTTTAGTAAAATTATTATTCATGAACGTTTGTTAATCTTAAAAGTCACCTCTCTATTTGTGTCTCTGATCGTGAGTTGTCCTCCACCTCGGGGAAAATAAAGTCTGGGAAGGCCTGCACTTACGGAGGACTGATTCTATGAGTTGTGGGTAGCAAGCCATTTGCGAGTCTGGGTGAGCCATGTGGTCGACAATTTTTCTCCCCTTCTTCCTCCGCCACCTCAGAGTTTGCGAACTCCTCTGTTGCACCCCCTTCAAATGGAGTAAGAAAACTGGCCGCGTGGTCCGTGTTCATTCCACGTGGCGAATTCTGTTTTGTAAAGTGCAGTGCGCCCTGCACTTGGTCTACATGTTGGCCATGCTGGACCAGTTCGTCTTTGGCAAAGTTCCCGTGAGAATGAAGCTTCAAGGTCTGGTCTTCTTCACCATCTACGTCATCCTCTTCACAGCCCGATGGAACTGGAAGGTCCGGATTGCCCCAATGCAGCTCATCAACTCCTTCCTCGATTTTGAGGAAACCATTCCAGCAGGTCAGCAAGCGGTAGAAAAAGTCGTCAACGTACATACTAATGGTAATTTATCATGTTCAAGACATAAAGCAGGAAAAGTCATTCGAGGACAAGGCGCTGACCTTCTACCTGTACTGCCTCCAATCCACCATTCCTCTCTTCCCAGTTATGAACTTGATCCTGCTGTCGAACAATCCCTGCTCACTCCCATTCCTGGGTTCGCTGACCCCTTTCTGCGTGAACGGGGTGTGGTCCAATCCTCCTGCCCAGGTGTGGACGGTCATGCTCACCTTCGAAACATGGATGGGCTACCAAATATTTTACTCTGGGACACTTTGGATCCTGTACATTTTCTTCGTGGGCACAGTTTGCCTGCTCGACTATCTTCACTACGTCCACAAGTAAAGTCATATCGCAGCAGTATGAATACCGTGAGTGATAAGCCTTTGATTTGTGTAATTCCTCCTCCGCACCAGGATGATACAACGCATTCCCAAATCTCTCATGAAAGCGAAGCAGACGGAGAAAGCCGTGGTAAATCCTGGCAGCTCAATGGGCCAGTTAGAAATCTGTCACTCTGCCTGCCTCGATATTTACCGCGGTGTCCAGGTGCTGGAGAAAATGTTCAACGTCTTTCTAAAGGATCAAATAGTTCCCGGGATGGTATCTTGTCTGCCCGGAATCCAAATATTTTCCCAGTATGTTTGCATCAAACTTCACTCCGAGATCCCGATGCCTGGCCTTCTCGTCTTCCCAATGGTTCTCTTGGACGCCGTCCTCAACAACATACTCATGTTCACCTTGGCTTCCTCGGTAAACACGCTCTCTGGGAAAATTCTGTCCAGCTGGAGAAAGGCGCTGGAGCTCTTCAAGCGGAGGACGCCGATCAAGAAGCAGCTGAAGGCCTGCACTCTCATGAAGATTCAGTTCGGAAGCAACTACATTGACAACGGCACGCCGCTCGTCATTCAAAATTTCTGCCTCTCGCAAACCCTGTCCTTACTCCTCATAAAATCAAGCTATAAGTAGCCATGCAACGTTGGGAGATATTTTTCAAGTCATTTTCACTCAGTGTTACGGCCAAAGTCTTATCTTCACAGAAGTATCCTCGTTATAACCAACTTTCTGGAGTATTGCCCAGTTTAATTTAATTTGTCAATGTATGCATATATACTTATCGTTTCGTTTGGACATAGTATTTAATGCATGTATATCTAGTATATGTTCGTGTCAATAAGATGTATGCAGTCGATGTGCACTTGTTTCTGGATCATTGTGTATGAACTCGAACGACTGGAAGAGTTTAGTAAACTGCTCTTTGCGATAACTGGGACCATGCCATGTAGCAAATGGGGTTTACTTACATACATCCCATTCCATTGAAATGTATTGGAAAACAAGTAAACGCGACGCCTTTACGACTTGCAGACTTTTCTAACTTATTTCTATTGACATGGACATCGAATAATTTGGAGAAAGTGAATGGCTCTGCTACAGAGAGAGCGTAGAGCGAGAGGGGCGGTGAATATGGTTCAGTTTGAGTAGACTTTTCTGAACAGACACGACGAGGAGAGAGACCAAGCAGGCAGTGAGTTTCAGCCTTGGCAATAATAAGTACGGGTGTAAAAGAAAGCGAGGAATGCAGAGACGCATAACCTCCAGTTTCCCACGAGCCCCATCCCATTGATTCCATACCACTGTCAGCTATTGCTTCAGTTTTAGGTGAAACGACGATCAAATAATGGGCCCATGTCACCGCGATAGTATTTATGCAATCCGGCCGAGACGACGAGGAGCGGTGGTGCGGCTATGCGCCTAGCCCAGCCACCAAGATTTATTAACTTCACTCTTCTGCCAGCAGCTTCATATGCTCCCTGCATTTCGGATTTGTTGCAGACTAAGCCAGCCACCGCCTTGGTCGGACAAAGTCCTGATTTTCTTTCGACAAGACCATGACAAATCAGCAAATATAGCAAAATAAGAAATTGAGTTCACTCCTTATCCACGTACAATCCAATCCTCGTAGAATTTGCGAGCATTATGGTGAAAGCATAGAACCCCCTGCTCGAAATATGGCGTGGCTTTCTTCCTGCGTATTACATACTTACTTACAAGTCAAATCATCATCAAACGTTTCTTTTTCCGCAGTTTCTCCTCTCTCACAGCGAAGAAAAAGCTGTGAACTCGAGCGATGATCGAATCAACAGTGGTAGGAACAACCTTGGACGGAGCACACAATGCAGGCAGACAGACCTTTCTCAATAACCTTTTTATTAGGACAACATGAGACCAGTTTCAACTTTGAGCATTCATGTCAGACGTCAGATATCGTCCATCTGAGCCTCTAATTTTTATTCTCTACCACACCCATGACATTTTATTTCGTTAAAAATAAACCATTCATGTGCTTAGCCAAGCAAAAAGAGAACTATATGAAAATAAAAACCTTTTAATAAAAGCTTTTCATGGCCAGAGTCAAGATTTAAGTTCATATAATGTGAATTATGTTGAAGTCCTTACGTGAATTCGCTTTCGCTTCTACAAAACGAGTAGACAAACCTTCGGGTGGATAAGCTCTTGATCGGGATATGTAAAAAACACTTGGTATTTTAGATTGTCTGACATTTATGGTTTTTAGGACTTTTTTGTGTAATTTTGATACAAAGCGCTGCCAAGCAAGGCGGGGTCGCTATTTTTGCTCCTTCTATCCATCAAAATATTTGATGACTTGTCATTGGTGGGGGTGGATTTTACATGTTTCTATAAAATCCCACATTATTACTTTCCCAAGCTGGAAGCCACTTTTTGTATTTGTTTAGACCATGATCGTCTCATCTTTCCTCGCAGTCAGCACAAATAATGCAATATTCCATGTGCGAAAGAAGCCCAGGTGCTCTCAACCCTCGTTTCATAACCCCGTGATTTTATTCATATTCGGTCCTACACCACAGGCTGGGACTTCAATTTCCATGATAATGTAAACCTACATAACTGGGTTAATAAACATGTTATTGGAATTCGGGATGAATTCGGGTGAGCCAAGAAACGAACAAAACTGGAAATAATACATGTTTCCTGTTATTTTCAGAGGAAAAGTGGGGACGACGGAAATCAAATTGTTGGCTATGGGAATCATGCACACGTTGGAACGTAGGAGTAAAAATGTAGAAGCTCTCCGCAAACTTTTCCCATTCAGAGAGCTCATCATTGGTGAACGGCTCTCACTCGGCGCTTTCTTAGCTGTGGATGTGGTCGTGGTGGTGAAAGCGTGGAAGTGGAGTTTGACAGATGGGATAATAAAGTTGATAAATAGACCTTTGTGCTCTGCCACTACTTAGAAGCGCTGGGCTAATGCAGCCCAATCATCCACCAAAGAACAGGACGAGGAGGACAAACAAACATACACACATGTATACGAGCCGAATTTATTTCGCCCGATTTTCGACATGAATTTCGAATTCCGGTCGACTCCTATTTTTGTTGTGTCTACAGTGCAACAATAGCCACGTAGAGTAGACTAATAATATTATACCTTTCCGCACGATGTGGAGTAGATCATGTCGGATTTGTGACGGGCGGAGTGGGATTGATGAATTTTGGCTTTCTGACCTGTCCTTAACTTTCTCTTTCTTGCTTTATGCTCCACTCCACTCCGCAACATCGTCATCATCATCGTATGAAAATAAATAATATTTCTCTCCCTCCTGTTCCTCCGACAATGCTATTTATAAATGTTCCAGAGTGTCAAGTACAAATTACTTTTATTTACGTTACACGTCATAAATCCAATGAATATGTAGTCACTTAACATACATCTTGCACTTTAGCCTGCATCTGCTGCATGCGCTTCATGGCTTGGTCTCCCGAACACGTACAATAGTCTTTAATATATATCTTTAATATATATTTCTTATATTTAACGAGAACAGACAATATTGAGATGCAACACCAAAAATCCGTCCCATTTCCTCTCTTCATGCATAAATAAGTGTACGGAATAAGAACATCGAAATATGTACGTACGTTACAGGGGTACAGGTACAAAAGGTTACGTTTTGTTGATATAGATAATGAAATAATAAATGTCGCTGGCTCGTCACCAAATAAACCCATTTCACATTTAATCACGTCACATAGCTGCGAGATCGAACAAAGTTTTCTCCCCATGACTTTTCAGAATATGTACATTTAATCAGTCAACCTCACCGCAACAACGACGGGATGAACAACACCAAGGACCAACAATGAGGGCGACGACGACATTGAATTTCATATACGCAGTGTATGTACACCGAACATTATTAAGTATGACAACAAATTGACAACCACATTCTCGGGATACATCGATCGACTTTCTCTCGTTTTGACACTTTTCACATTCATCCTTCAGTGTCATAAAAGAGAGTAGTATGGGAAATATTTCAGTTATTCGGGTCAATCAATTTTATGTATGAGGCGCATATCGCCCACCATTCGACGACGACCCTGGCTCCTCGGCTCTCTCCTCCTTCTTCAATCCGAATATTCTCCATTCTCACACCAACAAAGAGCCAACAAAATAACGGAGTGAGGAGCGGAAGAAGGAGCCATCATCCTCAGTTATTCTTTAGTTCTTCTTGAGTAGGTTAGTGAAGTCTCTCATGGGAATGCTGACTTGTTGGCATCGATTATCCTTCCTGGCGCCACTCCCAACCCCGATCACCCCGCAGCCCATGATGCTCGAGGGGGTCGTCGTGCCAAGGACGTGGTGATCACCATTCAGGCCGTTGGGCGAGGGGGTGACGGTGTTTCCGAGGGCAAGATGTTGTTGATGGTCTCGGGCGAGGGGCTCTTACTTGGTTGACTTCGAGACGACTCCGCCGCCCTAAACTTGCTCCTGAAGTGGGTGGGAGTGATGAAGAGGGCCCTTTGCTCGCCCGTGGTGGGACCAATGCAGAAGGTCTCCCCGTTGCCGTACTTGGAGCTCCGGTTGCTGCGGGCATTCCGACGAACGCTGTTTGCACTGCGACGAGCAGCAAACCTTCTGTACTGCCGACGAATGGCGTCCCTTACATCACTGCTCAAAAAGCAGTAGAGGACCGAGACAAAGATGCCCTGTTCAAATAAGGAGACGGAAATTTAATTGACGCATTGTGTATGGGAGGCTGTGGTGGGTTGGATTAATTGGATAAGATCACACACAAAGGCGGGGACACAAACTCATTCATGCTGATGGTGAAGTGGTGAGGGTACATACAGCACTACTTTCATACATGCACATACATAGGTGCTCATATGTAACTGCACGGGGGCGAGTACTTATTTTGTAAACTTGAGAGCTACATTGAAATTCACTTATGTTCTCACTCACTCAACACTTACGCAATTCGAACTTACATAATGAAACTCCTGCTCCAATAAGCTCATCCTTTTCATTTCATTGACCATGTAAACACAATTCGAGAACTATCTACGCAGATAAATTCTCAATGCACGGGTGATTTTCGATCTGTCATGCAGACTCATAGATATGTGTCTGCTTTAAACTAATGTAAGCTATGTTCTGGCTGGTCAATTATTGACGCCTTGCAAACATCATCACCAAGCGAGTGGACACATACATACGTTTGGCAGGACTGCTGGAAGTTTGTACATATTATTTGGGCGACGTGGGTTCATATGAATGATGGGAAGTGGAAATGGACATGGACGTGTACAAACGGTGGGGCGATGGAACTGATTAAAGGGTGAAAAATGAGCCGTCAAAGGAATAAAATCTCTCCGGAACTCAATCTTGGCTGCATCAAGTCTGACCGGAAAAGCGGAAAAGCAAGGCGACAGAAAAAGGGAAAAGCAAACCGTCGTCGTAACTTGTTACTGACCTGTGTAGACTGGAATACTGTGTTAAGAATGACAAAAGTTCGCTTCATCCCTCCCCCCGGATTGTAGAGGAAAAGGAGGTTGTTTATCCCGAGGAGTGGGAACAACAATATAGTTGCTTTAACTGCTCGTCTGAAAACCACAAAAAAACCACAAACGAGTTGAGTATTGATTTACGAGTACAATTTTGGCAGACACGTAAAAAGGTGTTTCGTTGACGGTCGTATGGCTCCGCTGGACCAAGTTTTTATTCACAGACAGTACTTTCACTTTTGAATATTGATCGAGGTGGCAGAGAACAAATGAATCTGTCAATGCCACGTACGTAATCTAAGGAATTGGGCCACACCATCCGTGCTGCGAGCGAAATGCTGACGTTTGACCTGACCGCATGCATGAAGTTGTATGTACGGGTAACCAACCCGCCATGACCAAATAACTGCAAGGCTAATACTCTGGATTACATAAGAAGCATATTTGGATTGTCTGGAAGAACTGGGCGTTAGATTTAACGAAATGGTGTGGGCGTAACATGCACATCTGCGCTGCTGCATTACAGAAAATGACGGGTGATTCGCAAGTGTCATAAGTATTATAATTTCGGCGAGCGAAAAATGCATCAGTCGAGCAAGAATTTTGCACACATTTTTTGTGCACATGTTATTTCAATTGAGACGGAGGGCGTATGTTGGGTACATTTTCTTTTGAAGGACACCAGTACAACAACTTTTTCGACTACTTACATTTATTTTTTTTATCCAACTTGTGTGTACCCAAATCCCAAAGAAAAATATTCAACTTGGAAAAGTTTTTATTTCCAAAGTGTAGCAGAAAATCCAAAATTGATGCTAAATCAATGTTTTGCACTCTAATAAAAGTTTACTTCAATCACTTGAGTTTTTCATGGAAATGTTTTTCTTATCCGACCAAGTGTTTCAATAATCGAACAGCATGAAGGTTTTTATCGAAATGCGCGACAACGGACGACACTAAAGTTAAAAGATGTCAAGGGGATCGCTTTTCTCTCCAGGAAGAGAGAGGACATATTGGGAGAAAGTTGCAAGTTGCATAAATTTCGTATCGTGTGTGGCCATGTTGTGTGTGCGGTCAATGCTGGGCAAAGCGTGCAGGTGTAGTTTTCCCTCTCCACCAACCGCTAATAAAACAGTAAAGAAACTTGTACCACGTTTCCTGCCAGGCACGTACAACACCGTGCTCAATATAAATCAAATTTATGACTCTGGCAATCTCGACATTATTTCCCATTTTCACTACAAGACGGTTATTGCAGAGTTGAGAGAATTCTAATTTCCTTGTCTTCTTTCCTCTCAGAGTTCTGCCTACAAACTATTTTTCGGCTCCTCCGAAAGGTGAAGGGAACGGCTGAGAAAGATCTAACACAACAATTTGAGAGAGGATCACAATTTATTTCATAAACAGAGTTGAATAAAATCTGACTTTGATCTTAAATTTTGCTCTGCTTTCCCCAACAGGGTTTTAAAATTGCAATTTTAATACGGCGCTATACGTAACATGCAAGTCGTATCTCAAGAATTTGCATTTCTGATTTAACCCCATTCCCACAGGACTGTCTGCAGCTCGTAAAATAAGAATTTTACTAATGTATTTAGTGTACAAAATTGCTTTCCCCACAAAACTCACCTGAACTGAGCAGCATCTCCGGATGAAGTGGACAGCTGAATTTTGGTCAAAAGTATTCTCATAATGTTGATGAGAAAGAGAAGATTGGCCTGAAAAAAAGAGCGTAAAAATTATGATAAGTAGGTAACTTCAATATTATTCTTATCGTGCTTATCAGAAAACTTAGTTTAGTTTACATGGCCCATTGAGAATCTGTGAGAATAATAATGAAACGAGGCACATCTCGGTACTCATAGCAAGTGGGATTTCATGCTGGATATAAATATATATGTAGATCGAAAGGGTTATCCTTTCCATAGCTGGCAGTGGGTAGCTCAGAGCCATTATTATTGACTTTTCCCTTCTCCTCGTACAATGCAAGGATAAGATGTGCCCAGTTTAATATTAGTTTTCTCCAAAGAAGAACGCTCACTCTTGGCGACTTTCTTCCAAATTCAGTCAAAATTGTTGATTTATGACTGCTGGCGTTGACCAAGGTTAAAACAGATAAGAGGAACGTGGAGGACGCCACGAAGGAGGAACGACTTACATATTATACGTACGTTGCCACTACTTTATGCAAAGCACATACATCCATACGTAGCGTGTCGACCGCTTGACACGACATCTTAGAATTTTAAGTGCAATATTTAATTTAGGAAGTGTCTGGTATTACGCAAATGTATATGTCGCCTCTCCTCCTCCTCTTGCTCTGAATTCCAAATTAAGGGGCAACCACGAATGCTTTACGGTCTGCATGTGCATACTTAGGTACATATTAATCCTCTCTGGACACTAAAATGTGACGTACCACGAGAGCACATATCATTGGCCCGAGCAGCACCCAAATGTACGGTTGATCACTGTAATCCTTCCAGCATTCCACGGGATGAAACATCTCCATCGCCGAAGCCCAACTGCAGATCAGCACGAGTGGAAGTCCTGTTTGAAACAGAAGGATCAGAAATTAGACTAGTTCACACAACACCCAGACCACTGTACATAATAATAAGCCCGGCCCGGCACTCATGGTCACGACCAGTGCAAACTATCTGGATTATTGGACCCACTTGGCTACGCAAGAATTGTCCTTCCTCACTTAAGATATGTAGCCCACCAGTTATGCAAGAAAAATGATGGGAATACTTGCAGTGTTGAAATTTATGAGGTAATTAACGTACAAAAAGATTCAAACAAAAGAGGTTTCCCATGCAGAACATTCTGATGGCGTGAGTAGAGGTGGCAGCGTATGTGGCAGCCTGGAGCATTTCACGTAAGCAACTGTTATCTCCTCGAATGACAAAGATTGCAACCCACACAAGCGAAGGGAGAGGAAAGGAGGAAGGCCAAAACGAGTCTTGTGTGTAGCTTCTGAATTTCGCATTCTCAACAAAGTAAATTTTATTCGCTCATCGCATCGCGTAACCGTGAAAGCATTTCGCCAGCCAGCCACCAGTTGATTACTTGGAGATAATGTAATTGAAAGACTTACCCCAACCGACGGCGTAGTAGATTTTGAAAGGAGTGCCCTTGTCGAATACGTTGGTTGTTAGCTTCCCACTTAATGCATCGTAAAAGAGCAAGAGTTAGAAAGTTCGTCAATTTCCCATTACTACGTATGTATTCTGGGGTATGTACTTACTGGAGGTACACTCCTTGTAAAAACATCCAGTGGATGCTTGTAACTGTTGCGTACAAGTTGATGGATAGCACGGTTTTGCACACGAAATCCTGAAAACGAAAATAATTTCATCGAGTTGTTTTTGCTGCGTGGTGAGTGACTTTGTGAAAAATGAAGAGTTCTAAAAGCGTCACAAAGGGGTTGTTTCATTGCGATTTAAAGTGGTAGCTGGGGAGGTCGGAGGATTCCTGGAAGAAGAAGAAGAGCACTTCTCCCAATGAATCCTATAAATATAACGTGTTCACAGGAAATTCTAAAATAATTAGTGCTATATTTAGAGCACTTGTACATCTGTAGGCGCATAAATTTTTATACGCATAACTTAAGATGAGAGGATTCTATTTATGTAAGTTCTATTCAACAACATTTCTAATTGCTTTCACTTGGCTTTCATCCGAATTTTAGTGGGTGTCCCAGATACAATAAGATTCAACATTCCGTTCCAAATTCCATGCTGAGAGCACATAATCTGCGAATGTCTGATTCACGGAATACGTAAGAGGGCAATCGGCACGAAACTATTACACACGCCATGCACAACAAAACAGAGAGAGAAGGTAATACTCACCACGTTGCGGTAGTGTTTCTCGCGATGGAAAATGAAGGGTTCCGTGATGACCACGAGGAGGATACATCGCAGAGTCAGGGCGACCATCAGGTGGACATGAACGGTAACACGGTCGCAGCGCAAACATCTGAAAGTGAATGTGCACATAATTGTATTAAAGCAGGTTAAATTACTTTAAATTGCACACACAAGTGCCAGGAAGAAGTCCATTCTGACAACGGCAATGCCACGGAAATTGCCCAAATTAAATTCAAACCCATCTTTTGTCCTTGTTGTATTCAGATATGCTCACATTTTCCACTTGCATCGATGTATGTACATGAAGCCACCGTCTGGGAGAAGAGGAGATAAGGAGGGAAATTGACACGCTACGTGTGTATACATACGAACGTAGGTATAAAGATAGCGGTGAAAGCCATCCTCCATAAATATGTATGTATACGTCCCCCATTAGCTCAACGCCACTGGGCGCATTATTGGCCTGCGGAAGGAAATTGGCTACTCTGGCTTGGCTTTTCTCCTGCTCTTGAGGCAGGATTATTGCACGGACACGTACGAATTTGCGTGGGCTAAGGCCCATATTATTAGTGCCACGTTTCATCCTCATCCTGTGCATTAGAGTGAAAAGCGAGGTTGTTGTTTGCAACTTTCTTAAAAGCTTTTTATTAAACTTTAGCGGAATAGGCAACTCTTGTACATTTTTCACTTAACAAAAGCACTCTTCCTGTCTTGAATAATTGCGAGATTGGTTTATAATCGCCAAGGTCATTGAATGTTCACAGCCCACTTGCTGCGAATTGCTATGCACTCCTTACCCGCCCATTATTTAAACTGTGTGTCTGTCGACGTGGAATTAGGATGGATTAAGAAAGGTCATTCCTATTTGAAGAGGGTATTTCCCACATGTGGGCGTCAATGATCAACGACACTGACATTTCGATGCGAGCAGACAGTTGTGCACAAGTGGGATTAAATTTTTAGAGCTCAAGTGCAGATCAAGTTGACATCTGGTAGATTGGATCTACTCGACCCAACCCCTCGACCGTGGCTGGATTCAAGGCAGCTTACTTTCATATTTGAATGGGCTCATCTCATCAGTGCTCTAAAATGCAAAGTGATCTTGATCTCTCGCTTGTCAGATCTAAGCAATTCAATCAAAATTTGTTTATATGATCCGAATCGCTCAGTCGTTTTCTCCTTCGTACTTTTTACAGGGCCAACAATGTCCATCTCACACCTTAGAAGGAGCTGCCAAGAGTGTAATGAGGTAGTTACTTATTTGGGAGAATTGAAACTGGCTGAGCACTTTAGTCACACATGACAAAATATTCGTAAACATTCTGCTAAATATGAAAGGTCTGAGATATTCGTGCATGTCTCGATACAGCGACTCAGTCCGCGTACACTTCTGTGACTTTGACTTTCATCCCAAAAATAGTAAATTATGAGCATAAAATATTGAAAAGTTTTAAAAAGTTTGACAAAGTTAAGTCTCGCAGCATGTTCCGATATTGATGCTGATATTCCGTGTAATCTGTATGCAGTATTTGATATGTATTTATAAGCATATCAAATTAATCTACAGGAGCTTCCGAACAACTAAATGCTTAGGAAGTAGAATGCATGCATGCTGACTTTGTTTTTAATTGGCATTTCTTGTTATTGGTGGAGAAATGAGTGGAATGGGAAATGCTGTGTTTGACGTAAGCAATACGGGAAGGAGCATTAGAGGGAAAAGTCTCATACACCATCTGCCGCCTCATTACTTGGTCGTAGAGTCGGCTTAATTTGTAATTTCTCGAAGCAATAAGAAGATGTAATCAGGCAGATCCAGGCTGCGAGGAAGACGGGTGCACATTCACGCGTAGCACCAGTCCAAAGTAATTTAAAAGCTGACATTCACCACTTTCTCCTCACTTTTTGGTAGCCTCTCTCCTCACAAACACTCGACTAAAGGGAAGAACTTTGGAGTCGACGGTCGTCTTTGGATTAAGATTGGAAAATAAGATGGTCAGACGACTCCTTTCAATTGAGACGAGCGTCTCAAGCTTTCATATCCTAAAAAGAAAACTCGTATTGCATAATGTCGACCCGACCCTAAATAATCTCTCATTTTTGCGGCTACATAGTCAACACTCTGCAAAGCCGGGCGGATATGTAACATCCAATCAACAAAATGATCATATTTTTCAAATGTCAGTGCACACAACGGTTGTAATACCCTCGAGTAGACGGTCAGTCGAGCTCAGTGTTGTACAAGTTGTACAAGGACTTTGTCAACTTCATCATGGTACGTTAACTAGGCGGCTTATGCAACTTGTCGTCTTTTAATGTGATACGTATGCGTATTACGCGACACGTAACAGGTATTACTGCGGATGAATGCGACTGATGATGTAACCAAGGACGAGGACAAATGAGCATGCAGACAACTTCAAAGTGAATTTTGAAGCAAAATGCTGAATTGAAGTGGCTCACTTGAAGTAGTAGAAGATGAACAGGGAGGACACGAGACAGACGAAGGAGAGGATTGACCCAATGAATAAGATGTACCGCACTTGGACCACAAGGTCTCGCTCCTCTTCGTACTCGGCTGCCTGAAATCACAAAAAAAGAAAACATTCACAATAATTGTACACCTTCTGGAGACAATATTCGCCACGTGGCAGTGGTGCTGGTGGCGTTAATAATCAATAATTCATTTCTTTTGGAGGGACAAATAATTTTTTCTCCTCGTCAGATCCTTCTCCCTGCGGAGGAGAATATCTAATCCCAGCGAAGATAGAGAAAGATTTGGTGGCAGTTGGTCGGAAGGGAGTTTCTTGCAGTTCCGAGAAGTACTACGACTTCTGGCCTCTTGTCTTAGGAGACTCAAAGAAAGTGAAATAACCATTACACACAATTTGCAGTCTTACGTATCGGGAAGAAGAGAGGGTTTTCACGAGAAATCGTCCCGTAGGATGAGGTAATGGCGCAAAAAGGAGATGAAAGTGCGAGATGGTGGAAATCATGGATCCTGTTCCAATTATTTTGCTCAATTTATGACTCGACTAATATCCTCTCGCTATCGTGTAACTATGCTGGATGGAAGACAAGCTAATGACATTGGCTCTTCCGTCCTTCCAGATCTCCCGTTCAGCTTCCTTAATTCGCAAGTGTAGTTAGTTTGGAGAGGAAGTTCAATTTGTGGCACTTTGTAAAAAAACATCAAAGGAAATAACTGACACATCGGGCAAAATGGTATTTTTCTCAGAAGCCCATGTGTAGAACTGGCGTACGTATGTACATGTATTTATGATGAAAAGTTTGATTTGCGTCGAATGTATTTAGGAATCTCGAAATACAATAAATTATTTCCAAGACCCAAATCAGGAAACAGTGTTATCATTCTTGAACGAGAAGAAAGCCCACTTTCCAAACCAGTGAAACTAATTAAAGTGAAAACACTAACAATGTGAGACCACAATTCCACTTGTTTGCCCTCAACACATCACAAGTTTTCCTCCTCAGCAAGGACGTGCATAAATACAAACATGATATTGTTTTTGATGCGCAGACAATTCTAATATCCTTCGCAGGACGTGTTATCCTAAGGAATGGGTTCAATCTTCCTATAAATCGACGAATATCGACCGCAGCTCATGCTTAAAAGGCAAACCGCATACGTGAATCACATACTTTATTGTTCAAATCTCAATATCTGGATGAAACCTTCACCGCTCTTTGAAGAATTTTAATTAGCAACAATACTGTTGAAACATGAAACTGGCTTCAAACGATTATTGGAATTACTATTTCCATTTCATTTGAGTAGTAAATACACGTGCAGGAACGGATCACGATAGTTAATCTTCCCATTTTGATCTACACATATGTATGTGTCTGAATAGCACACATTTCATTCATCGATTCGAATAGCTAAACTAAACAAGTAGCGAGACAATTGTGGCAGTTTTCTTATTAAAGTAAGCCATCTGTTACGTTTTCTAGCCAAAATACGAAAATGCTAATAAGGAGCAGTGAAGCGAAATAACACAAAATAATTTTTATGGACGAGTTCATGGAGAGCGGCTGAGCTGCTAACTGCTCGGAATCACGTTGGTGGTCATAAAGCACTGATACTGGTAGCTCAACACCGTGGTGGCCATCAAGGCCAGTTGGCCCCACATGGGCAGCTTTCTCGACATCGGCTGATTGATCAGGACCAGAAATACGAAGAGTAAATAGCCCAAATCTCTGCCCACGAACGATAACACCACCCCCGACGATACGATCCCAACCCAAATCCAAGAATCAAAAGGCTCCAGGAAAAACAACCAGCTTGGTTCCTGCAAATTGCTGATTACCTCGCAATATATAAAGTGCATATTTTTGCCATCAGCGTAGAAAACGAGACTATGTGATTCTGGGTGTTCTGCACCGTAGAAGCAATCCATGCAAATTTTTAGTGAAGGTTCCTCCAAACTCTCAAAGTAATCGTCAACCTGAACGAGGGTAAAATTTAGTCGAGTTTGCAAAATCTGCCAAAGCACCAGCATGTCGATGCAGCGCTCCTCAGAGTCAAAGTAAATCTCACACTCGAGCAATCGTGGGAATTGTTTCACGTCAAGTTGGGAAGCGTCCAACGTGTTGAACGCCTTCATGAAGCCTTTTACTCCACGACCCACCCAGTTCCACTGCTTGTGCACGCTGACGGGGTCAACCTCAAGCGCGTTGTCAACTTCATCCCAAATATTTATAAACTTGTCGCTACAAGTGTAACACAAAACGGCGAAATCGCCGAGTTTAAACGATGTTGGGAAGTTGTCACTCGTGGCGAAGGTGAGCAGGGCTAATGGAGCCGTGTGGGAAGGAAATTCCTCGGGGTCATCCTCCCAACTCCGAATAAATCGCTCCTTTACAACCGTGTCAGTTTCAATTACGTAAAAAATCACGGTTTGTGAATAGGCGAACCCAGACTTGGCAATGAAACGAGAAGTGGGTCCCATTTTGCTTGGGAATAAGAGGAAGAAAATGTTGCACGGCAGTTTTGAGCGTGCCAACAAATATCTGTATGACAGCTGTCGAGTTGTATCGTTTTCCTCCCCGTCCTCGTTTTTGCCTACACTTTCATCTTCAAGATTTGAGGAGGTGACCGAATAGGCTTCCATCCTGGAGCTCATGTCACCAGAAATCCTGCTTCTCACAAACTCAGATTGAGGGCTGAGAGGTTTGAAGGAGTAAAAGTGAAGTTGACAGGAGGAGTGCGAGAGTCGGAGTTTCAAAAGCGTCGCCTCTTTGTGAATGAAAAGTTGGAAAATAAAAAATGTGGAAATGCTAACTTGACCCATGTTCATATATTATTGCTTGTACACAAATTATTATGCTCCGCAGTCAACCAAATGTCACAGGCAACAACTCCAGAGACCACTCTGCGGAGAGGAGTTGGATGGCATTCTTCACGAAGAAGAATCCCCACGTGTATTGACCTAAATCTCTTTTGCAAAACATAATCAGTGTAAATATGCATTAAGTATAAGTATTGCGGTAAAACCGCTGAAAAATCTATTTTTTCAAAACTAAAGATACTTACAATATTCTACAAAAAGGAGAGAAAAAGTAACAAACAAGGCGTAGAAAACATTTACCTGTATATAATATATTAGGAAAAAAATAGGAGCAATTTTTGGGTATTTCTAAAGATTCCTTATTATCTTAAATATGCTAATAAAAATATAAATTACGTAAACTATATGTTAAGACGAACATGAATAGCTCTGTAGGATTATAAACTTTTATTACTGGTTTTTAATGCATGAATTCCTCAGTTGTAGCTGTGCACATTAGCCACGTATTTGTTCTCATTGTATTTCCTAAACATTACATGGTTGTCAATTAGGACGAGACATTTCCGATATTATTGTTTTTTATTCTTTATTTTACCTATTTTGATTGCCCCTATTTTTTCCCTAATATATTATATACAGGTAAATGTTTTCTACGCCTTGTTTGTTACTTTTTCTCTCCTTTTTGTAGAATATTGTAAGTATCTTTAGTTTTGAAAAAATAGATTTTTCAGCGGTTTTACCGCAATACTTATTTGATGCTTTTCACCTTAATATTAAAAATATGATAATTCAAATAAGTAAAAAAAATACGTTTTAATTGCAACGAGCAGTCCAACTTTAATTCAAGAGATTCAAATTGTTAATATTACAAATCATGACAATATTTTGATACTCTATATATATCTATAAGGCGCGCAGCCGAGCCATCTCCGCTATAAGTTTGTCGGGTGGTTTCGCAGTTAATTTGTTGTCGTCCTGTTCCAATATAGCGACTCCATCCAGTGTCCTGACGCGACTTAAGGCAACGTAGGCTTGCCCATGGGCAAAAATCTCGGCTCCCAAATAGATCACTGCTTTATCTACGGTGATTCCCTGTACCTTGTGCACTGTCACTGCCCAGCAAAGGACAATAGGTAGCATCCATCTTTGAATTTCTTCCTTTGCTTTCCCTGTGTATGTCACATCTGTAGGTTTTAACTCATAGACACCTTCCCGAGTCCCAGCAATGCGCCAATCGTCAAATTTCACCAATACACTTGAAGGGAGATCGCCGTGATGATGTTGTTCCCTTGCAAGTTCTTCCCACTTGAACCCGACGACCGTTCCCATTGAGCCATTGACTAAATAACGGTTTGTCGGCGAATTCCGGATTACCATAATTCTTGATCCAACTGCTAAGTCAATGGAACTTACGAAGCCACCACATTTATTGCTGTCTCTGTGGCTATATGCCAACGGAGCACGGGATCCAGCTTTGGTTCCAGAAAAGAAACTATCCCTCGCTTTGATAGTATAGACTTTTATGTGAGGGTCACTACGAAAAGTCCTGGTCTTGAGTCGGTTGTAAATAGATGCCTGATTTCTTGTAGGAAATATTCTAATAGCATCTTTGAATTTATCTTTCATAGCGGTGCTCGAAGTATCTTCACTAAACTCTCGCATCCGCAACTCATGGAGATCAGTAGTGGTGATGTTTCCTTCTCGTAGGTTGTTACAGATATGTAAGAGTGGATCTTGACCCTGTCGCATGTTGACCGTAAGTTCTTTAAAAGCGAAATTCTTCCAAAGGTTTTCTTCCGCTCCTAACTGTCGTGGCTGATCATAGATGCAGTGCCCATTAACAGGCTCCAACTGGAATAGATCTCCCACGACAATAACATTTTTCCCTCCAAATGGCAGCGTGTTGTCGAAACATTCTCCCAAACGTTGGCTTACTTGACGGAATAACTAAACAAAAATATTTTAGTTAACTTATTAAAGATGACTTATAATATTTCCTAAAATTACGTATTAATTTAGTTATTGATAATATACTAACCTCATAAGATATCATTGATACTTCATCCATGATGATCCACTCAACATCCCGAAATTTATCTCGCATTCTCTGCAGCATTATTGCGCCAAGAGGAGCGTAACGTGGAACAGAACCAGATTCTACAGCAAGTTGGAAAGTGCGATGAAGGGTTTGTCCATTTATATTTAAAGCTGCCACTCCAGTTGGGGCGGCCAAAAGTACACCTGCTGGGCCTGGTCCATCTTCCTTCGCACAGATGAGGTTCGTCATCAAGGAAATTAGGAACGACTTTCCTGTTCCACCAGCTCCAGAAATGAAAAGTTGTAGTTGACCTCTGCTAGGATCGCATAAATGTCCTTCAATCATGTCGTATATGAATTTTTGGTCTTGGTTCATTTTTAGCTTCTCAGCCATGAAGCAGGCTTCATTCAGAAGTACAATCCTATATTCTTCTTGAGCTGGAAGCACATTACTTCCGTCATAGACGTCAGGAAGGTATTGATACTCCTCGACCTCATGGATTGCAAGCGTTTCTTGGGGGTCCTGATTAAGATCAGCTAGATGAAGAGCTACTGCTTCAAGATCTTTCTCTATATCAGGACGTATTAAAGGGAAGTCCAAAGTTGTCCTAATATTGGCCTTATTCTTCTCAAATGCATCTGTAACAGATTCCCCGTCCGCCGTGAAATTCTCCTCAATGAATGGAACGTACAGTAGTAGATGGCTGTAGATAAAGTTTTCCGCGTCGGAGTCACTATGAAATGGTGGGCTCTTGATTACGGCGTACTTTGCTCTTTCTCTCCAGAGTCCCATAGACCTATCCTTAAGGTAGAAAGATCGTGGCATCAATCGATTGGCATGTAGTAGTTGGTGTTCTTGTTCCTCTCCTTCATCAAAATCATCATCTACCTGTTGATAATTTCGTACGGGCTGATACTTGGAGGCGAATTCGAATAAACATATATTTCGTAGATCTTCAGGACGATTGCAATATTTGTCAATTATATTACTAGAATTAAAATAGGCAACTTAAATTTCCTGTTTTATTTATACATTTTTTTCATGCAATTTTACTGTACATACCTTGCAAATTGTACCTCATCCCTTTCTAGATATGCATTTTTCTTCAACAATCTGATGCGATCACCAGGTAGATAGGTCGGGATGTATACAAATGCACGTGACGTATGTCTCATAGGAAGATTTGCCATACGATAGGCAGCTTCTTGGGATCCTACTGTCCTGCGACTTAATAAAAGCCGAGAGACCTATATGAAAATATGAATGATGAATAGTACCTCTTAAAATTTTTTGGAAAACTAAGTAACGAAATCCATACCTTCTCCATTTGTACCCGTATTGGTTGTCGACTTTCACGGAGAGTCTGAAGGGTGTGTCGAATGTCATCACGGAGGGTTTCAGGTTCATTTTTCCCGATATACTTTGCTATATAAAGGGCGACAGCGGCAACGCCTGTTACAATCTGTATATCCATGTTGCATCGAAGAATCTTCAGCAGTGTCGGATGGTAGTTGTTCACCCGCTCTTCCCCTTGACAACGCCTTAGGATTACTCCATGACCATTGTTGGTTTCTTCCAGAGTGGTTTCAGATGCAAGAGGTCGTGGAAACCCAAACCGACACGTGGAACCTTTCTTAAAGCACGTGGTCGTATCTTGTATCTTGGTCGTATCTATGTCGGCGACTGATATCGCCGTACAATATCCTCCATTCCACTACCTAGAAGTCGGCACGACACGTTGCGGTCGATAAAGTTTATTCCTTCAGGTGTGGAAAGGTTCGGTGCATCCTGAATCCATATAAGTGAATGAAGGTGTGGACTACCTCGGTCTTGGAACTCTACCCGGAATGTATAGTCCACTACTGGCTTTCCAAATATCGTTTGATCCTGGTTCAGTAATTTTATTAATTCATTTGTCCTGAGATTGAAATGGCGGGCGGCGGCGACAGGATTTGAGTTTAATAACTCCCGACGAAAGTCGAATGGCATATCTTGAATATTGTCCGGAGGAGGGTCGTCTTTGGGATGACCGGCCTTCCACATTGCATTGAGCACATCAGCTGAGCCCATGTCGTCGTAGGAAACCGTTAGAAAAAATATTGGCGGACCAAGCCTCATAATCATTGCCATTATGTCCCCCGTATACCTCTTCCAATAAGATCTGGAGCCACGAATTGCGCTCATGTATAGATGTAAATTTTCAGCTGCAGGAGCGTTATCATTTTCAGAATCCTGGTATTTCATGTTCCCACAGATATTAATTTTTGCTCGGATAATCGACTCTTCAGATCTTGAAAGTGCATAAAAGAGATAATCTATGCGGTGGAACCGAGGATCTCCCGACATTACCCTTGTCTGAAAGTATGCATGCGTGGTGATGCGAAATCGTTCATCTCTCTTTTCATCCAATCCAAATTTTCCATGTGGGAAGCAGGTGATGAAACATTTTTCTTCTAAGTGATTCTCAGAAGTTAATCTCACGGGTGGAGCTGCAGTTCGATTGAGATTGAATTTTTCCAGCTGTGGCTCTATGTAGTCCACTGGGTGTAGCAAACAGTCTTCCGCAGCTTCTTCACCAAAAACCACAGTTTCTGGCGGCAGATCTTCTGGGAGGTCAGACGGTCCCGGAATCGCTGGAGGCGGTGTTATGTCGGGTCCTTGGTCGATTATTGTGAGTTTGAGGGGAGTAATGGTTATGATGGCGGATTCAGGACCTCCCACGCAATTTTTGTTGACAATAGATCTAATATGATTAATACTTTCTGGGTGGTTACGATCGAGCCTAAGGATTACTGCTTTGGCGGACTTAGCTAAAGATATATGGCCTTGCTGACTCCTAGAATGACTGTCGAAGTAGAAAATGTAACGCTCTGTCCGAATCAGTCCCATCGTATAAGCACCTGTGTGAATTTAGAATTGATTAAAAAATATTTCAATACATTTTAATTAAGATTTCTTCTAACAAACTTGCCTGCCGTAATGAGCCCGTAATTTGATTGGCCATGAAGGAATTGGGATAAAGCATCAGCTACTGAATTTGTTGTGATCGTTTGGGCCTCCCTCAGAAACTTGTCGAATCCTCCATAAATGACTGTCCCGCCTTCAACGAGTTCGATGCGCACAATGTTTCCATAACAATTTCGGACCTCGCCAAGAATTTCGTCCACAGCAAGATGATCAGGAATGACAGGACGCTGATGCTCTTCCGTGATTACACGAGCTGTGGGATGGTACATATATATCATACTTAAACTTAGAGACAGGTACAATATTTGAATTCTGATACCTGCTACCAACTTCTTGCGACATTGATTGTCATAAAAGTCACCTTCAGTCAAAATCCTGTCTCCATCTTGGACTGTCCACTCGTTCGGCGGCTTAACTGCTGCATAAACTGTAGCGACCGCCGAAATTGCAGTGCATTGCTTTCCGGCTGATTCCCCGAATACGGCTGCCGTTTGGCAGAAACTTAACTGTAACGACGACATCCACGTCTTTCCCGTTATGGCGATGTATCCAGTATTTACCCGATGTTGACGCTGCCTAATGTTTATTACTGGACTTGGAGTAGCACTTTCTTCTTGAATCATTAGATCCTGGATACGGATTCCATTCAAATTGAACTGCTCAATGGTGACATTTGAGTATCCATCGTTGTTGACCAGCAGCCACTGGAGCGCCTCTCGAAGCACTGGAGGAAATAATTAAATAATTAAATAATTAATACTCGAATATAGATCAACCACGTAAATATGCTATACCTGCGGGACGAATCGTGTATGTCGACGAGTGGGGAAAGTTTTCCACAGATTCACTTACTATAACTGTCCCATAATTATTATTTGGCCCAAGTCTCAGCTGATCCTGGACCTCTTCGACACTTTGCGCGAAATGGATGACTTGTCCACGTAATGCAGATTGTCCTTTTCCTCGCCCCAACTTGAAAATCTTCAGAAACGCTTTCGCTCTACTAACCACTCTCGACTCTACTTCTGTTAGATTCTTGATGATATTCGGAGATGGTGGGACGAACATATTGTTGACCAATGCAGCAGCAGGAACTCTCCCCCTCTTTAAGTTTTCGTGACAACGCTTGCAACAGTCAATGATTTCCAAAACCTCTGGAATGAGCTGGGATTTCACCGTCTGATCATAATTGTTATCGACAGCAGCTAGGAGGTCGTGAATGATTTTTGTCACAATTAGTGATCTGTGAAAATAATTTTATTATTATGATTTTTAAAATATCTACTTTATCAACATCTTCAAAATACTCACCGAATACCCTTTCTGTACCACGTACGGTCACAAATTCGGCACCGCCATTCGGCAGCCTGATTAATGTTGATCCTGAAGAGTATTTGCTGTGGTGTTTCTTCTGAGCAATGGGGGCTAGCATGAATGGGCGTAGGCTGCGGGAGAATTGCTCCTTCCTCGGTTGGATCGACAATCCGATTTACCTCGCCCTGATTATTTTCAATATTTGATATTTCGTTCTCCTCAGATACGGTTGCTGTAATATTTGATCTTTTTGCCCACCTCATTTGTTCCAACTTTCGCCGTTTCCTCGCCTTATACGGCATTGCTCGTAAACTTAATTAAAAATTTGTAATTTAAAAAGTACTACAAATATTGTATTTATTTTGTATTTTAAGCAGAAATGTCGGGAAGCAACAATGGAGCTGAAGTATCTGCTCGTCGAGTTCCCACACAACAGGGGTACACTGAGACGAGTCTCCATATGCCTACGCAGACAACTTATTTTTTTCTATAAGTAGTAAATTTGTATTTGCATCTTCATCAATATTTTAGTTTGAAAGTTGATAACATATAATTGATGGATTATAAATTCTATACGTATTTATTAACCTAAAAAAATATTTTAATTATATCTAAAGTATACTCGGTGGTTAAATCAAGTTTTTGCTGTTTTGGTTTGAAATTCAGAAATCGCGCCATAACTCGAAAACTAAGGCTTATTTCGAAAAAGTCAATTAGTTGAGGGCACTAGCCGGGACCCTCCCCTATACGAACCCGTTGAGTTCAGGTCACCAAAATGTATCCTCTTGGCTGTAGCTCAGTGGAGAAATTGGTTGCTGAAAACGCGAAATTTTTCGAAAATTCGAATCTGGTGCCATAACAAAGCTCCATTTCGAAAAAATTTTCAAGTAAATATCATAGATAAAATCATTGTGAACATATTTGCTATAGCATGCAATAGTATATCATGCACCCAATTCATTCAGCGAAACATTTAAGATTTCGAATCCGAAAAAACGGTTTTTCTTGAATATCTTAAAAACGGTTCAAGATAGCATAAATTAGAAAAAAGTCATTTTAAAGCTTCCCCAGATGTATCCAATGAACGTTATTCCATCCCTGTAGGTCAAACCGTTTTTTTGTACGAGCGATCGACATTTCCCATAAGAGTGCCGGACAACATACTATATGTTCCACATATAGCACCAAATGTCTCACAATGCCCCCACATTTGAGCTTATGGGGAAAAAATAGAAAAATATCACTGTGAAAGGAAATGTACATTTCCATACAAATTACCACTCATAGAAACTCTACATATACCCTGGTGGTAGGTACATAAATGCAACTATTTTTAATGATAATTTGTTCAATGAATACGGTAGAGCTAACGATTTGCTTACATTTTTTATACACTTTGAAAACATGAAAAAACACTTTTAACAATACATTTCTACAAATACTGTTGGTGTCATAAGTTTATCATTTTTCCTTTCAAACTTACTTATTACATTGTGTTGCATTATGTTTTCAAGTTACGAAAAAATGCAATTGTCTGATTTTGGTATATGTACGTAAGTAAATATGTACACTTACTCATATGAATTCCAACGTACATATAAACTTTCACCCTTCTACAAAACTGACGTTATCGCTTAGTAAGATTGGTAACCCAAGTTCGCGAAATAGTTTTCTTAACTTTATGTTCATTGTAAATGAAAATTTTACACGTATGTATGAATGCAACTCGGCAACTAAATATGTATTGAGAAAAATACGCAAACGTAAATTCAAGCTGAAATTTGGATAGCTTGTACATGCGCCACGCTTTTAGTTGGTTATCACAAGCAAAAGAAAACAAACAATTTTCACGCGTGTTTAAATGGGAGCGTACGTAGTACAAACAAATGAGTGCCGATGAAAATGAGTAATGTGACAGGTTTTCATTTAATAATGGGAAATGTGAAACATTAACTTACACATTCCGGCCACATTTGTTCAGTTATGCCAAGTTTCCCGTGAGAGGAACCGAGTGCGACAGTGAACTCCAAGGTCATGCAATATGCATCTAGTTTTCTCCATGCATATTTGTCAATGGAGAAAGCACAACAACGACAAGGATACTTAAAACAAGGGAGATTTAATGAAATGCGACTCTACTGGCCAAGCACTGCACACTCGTTTGTTCTCCAGCAGGAAACTTTTTCAATTTAAATGAACTCTTTGTCGGATATTGTATTGGCTTCAAGAAAAGCTCAGTCAAGTGTGCAATTCAGTTCAACCGCTGTTCGCGTAGTCGAGCTAGATGCATGTTAAGTATGCACAGGGAATAAGTATGTACTAAGAGCTGTATTCGTAAGTTACATGCATGGATTATGTATGCAGCTCAGCAGTAAACTTGGAGTAATTCCTTCCAGATTTTCTACCAGCGAAAGCTTTATTTGGTCTACATGTTTGCATTCATGAGAGGATGTCATTACCCAGAAAAAGGATGTGGCCAAGGGATTGAAGAGACAAGAGAGATGAGATGTAGGACAGCACGAGCCATGTTTCACCACTACCCGGAAAATGTGTTTTTTTTGTTGAAAAGTCAACAATGGAGAGTACAAACCAAGAAACATGAAGGATTGGCTTCGTTCCTATCATTTGTTTCCGTATTCCACTGGGTGTTGTGGTGAGAGAGAGAGAGAGAGAACTGAGGTCTGAGCCGTTTTGAATCACAGAAACAAGAAGTTTCACCGACCAGCCAAGGTCATTACTTGGTTATTGTACTACTTTTTCCCTCCTCCTCGTGGTCCTCATCACCAAACCACGTGTCTTATCCAGATCACATACCAAACTCGATCAAGCAGAGCAATAAGTCTGATGGACAGAAATCAAAGGACCGGACTCGACATGTGTCACCCTCCCAAAATCCAACTATCAAATGCATTGGGAAATCTTTTTCAGATTTGATGTCGATTTGATGAAGTATTCCCTGAAACTACTCTGTAAGTTAAAGGTTATCCTGCGTGACGTTGGCGATTTGATGGATTCATGTCTGACTCTGAGTTCTGCGAAAAGCAACAGCAACGGACACAGTAAGTAAATAGCGATCCAATTTCCGCTAAAGTTGGTAGTGCTGCTGACTCTGGAAGTTGATGAATTAATGAATTTTCCATGTAACACACCGGCATGGCCGGCATGGGATTGTTTTATGCAGCCTTTTTCTCGCTCTCTTTTAAATGCAACGAGTACGAAAGTATAGGAAAATCTGCGAATTGGAATCCCTCCCAAATATCATCTTGTGCTTGTTGGTATGTACCGACAGACTGCAGACCAGTGACTGCATGTCTATAGGGAAACTCTCCTGATGTAATCTATCTCCAGGGCATTTCTTAAAATTACCAACAATGCTGATTTTCCTGCTCCTGTTTTTTCCCAGAAAGGATTACGAATTACGACGAAAAAAATTCTTTTAGAGAAAAAAGATTAAAAGGATGAGTCGTGTGGATGCATTTTAAAGCACTGATTATTCTCATCCTCGCCACTCCTCCAAAAGCAGCGAGTGAAGTTTATCTTCTTAACTTGCGAGGTTGCAGCTTTCTTTATAATGAGCCTCGAGAATTCCCGTGTGAGCTGCATTGCTATGTTTCAGAATTACGTCGTCTCCGTCCAAGAGATAAGTATGAATCGCATTGCATCATGTCCAAGAACTAATGAGCAACGAGAGGAAGCCCTGTTTACTCTGTGTAATGGATTTTACTGCAAATCTAACCTTGTTCCTTAATCAATGAGCAGACGGTGCTCAGCATCATTGTCCAATCCAATGTGCATCGCAATTTATACTCGAGCTACATGCTTTCACTCGGCCAGAGGTCGTACTCAAAGGGTGGAAATGGAGTCAGCTCCTTCCGGACTTATCCTCTTTTGTTTAAAAGTTATCTGCTCTCCTGAAAAGCACTTTCGAATTACGACCCCTTCCTCCAACCCGTTCACTGTTTCTAGCACTGAGTGAATCAGATCCTCCAATCTAATGTGTTTCTTCTTGAGTTACAACTTTCTCAGAAGGAACGCGTAATTTGATCAACACCGACGATGGAGTCAATTCAACGTTTATTTCCAGGATAAGATGTACATATGTATGCAACAATAGATTGTTGAAATATGAGAGTTAGCATGATTTCCAGCAGCCTTGGTTTGACGCATGTAAAAATTATAAGCACAAAAGAAAGAAATAACGTCACCCGCTGTGCATACTTCTTTTATGAAGGAAGAAATGTTGATCCTTTGAAACCTGGCACCAATTTATTTATTCGTCAGGTAACCCAACACACGACAGCTTCTCAAAACTTGATACGCCAAAAATAAGCATTTCTGTGGGTCAACTTGTATAAAAATGAAGGATCGTAATCCTTACATTTCGTTTATCTTGTTAAAAAACGTATCAAAAAGTTTACTGACTGACTTTGACTGATGTGTGTAGCATAGCAGACGTGTATCTTTAAGTAAATAGATACATTTTGGCATTTCCCTGCATTTCTTCCATTACATCGGATGAAACGCTGCAACTTTTTATACGTACGAACCTCGGATTCAATTTTCCTGACTGCCCGACCGAATGGAAGACAGTCTGGGAATGGAAACTTGTTCATAATCTTAATCCAACACTTGCTTTCACTTTTCCAGCAGAGGAGGAGGCAGAGGATGCGATGGTGGTGAAGGTTTGGGTAAAATATGTACGTGGCAGCCTCTTACTCGTGGAGAGGAGCATTTTGACGGGCTTCTCATCCTCAAGGAGACACAAAGATTGAAGTGCGCTGCCTGTGATTGAGCTCAAAAGATTCCTTCAGAGCCTTCTCCGATTTATTTCACTAAGATAAAAGTGACGACAACTTTAAAGTGCAACTTACGGAGACTTTCTCGTAGGCTTCCAGCTCGTCTGCACACATGGAGTAGTTGGTCCAGCTTCCCCACAACCAGGTCGAATTCTCCAAGCAAACTCGGATCGCCTGACCTGGAAATAAAAAGAGAAATGTGAAATAAGTCTGTGACATGGCCAAGAAATAAATTGATCGGAAATCGTCCTGGCCTGATGAGAGGAATTGAATGAAATTGTTAGCTTCGCCTCTCCTACTTTTATTAAATATTGGTCCCGATTGCTAAAATTGGGAAATAAAGCAAGAAACTGTTAACGCTTCAAGGAACAAACATATTTTCGAAAAGTAAGCATTTCTCATACGAAACCACACCAAAATGTAGGTATTTTGCGGTTCTGCTGCCAAAATCTTGGGAGCCATAGAACTCTGAGAAATTGGACACAAGTAGGAATGTGGCACATTGCGGAGTCGTTAATGTCATATTTATGTCAACCTAATATTAAAATGTCACAAAAGTTATAAACACGTTCAACCTCCGTGAGCCAAGCGATGCATAAACAGCGAACGAAGCCAGTCATTCATTCATTTCATGAGGAGCCCAAGGCGATCCTTGTTGAATTACGCAGATTGCCTTACATGACATTCATTCGCATTCAAATAGTGGTCACAATTTTATACTCGGCTCTTAATTCCATCCTCATGCCTACCTTTAATATGCTGAGCAACGGATTTGTCATAGGTGGCTTCCAAAATGCTGGAACAGGCTCGGGTCACAGTCTCTCCCGCTGGCGTGGGTGGCTGTGAGAATAAAGTAAAAATTAATTAATTTATTGTAATGCTCATAATAAATGAAAGAGAGAATGGTCAAGAAAAGAATAATAATATTTAACAAATTATTTGTTTCACTCACCCAACAGTAAAAGTTGTCGTAAGTTGCGTTGCAGTAAGTTCCTGGACCAAAATCATATCAAATTCCAATTAGTTGATTACGAAATGGTATTAAGTAATCAGTTTGTAATTAGTTATGTATCTCAGATTATTTCATTATTCGACTACAATTGGCTGCGCAGTAATATTTTCACCAGAACAATCAGTACATGTATTTAAATATCTACGTATGTACGTACGTACACACATTCCTACGTCATCAAATTCATTGAAATCTCACAAGTTGTCAGGATCTGTATACCACGGTGATCGTAGTAAATACACAGATCTTGTGTATACGTACATATGTAGCTGGTGCTCACTGAGCATCTTCTCGCTAATTTGTATGTGGGCAAGGTACATATATGGAACCCACTGGTTGATTTATAAGTAGGCCGCCGATGTAAATGGCTGGGCAATTTGTTTACTTGTGTGATGTACAATCCTCGCGTGGTAATGAAGGGAAAGCTGGTAATGCTTTCACAAAAGTTTGTCAGCATGAGGGAATGTGGAAACTCGGGCAACTATTTCACCCCACTGAGGAGTGAGCCGAACTGACGGAAGGCCTGGTTTCGGTATCATCTTATTATAATAATTCTAGCCTTCAAACTGGAGCAGGCAAAAGTGCCCTCGTGGAAGTCTCCTCATTATGGATGCACCAGTGCGTGAATTTCGTGCAAAAGCTCCGTGGATAATTATTTCACAAGATTACCATTATCATGTAATTACCATTAGTTCTTTGTCTCCGTGCGAGTGTGAATTATGGTGATCGGAGCGAGCGAGCTACACAAAATCTTTGCATTTAACGTCGCTCTCCGCACGTACATTAAATTCTGTTCAATTTCAAACCATTTAGGGTAGAAAACGTCAATGATTTGCATAATATGAATACAAGAAAATAAGACGGTTACACTGATGTATTTGCTCCACTGCTTCTTCTTTGTACAAGAAAATAACATGCAATATTGGGACGTGACATTTCGTGAAATTGAATTTGACAGGGGCTCCAACCTTTAAACTCGCTTATTTGACTCGAGTTTTTCATTTTATTTAACAAATGCACAGATCCAGGTATGGCGCGGCGCGGCGCGCCGTCGCACTTTAATTAAATACAACTGACTGGTGTCGGCATGGATCAACTGAGCTATATGATATGAACCACAAACAGCAATATAAATAACATACATAAATGTATAACCCTTTTTTTACATATGTATCAAACTGGTATAAATTTATTTTAGACTTTGATCTGGTTCAAAGTATAAGCAGGCGAATATTAGTCAAAGGTGGTCCTGGAGTAGTTGTGCCTTTGAGGCTCACGTCACAAGTTAATGGACCGAGACAGGTGAAATTCCGACTGCGTCTTAATACATGTACATACGTTCGGTTGCTTGTGTATATGGCATCATTTTTGCTGGGCATTGTTCTGGGTAAACGTGGATTACGTAGGTGCCCTGCCGTTGGCCTCTCCCGATTATTATTACATACAAAGCAACGAGCTGTAAAAATACGGAATCTGAGAAAGAGAAAGCATTAGAGAAAGCTAATGTCCGTGTAATCAAAATTAATAGAGCTCTCTCCATCCGAGGATTGTATTCTCTGTTTGTGTACACACGAAGCTTGCGTCAATCATGTGTCTGTCCACCCAATTGCCTAAAAAATATCCACATCATTTTTTATCCGTCCGCCGCCGTTACAAGACTCTCAAACCCAGCCACATGTAAGGCGAATCAGGATAATGATTATTACGAAAGAATGCAGACGTTGTAAGCCCGACACATTTCTCGTGAATGCATATGTACATACGTCACAACAAAAGTGGGGAGAAAGTGATTGACATTGGCGGAAAAAGGTTTATGTAATTTAAGCCACACCAACCAACAATCCGGCATTATGGGGAATCAATATCCTTTCTAAATTAAATCTTGCGCGAGTTAGTTGCAACTTTTTTCTCTGAGGCCAGTGAGATGTCTTTATTGCAAAAGTTTCACGACGAACTCATGATCAATTCGACGACGGGAGTGCCAGAAATTCTAATTTATATATGTGTTACGTATGCCTCTGATTGGAAGCCATTCTAAATTCAATATGCATGTTTTGTATTTTTTTTAATAAAATGAAATTGCAAAGTTGCACAATTTGTTTTGTACGTGTTTGTGATGTAATATTAATATACAATTGCAAAATTAAATTAAAAATGGGCCAATGAATGATATTCGATAGTAAAGAATGAAGAATAGTAAAGTTATTCAGTTTGATTTGAAATTTTATTGTGTAATAAGTAAAATATTTATTGCGAGTCGTTTCGAATTCATTCAAGTGAACTGAGGCAAGGTTTTTTAAAAAGGGTGTTTTCTGAGACCGTATAGGGATTGAGTGGGTCTGAAAAGATCCATGTCATGAGCCGGGGTGAAAGCATTTAAATCAATGGGGTAGAACAATCGAGGGGGAATGGCAGGTAATGTAGCCGAGCTCTGTCCAACACAAACAAACTTTTTTCATTTCACGCTTCAGGTTCCAAGACACACTCGCCAATTAATGATTTCTAGAGATTTTCGATCTACTCTCCGAATGCAGTCGGACTTTGGAGCTATTAGACCAATGGGCCATGCAGCTAAAAGACTAAAAAATCGAGAGAATCGATTATTACATATGTACAAAAGGGTATGCCAACATGCCAAGGTTGTGTATTGACATGGTAGTTAAAAAAGAATGACAAAATTGATCAATTAACTAGTTATTTGGCTGAGTGACGAGTTATTTTCTTGCAGTGATCTAAACAACAAAAGGCTACTGATAACTATAAATAAACCCTTACAAACGAATATGAAAAAGTAGCGTCAGAACGATCGAAATTTCCTTTAAAATGACACCATATCTGACAATTATATATTTTTGACCATTGACCTCCTTTTCAAGGTCATGAGGTCAAAAATATTAACATCCTTGAAATCGTGGTCAAATGTCCTTTAAAATGACACCCCATATGTCAATCATGTATGTTTTGACCTGTGACCTCGTCATCACAGTCACGAGGTCAAAAATATTGGCTCCGTTGAATGCAGGGTGAAATTTCCTTTAAAATGACATCCCATATGAAAATTACAGTTAAATTTAGTTTTGGACCACACCCCATGGCGCTGTGGGAGGAGGTCCGATTGGCCCCATTTTAGAACTAAAAACTAGAAGCACAATGTCGAAAACGACGATTGACTCGTTCTTGAGATATCTTGTTTACGGATGGACAAACGGACGGACAAATCGATCACAATAAGTAGCTGACGCTAAAAACTTGATGTACAAACCAGAAAAAAAAATTAGTGTGAGCTTAATTAAAATATTGGTACCATCGTTGCTGCACAAATAATTGTCTCGTCAAACTTATCAGTATTTCTCCAAGTTTTTCATTATTCGGTTCAAATGTGGGTGGCACGGATTTTACTTGAGGACGAAAAGTAAGTCAACAATTGGCAGATGCTTGATTAACAATGCAAACTCGTAACTTTGCAGACTAACTTGTGCATGGCGTAGGAGTTGGCTACTTGAGCACACACACAGTTCATAACGAGGGAGAAACAGAGATATCGCAATTCTGGCGAAAGAAACATTCTTCTATGAAAAGTTCACCACTGAACGAGATGACTCCCAGGACGATGCTAAAAGTAAAATTGAATGAGATTAATCGCCATAAGGAGTAAGATGCATCAAACAGCAAAAAGTTGGAAAGTTTTCCTTCCACTTACGTATATGTACACGAGATACATATGAACATATTAGTCAATTTATTGCATGTGGCATTGTCGATTTGTTATGCATCAACATCGCGAATACTTTGTTGGTGAAGGCTGTAATTGGACAGTGCACTGGTGAAAGAAAACTGCACATATCATCAAACATGATGAATAAATTAAGCTAAGAATACAAAAAGAAATTTGAATCAGAGCCAAAAATAGTCTAACGTTCCCCTTCCTATTTTCTCCCAGTTCAACATGCTCGATTATATTTCTGATCAATTTAACCATCAATCAATTGGAGAACATGTGATGTTACCTAAATGCAGATTTGTGTATGTGCCCTTTGATGACGGTGAGTTATATTTTAAACTGCCTGATTCTGGCCTGATTCATCACTTGATTGCTCCGACTGACGTTGAATGTCTACATAAACTCGGTCTCATATTTAGATAATTGAATTGAGCACTTACCAGGAGTCAGTTTGGGCTGTACTGTGAACCACATGTAGATCAAACACTCGATCCCAACGTACGTGACGTTTTCCAAGGAGCTCTTATGCCAGTCGGAGAGGGGATAGGACACATTCTCAAAATACCCCTCCGATATTTGTGAAAGTTCGAACTCACTCAATCCCGGAATCACTCCACTTTCTCCCATTTTTCTGTCAACTACAAAAAGTTCTTATTATCAGTCAACCAGCTCGACGACGACTTTTAACCAAATTCTTGGTTAGGCATTCAGACCAACTTTCCCAAGTCCATGGGCACATTTTTTGTCGCAGTGGCAGCAGGAGGACCACGATTTCAATTTACTTACTTTCACCACCCACTTATTCTTATTCTCATTGTCTCCATTTAATTCAAGTGGCCTCATAAAAAACATTCTCATCAGTAGAATTGCCTTGCCATTAATAAGCCAAGATTTATGTCCGAGGGAGAAGCTCCACTAGTTTTCCCCAGACACGATTTAGTACGTTTGGTAAAAATACTCTGCACCACATCGTCTTAACTTTCCATTTGCAGCACTTTACAACATTGTGTGTCTCGTGACTAAATTTATTCTCAACTTTTACACAGATCCTACGACAAAGGAAAAGTTAATGCACGCACCATTGCCATTATATTCGATATATGTGTGTACAAGACTTATCACAACCATCACATTTCATTTCATAGCCCTTACATTTCAGATTCAGAGGCTGCTCTTAAAGAAATTGGCTCAATTATCGCAACTCCGAACCACAATTTTCCCTCCCCGAGTGAAACTAAGCAGTTGCAACAAGACAATGGTTTTCTCGAGACAAGGAGGATTCCATAGTAGTGACAAACACATAATATGCAAAACGTGCAATTGTGTCGTGGCGTGGACTTTCTCGCAACTATTGTACTGCACCGCAAATTGTTACCATTATTGTTCCGAGTGGTGGTAGTCGAACAAGCACGCTTTGGTCTCACACCTCACCGCGTATGCAATTACAGGGTGAAGCCTGGGTGGAAATTAATTAGCAGGGAAGAAGTCGACTTGTGAAGCTTGGCGTTGGTTGGTCGTGGTGTGTGTTCGAGAGCTGAAGCTCGACTGGGTTGCAAGGCTCACTTTGCCTCACGCTCGCTCTTTCTTTCCTCCTGGGTTGAGAATAAGACGATGAGATTTTGCGCTTCACAAACGCCAGGCACCACCGTTTAATGGATCCTCTCTGACTTTGTCCTCCTGCCTCGTTTACTTATTATTACGGGGCAGAAAGGTTTTGGCCCAGACGAGAGTGCACCGGAGCCGAATGCAATGACTGTGACCTCAAATCTGTGGCGAGATGAGATACGTAAGAGGAATAAGTGGGAAGGGCTGCAAAGTCACAAATCCTTAGTTTTCAAACTTTGCTCCTAAATCTGATTCTGATCGAAAGTCACGCAAGGATACGTCGTCATTTTAATGGGCGAATTTGAATTATGCCCCCGACAGACACGAGTGGATTGGATTAGAGGAGGGACCCAGAGTGGCGCACATACATGCAGAATTCTATGTATGTGCATAGCTGAGGAGCTGCGAGCCTGTGTGTCTTTGCATCAACATGGCTGCTAATTGTGCATGAAATTGAGCTTGTAATCATCATGTTGTAAAAATATGGTGGATGCGATGTTGACAACTTTTATGGTTTGAAACTTATGCAGGTGTTCTGAGAGTTATGACATCATTATGCTATATGGCAAGGTCTAAATTAAAAATAAAATACACAAAAGTGTTCAGCGTGGGTATTCCGCATGCAGGACGGCTTTCTCGTAATCCCGTCTTGTAAAATAACGACGTGCAATATTAATTAACAAACTTGGAGCGTTGTCTGTTGCACGTCTTTAGGAACGCGTTGGATTAGCAGCATGCTCGGCTGAGAATCTACTTTCAAGGTACTGCATACAAAAGCATATTGGTTATACGCACGAAGGAACAAACTGTTATGTAACTTTTCCGGTTACAGCATGCAAAATAAGAAGATGTCGAGTTTTTCTCCACATTTATAAATTGTTTAATGATGAAATTAAGTCCCCCGAGTCGTTTTTTATGCATGTAGGTGATAGCCAGATATAGATTGTTGTGTAATCGAAACCCAAGCCTTTCTTCGCACAGCACTCACACGTTATAAATAGACCTACATATGTACACAGACACACAGCATGGAGTACCAAGTAAAAGAAAAGAAAGTTCTGGCAGCCTCACTCAAAGAAATCTCGCACGAGTACTTGTGAATGACAAATCTGTCAACAAATCAAAAAATTGAAAATGAGAGACATTTCTTTGAGTGGTCACGAAACAAGAACAGAGAAGTGCATGCAAGAAACGGGATTATTATGCAACACCCAACTATTCCAAAGATGCAGATATAATATACGAATCCAATATGCTTATGTATGTATGCATGATGTAACTTCGGATTAGGTCATGTAAGCCAAAAATTAATCGAGACTGGAGGGCGCAAAATGGCAAAGTTTATTCGTCTTATGTACTTTGTCAGTATTATAATTTTAAAGGCAGAACCACACCCTAGAGATTTGCCTTCCCCAAAGTCTTTGACAACTTTATACAATGCGCCGTGTACGTGGGGATGGCACGACACGAGGAGAAATTGATGTGTAAATTGACGAGCCGTGTTATCACTTTTCAGATCACGCGATTAGCAGAGTGCGGAGGTGAGAGGTAACTTTCTCGGACGCAAGTTAGTCCCACTCACTCCGAATAGTTTCAACCCCACAAGTTTAGAGTTTGATCCATAAAATCATATTGGTTTAACCCTCCGAACTCAAAAAGAAAACTCTCCACCACGCAACCAACCTTTACGCTGAAACAGTTTGAGTTTTTTTCTCTCAACATATCGTAAATGTTGAGAACGGTGTATTAATAGTTTTCTAAGAGATGAGCGTTACGGATAACAAAGGTGCTACGAGGTTGCCCTATAGTGCGATTGTCCTACTAAATATTATCGGCACATATACCTGCATGCATTTTCAAGATCATTTTATTGAGGATAGGAGGAACACAGTATATCGAAGGCTCACCTTTCTCTCTCTCTATTTCTGTCCACATTTTGTTCCATGTGTGTTTTTGCAGTAATTGAGAATTGATTCATGAAAATGATAAATGCCACTTTGTCTTATTTGTTGCAAAACTGCGTTTCGTTTATTTGCTTTCCAGATAAGAACTCTGAAAAAGTTTTCTTTCCGAAACTCGAGTCATCTTCTCGCCCAGGTCCAGCCAGATGTTACGCAACTGTGCAGTGACGGATTTCAAACCCAGCACTATCCTACTTACTTACTGGGAAAAGAGATATGTTAAAAATTCAGCACCAATCTGTTCCCACAACAGTGCGAGATGGAAAATTTCGTCCTACTCAACTCCGACTCAAGCTGAAAGTAATAATGCATAACTACTTATTCGCCCTTCAACTTTGACACGGATGTAAATCCTCAAATTGTAACAGTGAGTGATGCAGAGTACAATTTAGCGGTCGTATCGTTATGTGCTACGTATTATGCAACAAGAAGGTAGATTTCGATGTGGATTTGTTACCACAAGAATTTGAGCCACAGGCAAACAACAAATAAGGCGGTTACATACATACATCTTGGCTGAACTGGACTATGGCGTTTCCAGTGGAAGATACGTATGCATGCACTAACTGAACTGGAACTACTGAAAGTCCAATCAAAATGTAATCTCACTTAATCCTGCTATCATGTAGAAAGTTGTGGAAACCCGGCACAATTTTCTCTAAACACTCGAAGCAGTGATTGTACTCTGATGTCGGTTGTGTCCTCTTTTAATATCAATAATTTCTGCAGCAACGTATATCTTTATACAAATGTACTCTGGTGAGCCATGCACATATAAATGTATAAATATACTCTATTTTAAAGAGATTCCTGTGCGAGTCCTATCTAATGCTCGCTCATCGGAGTAAAGTAATTGAGGGAAAAACAATATATCTCAGAGATTTGATCTTGAATGATTAACTGTAGTTGTGCCATCATCATGCTACGTACAAGCATGAGATGGATGAGCCATGCAAACTGAAATCTCTGTAACCCAACCGGCCAAATGAGCAAAATAATGAGATAAAAATTCCTTTGGGACATGCCTAATCACACATCAGTTGGGTTATCTTTCAGAGGACAACCTGTCGTGTCACTTACACTCCGCATCCACCAATTTTCCACGCTAATAATAGCAAGACCCTGACGGAGTAAACTGACAGCACAACTGGCTCAATATTTCTCCAATCAAATTTTCAAAAATGGATCATTTAATCCCCATTTTCAGCCGTATACATATTCGGAAAGGCCGTTGTTGTGGAAGGATCGGGCTTTCTCACCCTCCGGCGTATCGTTATCCTGATCGGCAGATGCACATGAGTTCTGATATCGCAAGTATGAAGCCAATTTACTCCACATAGTGCACATCACGTCACGTAAGTTTTCATAACCGAGGCCTAAATGCTAAGTAATGATGTGAATCTTGTTTCAGAATCTGCGTGTGTGTTGCTGTGCGGCCGCCTTAATTTACTTGAAAGGCAAAATCGTAGCAAATTGACCAAGTTAGTCTGCACACCCATCACGATATAAATTGCCAACAACACCACCAAACCACAACCACAGCCACACAAAGTTTCGGATGGATTGCAAAGAAAAGTTTTAAACTAAAAGTTGGAAACAATGATGCAATGTACACTGATACTGCATACATTTACTTATTGGCACTCAGGCAGGCGGTGGGGTTTTTGTGGGTGGGAGGAGGGAAGGTGCACCACATGGACGACGACAAAGACGACGTCGACGAGCACTATTATTGCTGTACCACTGTGCCGCTATTCTTGTTGAAAGCAATCATCGCGGTGTCCAATGGTTTGCTTGAACTTGAAAGCTGGCGTTGACAAATGATCACTTCTGGGTTCGGCATGTTTTATTTTCTCGGTTGAGAATTTATGTGAGAAACTTACAAACTACTACTACCACTACGACTACTTTATTCCGGAGTAGTACAGTAGTAGTAGTACAGTAGTACAGTTCTGTAGTGAGTGGTTTCATGGATATATGTGCAAATACTTAAGTAATGGTATGTAGAACATCGATATGTTCAAGCAAGTCACGAAAGATTTTCTCGTATGTGGTTTATTAGACTTTGCAACCAGAAATTCTCAGTCTTGTTGTACGTACATATGCAGAGTTATTATTATTATTGTGAAGTTCTTTGTTTACGCGACAAGCTTGCATAATGCAGGTTATATTTTTATAGTACTTGAACATACTCATTCCGTTTTAATGAGGCGGTAGTAGTTTGCAGAGTGCATTTGACGACTCTTGAAATGCCTTCTGCAACGTGTGGTGGTGGTGGTGGGACAATTAGAGAGAAAGTTCGTAATGGCGTTGGTTTGCGAGTAATGAGACACAAGTCATCAAGTAAACATGTCAAACCTTCGACCTTAAACAAGCAACCACTTTGCCCTGTTTTAAATCAAGTGTGGCTTTATTATTGACCTTGCAATTGCCAACGTCTAAACCTTTGAGCTTTCCAAGATTTTGGCTCCTTTCCCCGTTTGTGAGACGCTAATTTGTATGGGACCATGGGGCAAGGAAAATAGGTTTAAATAACGGTGCCATGCATTATTCGGTACACCACCAACCATGACCATCGCTGCCCTGGCTTGGGGCCAGGATTAAATTACCTATATAAAACCATGGCGAGAAAAACCCGACGTTGAAAAATCCATTCTGCAACTCCTGCTCCTTCGTCGTTGCCTTTGGTGCGAGCTTGGTCGTCGGCGGCGAGTGTTTGTTTCGTCATTTATAAAGATGAAGACGCAAAGTAGATGTAACGAAAGATATTACAGATTCGGATTTCCTTTCTGAACGATGATAAAAAGTACAAGACGTGATTTGCATCCACAATTTTTTATAGATTATATAGAGCCCCGTATCAAAAAGGTTGCTGCTGCCAGGGTATTTTTAGAAGAATGTGAGACGACGAGCATGCATGTGTGGAGTGCATGCAGTAGCAGCAGATGCAACAGGACAAGAAAATGAACACGAGATTAATAGTCTGTTATTAAAGAATTTCGGATTTCATCATTTCGATTTCGTATAATTTGCGAGATGGTTCGTGATCGATCATAATGCTTGACTGGTCATATATAATAATGGACTTATATAAAACTCACGGAAGCTTCAGTTCACCTATATAAAAATTAACCTTTTTTTCAATTTTTTCCTCCCAAATTAAATTCGTAGAACTTGACACGTATTTAATATGAAATTGTATCAATCTTCAATTTTGAAATAATAATGTAACAGGAAATTGACATTTTCTGATCAGTTTTCCTTGCAAAATAGACTTTGTCGTGAAGTCGGCCGATGTCATCAACTCGTGCATCTCGTCACTGTATGGCGTTAAGAATCTTAAGCTTGGTTAAAATGTGCTATGCTGGTGCCCTACAGCTTTTACATTTACATTTCAATAAATTAGTGTCACAAATGATCGCATGTCATTTGCTTGATATATGATCACAAGATATTTTCAGCGTGGGCAGACCTAGAATTTGTATCATCTTTGAGACCAATAGCAAAGCGTGCATTTCCTATCGTCAGACTTGGAACGTGTCCATGTACGAAAATGTCGGATATCCGAATGACAAGGTGATGAGCACTGAATAGTACAAAGGACAGAACGGAAGGCAAACAAGTCCTTCCAGTCAGTCCTAGTGAAAATTAAATATTTTATTCATTTACTTTTATTTATTACTATTGCTCCGTGTCGTCCTTTATCAGCTGTGACCATAATATTATCATCACGAATAAGCAATTACAAATAAGATAAATCAAATCCAAACACCACAACAAGACGCATTAAAGTCGAATGATTAGACCAATGTTGTTGGTCTGCACGACAAGAAACATGTGAAACTGGCCCAATTTCAATTTCATATATTAGCTACAAGAGGAAATATCATAAAAACACTATAAACATGATTATAGATAAACATGTTATCGGTTCCATTTCCAATGAAAAACTCGCAGATAATTCATGCTTCAAAAGTCGTTCCACCCGTCATATTATAAGGACATTCAATGACCGAGTTGAAGGACTACATACAGCATAATCTACGTAAATTGCATGCCTCGTGTATGTATCTACTTATTATAACTTCGAATTTGGAATCTTACGTAGGCAGGCAATGTAATACTTGGGTTTTAGTGGAACGGTCCATGTTTCGTGACAATTGTCAGATATATGAGATTAAAGGGGACAGAATTTCAAAGAATAAATTACGGTCAAAATTAGGGAAATAGCACAAAGTTTGCAGTTTTCACCACTAATTGGCAGAATCGTGACGACCAACGACAGAGGCAAAGTTCAAAGCCAGCTGGCTCAAAGGGCATCATTTCCTTTTATGAACGCTTATCATTATTCATTTCATTGCGGCTGTGTCGAATGTGTTCATCATGAGCAAAATCACGAATAATTGGAATAACACACATTAGTGTCGCACATCCCGTTGACTTGCCTCATTGAAAATACTCCTCGTTTTCACCACCGGAAGGAAATTCCACATTAATAACAAAGGAGAATTGATTTCAATTCCGCCCGCATACAAAGAACGGCAATATTGTTGGAACGGAATAATAATAATAATAAAGTTTTCTCGCAGCGGTGCTGTCGACATTTCTTCTTTCGTATAATACATAATCCTAATTGAATTGTTATCCATAGCGTGTAGTTGGTGGAATTTGTCATAATAAACATTGCATAAATCGAAGGTTATCTTATATTTCCACAATTCTCCATTGGACAAGTAATTTAAAGTTGGTTCAAATGCCATCCAATCGACTGGAGGATGGGAGAGGGCACTTTTCCTTGCTGGTGGATGACCGAGGAGGAGATGGTGGTGATTTATTAGCAGAAGTAGCAGAGTCATTTTCTCGAGTTCATTCGTCCGGCCTCAAGTCTTCACCTCACCAGGCGTCACTCACTCCATTCCATCATTCATTTCAACGCAAAACTCGGTGGGTCAACACAACTTTTCATCACTCTCCAGGAAATCGAAAATCCAAAAATCGTAAGAAAATTAATTTGTCTTACCAATGATTATTAATTGCATTGTCACTTACGATATACATCTCCCTACTCACCCCAAAGTCACTTTGGGACATGGGAAGATCAGATTTTTGTCGAAATTCATTCTTTCTTTCTTTCGTGAGGTAGATTTGTACAGGATGGGCTCCTCAAATTACTGGAATGATCCTTACTCAACTGAAAATTCATCTGCATTGGGGGCGACAGTGACGTCTCAAGGAATAATTAGCTTGCGGTTGCATAGTGGAATTCAAGTTGATACAACGATCGACAAGGGAATCAGGGTGTTGAACTCTCAGGTAGTTGGCAAAACAAAACTAATTAAAACAAGTACTTACTATAAATTAATTAATTAACTAACTTAGTTTCTGTTCATTTTTATTTTTCACAGAGTCAAATCATTATTTCTCTTTCCCCGGATGGTAACTCTGCATCACTCATTCATCCAAGTGGGCTGGTTTATGCCTATGGCAGTAGAGTGGAAATTACGACCACTGATCCAACCACAGGGAATACAAAGTACGAATTACATAATGTATTAGTTTTTTATGTAATCAACGTTTTCAGATGTCATATTGTGTATTACTTATCGCATAAAATTTATTCTTTCAAGGTTTGCCAAGATGTTTTACAAAGGAGTGAGTTTCACAAGTGACACATCGGCTTTGGTTTATCTCGTTGACCAAGCAGGAACTCGTACAACCAGCGATACGTTTTCCGACCTGAGTGGGGATTTTAGCATTCCGGTATTCCTACACAATGCCCACTACGGTTCGCACATGGTTCGTGAATGCAAAAAAATCTGCTCGCAAACTCAGTATTGGATTACGGAAGATGGGACTGAAAACTGGGTTGTCAACGGGATTCGGGTGTCTCAAACTGCGGATGGTTTGGTGAGGTATGTCAGAAGATGAAAATTATGAGTTCCAATGGCTTATCTTGTCTCGTAATTCAAACTTGCGAAACCTTATTTTTAAATCTCAATAGGGTTGGACGAGGGACCAGTAAGTATCAAATCAGGACCTCGCCCACCAATGGAACTGCAACAATTACGACTCCTTCTGTACATTCAACGGCTAGCATGGGAATCCCATCAACCAGCAGCTCGTCTTCCGGGCCTCATCTTTTTGTCAAACGTGGTACGTGCAACAACTTTACATTCAATATATAGTATCCTTATACCTACATTGAAAATTGTGAATCATTGCCTTTTTATGAACAATTACTTTGCAGGAGAACGCAGATTGCATTCTGATGGATTAACTTTTATCGTCAGAAATGCTGGACATGCATCTGGATTTGATGAATTCAACCAACTTAAAGTCTACTAAGCAAACAGCCCGATGATAATAATCCTAACCTACCTACCTAACTAACCTTCACCAATTAACCACTCCTGAAAGATTAATTACTTTCGCTCCTTCATTGTGTCTAAATCATTCAGAATATGCATGCGCATATACATAATTCGGAACTATTTTGTCTGTCGTATTTTGTATCAGTAATCAAAAAGTAGTAGTAATATATAATCTTAATCAAGTCTAATTATGTAATTATGGGAGGTGAAGTGTGAACTTTGAGCTGTGGTATATGTATATAATATATAATAAGAGGTGAAAATAAATCATGCTGGAATATATTTGAGCCTGTTTTCCTATTTCACTTTCATCAATGTGTCACACGACGCCATCCAGTCAAGCTTGCGAGTACTTTTGCAAAGAGAAAATGATCGGGTGTGAAAGACCTCGGGTAGGGATCGATGCAGTCGCCTTCGCCAACTCGGAGCTCCAACACTCATTCATCTCATCCGTACCTTGCAGAACGCAGACTGTCTCAAGTTTCATCTTCTGAACGTGTTTCTTATTTCTTAGAAGAGATATTTCTCTTAGTTTGAAATTCTCCTTAGACCACGATTGTCATTCAATTTCACGCCAATTTAATTTGATGGTTTCATGGTAGTGCTAAATACATAATCAATAAATTTTTAAATACAATGTAGCGACAAAATGAAGACATACTGACTGGCGATGATTTTAGACAGGGTTGTGCTGAGTGAAAGTCGGAATGATTGGTGGTGGTCAGCACGTCTCCACAATTTTGTTTGTGTTGTGATGTGTGTGTGTCATTTTATTTGTATATTTATACGCGTCGCCACAACCCCTCATTCTCGACGGCAGGAGCAGGAGTATCCGCCGGAGAGGTCTTGGTGGCATGGGTGGCTTACCTTATTTTTATGTTCATCGTTTGATCAGGAGCAATTCAATCACTCGACTCTTCAATGAATACCAGATAAGCTGGGTCTCTCCAATTGTCGACCAAGCACCACCATCATCATCATCCTGTCCAGTCCAAGAGGAGAGAAGAAGAAGAACGAATGCTTTATTTTGTTTTATTTTATGAACGTCGTATTTCGTAGTGGTGGTGCTTGCTCATCTCATCACATTGAATTGTTGAATGTGAGCTCATACATAAGGATCAGCCTTCGTCGGAGAATAATAAATGGCAAGCAGGGGAAATGAGATAAGCAGCATTTGTATTCAGGAGGATCCTGCTCTCCTGCCCAAGTCCAACTCAAAGATATCACTGGAGTGTGAGCGGCACGCTGGTCGTGACACCACCAAAGTCGCATATTTCCGGAAAATTGGCAACAATCATTTGTGCGTCTTATTTGGTCTACTTAATTTTGCACCCTCGTGTTGACTTTCACCCGTGTCCATTGACCAATAATCTGCTAGTAAATGACATCAACCAATGTCGACGTACGTAGGAAAGGACGCGATCCGTGGAGGCGTTTCTCCATCATTTTGTGTAAAACTGTGTCGTCGTCGTCATCGTATTTGGTGAGTGTTGGTTGTTCTTGGTTCTTTATACATTAGACATTAGTGAGGGGAGCAGGCAGTCCATCTTCCCATCACAAAGCACGAAACTATGTATGTATATGGGCAAGAGGCAGGTGAATTGCGTCCTCCTCGTTCGTGTGCTTATTCTCTTTTCCATGTCATAAACATCTCAGCACCCAAGCACACAAAGTAATTGAGCATTTTATTGCATCCCTTCGACGACTGCCTTCTTCCTTCCAGAATTAACATGCATTCCCTCTTCGATTGTTTTCTGGAGGATGTCGAAGAAAACGGGGATACGTATGTACAAAGAATTGGAAAAGATGCGGATATTCAGCCAGCAGCAGCCCATTTTTTGCACACATCCTCCATCCATCCATCCATTCAAGTCGTACTTATGCACAAACGAGCCAAGGAGCGATTCTTGCTGTTGTGAAAGGAATGTTAAATTGACTTTGTTTATGTGATCGGGAAACATTGTGCATAAAATATGGGTTGACATTTGACGCCGTCGTCATCATTCTCATTTCCACAAAAGTTCCAATCATCACCCTCCCTCACAAATTCGTTCATGGGCTCTGACAAAATATTTTTTAGTGTTCAGTGAACTCCTCCAGAAACAAATGGAATTCTAATCCCATTAATGTCACGTAATTTAAGCAAGTATCAGTAAAGGTTAAACTACTTAAAAATATGAATTGTGTGAAATGAAATCATGATGTGTGCACATGTACGGATTCTCTGAAAGCATTGCGTCATGTTTAGCCGTGAACTGGAACACCTTCAAATGTTTCTGAATACAAATTAATATTAAATACCATTTTGCAATATTTCTCTTTCCTAACACTACATACATAGTTTTCCATGCTTCGATATGAAAATGCTACAAACGACACATTCCACGGTTGACTGACAGATTGTCATCAGTGGATGTCCACGAGTATGAAAACAACATTACAATAAAATCCCTCCTTTTCCAGGCTTCGTCCACATATATTATGCATGTCATCTTCAAAACCTGTGATTTTGGTAGTGATTCAGAATTTAAATGAATCGTTATAAATAAAATTATACTGCCAATCTCAGGATCTAATAGAGCTGCTAAAACTACAGTTTTCTTTCGTTGCCTTCTTCGTCGTGTAAATTTTGAAACATGAATTTTGTTTGGAAATTTTGTCATTAAAAAAATTATCTGCATCATTGCATATATATCGACGTTTTAATCATAATTTGAACTTATTTTCTAGCAAACGTTGAATTGATTTAGATAGTAATAAATAAATAATAAATTAAATTACTGTCACGTATGAAGTCGTATTATTTAATAAATTAAGATTCATATTTCTGATTAGTTGAGCATTGAAAATGATTTACATTGAATTCTAGAGAATTTCGTAAGACTTTAGGCCCAAATAGGTAAATAAGCATCCTGTTGGCCGCCCGTATTCTGCGTCGTTTAAATTGTAAATCATATCACAAGTGAGTAAGTAAGTGGTCCGTTGGAGATATTTACTCCTGATTCTCGCTCCACGCGTGGCTCTTGAAAAATACTCTCCAATGTCACCTCTAATTTACCTCGTGTTTACCAAAATGTGACGTTGATTTGAAACATGTTTTGACCAATTTTACAAGCAGAGACCCAGGACGTTGTTTCCTAAATGAGCTGAGTTGGTAGGCAGAGTATTATTTAGGCGGTTGAAATATGTATCAATTTTACACAAAAGCTGCCTTTTCAGTCAGGTTAAGGAAATGACCAGGAGAAGAGTTTGGTACCAAACACTTGATTCATGCATGAGAAGAAAAATTCATAGGAGACCAGTTTTGGACGAAATGGGGAGAAAACGAAGCCATTTCTTTTCTCTTTGAAGGAGAGTGTGTATAAATAAAGGGAAGGAATATAAATACATTTGGCTATGTCCACTTTCGAGTGTTTCCCCATTTTGCATCGCATTTGTAATGTGAGATACAACTGGACACTGGGCTGAGCGAGGTTGGCTCGTATGCTTCCAGGGGAGAAAGTTGTTGGAAGGAAGGAAGCAAGTTTCTCCTTATCTACAGCACATTATTATGGGGTGGATTGGACTGGGAAGTGGACATTGAAATTCATAGGAAAACGGACTCCCCGTTTTTCAATCGAATAACTCGACTTGAGAACGCTATTACGACCGACTTACTTACTCAATGCTCATCTTTCCCTCAATTCGATACAACAATCGACGGGAAGGGTTCGCAGATCTTGTGAGCAGACATTCATCCAACGATGGATCCTTCCTAAACCAACAAATATTGCCCAACTGCAGGACAACATTTTTTGCAATCATTACTGGGATTGGTTTTGTAATTCAGGGTGAATTTATGTAGTGAAAGCTGTGGGCGATGGATGGAGAGAAGGTGCGACGACAAGTGATGACTGAAAGGTGCCACCGAATGTCTGAAGGATCTCTTTTTCGGGAAAAGGTGGTGGTCAAGACTTTAAGAAGAGAGGGAGATATTATTCATGGATGGAATGGACCATCACGGACAATATTTACCATCTCATTCCTCTTCCGAGCGATATGCATGACTTTTTCAAATTTCACACGACACACCATTCAATTCAATTGTGTCGTCCCGTGTACATTATTCCATCCCAAATTTAAACCGGGCAACCGGACAAAATCTAAATCTCCTTTATTCAACCCGCACCCACCCAACGCAATGCAGCCGATGTGGAGAATTTCCAATTCGGATGTGGGCTCTCCTCGATCCTAATATGTTCGGAAAAAGCAGGAGCCAGCGACCGAATGGGCAAAGAAGGGTTGAGTTGATGTACATTTTGCTCATGCATGAATCAAATGGACCATGTCGGGTATAAGGACCATCCAAATCTATACCCATCCATCTACAATTTCATTCTCTCTCCATTGAAATTTGAAATCACCTCTTCTTGATTCTTGCCTCACTCCACACAGTGTCCAACCCAAAACCCAAATTTAAAGTCTAAACCATTTTTCTCAAGGATTGTGTAAGTGAAAGTAAATGTATTCAGATCAGTTTAAGTCCGGCTGTCAAATTTGAAGGCGGCGAGCGTGGATTTTGTGATCATCGTTTACTAAAATGTTTTTTGTCGCCCTTTCGCCATGAATTTTTGTACATCGACGGAAACATTTAACCCATCATACTGCTTATTAATTCCTACTTTGAGCAAATAAATAATAGTCTTGAAATACTTGTGACCAAATATTTGACTCTTGATCCACATTTCTGTAGAATATTTTAGACAAGTAGCATTGGGAATCTTTGCATGGCGGAGGTGAAGTTCTGGTGGATGGTGGACTTGGCGTTGATGGGGTTGGTGGACGGTGGGGGAGGACTGAGGCTGAATGGACTTTCTCCTTCAACGCTTCCAACAAATGACGACTTCACTCCCCGCTGCTCTTCTCCTCCTTATGCCCTCTTTCTCTCTCTCTCTCTCCTTATTTAAATGGCCGAGCTTATGTCAACTGCTCATGCCATCCTAAAATATAAATAAGTGCACCAAATTGTCAAGGACTTTCATCCAAATAAAGCCCCATCCACCAGCAAAATCCAACACGAAATCCCCGTTGAAACATCTTCTAGCACTCAGAGACCTTCTACCATGGTATGGTACACACAAGATGATGCTATAGCAGAGGCTGGACGGTGTTAAACCAGTCGGTCGGAATGGTTGCAAATTTTTAAGGGATGATGTGCACCCTGGGCAGTAGATCTTGGGAGTGGAGGTGGCTGTGTGGCGGGGGGTGTCTGGGAAATGAGAATGACCATTTTTCAGGGAGAG